GGAAAAAAAACTATCAAGAGTGCAATTTCCGAGTGAACGTCACTCAAGCGTTTAAATAGAATGAGTATTAAAACCATTAAGTGGAAAATATTTGATTACTTGTATTCAATAATATTCAAATACTCTACAATCTTCCATTGAAATAAATAAATTATTTTCCACAATCTTATTCGCTTCTTTATTTATTGTTTTAAGTAATTTGTATTCATTTTATTCTTCTTTTTTCTATCTTACTGGTCCAGCAATCAATTTTTTTTCAATTTTCCTTTCGATTTAATTTTCTTTACCCTCTTCGACAATTACAGAATCTCTTCATCAACCGGAAATTGTCGAGTAGATAGGACGAGAAGGATGTTTAAAGTTCAGACTGAAATACATGAGTGAATAAAGTAGGGGTCAGTTATAAATTGAACTTTCATTTATACACGTAGGACAAATTTATCATAAGATCATAATGAATATATAAAGAATAAAGACATAAAGGATGTTGATCTTGGTGGATAGGGTTGCTTGGATGTGTTGAATCAAGTTTTGAAAGCTTTTCATTCATACTTGTACTGCTACCTGATGATGATACACGTGCATGAAACCTGAGTCAGTTGATTGTCGCCATGGGAGTTGTAGTTGTAGGATTGTAACATGAAAATTGTTCTATAGTAGTAGTTGAAGTAATTGCAATATACTAGTCTGGTCTTGGCACACTGAGAATCACTAATCTCCGTCTTCTTTTGCTATCATTTCTTCTTCGTTTAGCAAAGGTCGTTGGCCTCTCTTTTCATAATATGTAACACTAGTTGAGAAAGTTGACCTGATGGTAGATCGGATGTAATACATGTTGCGAAATCAATTCACCAAGGATTCGTGATCTATTGTACTTTTATTTATTTCATTATTTTAAAAGAATCTAGAAAAAATGAAATAACAATCGATCAAACATCAAAAGATAATAAAAAAAATTTCTTTCGATTTTTCCTGTCATTGAATTACTTTTAAATTGATTTTTTCAAAGACTGAAAGCTCGTGAACAGATTTTTTTGTAATTTCGTGCTTTGAACTGTAATTTATCGAATTTTTTTTTTATAAATATTCATTGTATAATTTAGGGAGATTTATGATAGAAAGACTAAACAATGAAAAATATGTTTATTCAAAATTTTACATTTACATCACATTTTTATCAGCTTCAATGTTATTTAAATCAAAAAAATTATTTATCGTGCAAACGTTTATTGTTTTTTTTAGACTACTACTACTAGAAGTTATCTTTGATTGACCTCATTTTAAAATAAACATATATTTTTTTAATAAAAAAAAATCATCTTGTAAGTTTCAGTAGTCTTTTTTACGGCTTTTTCTATTTTAAATCCAAAAAAATTTTCATGAGGCCTCGACTTGAAATTTATTCTTTATTTATGATAGCTATAAAGTCTTCCAACATCTGCAAATTCTGTCTAAAAGTTTAATACTTTTTTTTTGTGAATAATTTATAAGTAGTTATGATAAAATGTTGGAAAAAGTTTGATGGTTTTTCAAATGGAATGTTTTTAGAAGTAAAGACAAAAGTTCAAACGTACTAAATAATAATACTATTTAAATAATTTTTTGGTATTTAAACATCTAGGAAATTGAATAAAAAAGTAAATGATTGAACTTTTATTCACCACAGGAACTATTTGAAATAGATAACTTTTTTTTTCAAAAACACATTAAAATCTAAAAGTTTATTTGTTTTTCACTGAACTCATCGATAGAACCTAGTTTTAAAAAGCTTTTATACACGACCTGGAGTTGGAGTTGCGTCTTGTGAAAATGTAATAGTGAGTTTTTGAGACCGACCCTAAGTACAAATGAATGCTTTCAAGTGGGTCAAAAGTCGATCCAATGTCTGACAACCGCTTTTAAAACTCAATTAATCGAAACTTTGACATCAGAATTTTCACCATTAAAGCATTTAAAAAGAAAATAATAAAGTAATAAAGTCTCTATAAAAAATTATGTTACATTAATTTGAAAAATTGTTATCGATTTTTATTGAGATAAAAAAAAAATTACTGAAATTAAAAAAAATTCATTAGAGAAACGAAAGATAAGAAAAATTAATATACATAATTAAACTGGCCTCATTGCAAACTTTGTGCTCCGAATAAGCTGTTTGCGTCGGCATAATTACCACTATTAACCTGAGCACGCAAACAATCGATTAATACAGTTACGTTTCGTAGAGAAAAATAGAAAAATTACAGAAAATGCGTCACATACGTGGTAAAAAGCCACACCCCATATTACTAAATTCTCTTCATCATGTACCTAGAGTAACGATCGTTTAAAAGAATGATAGTAACTAAGACAAAAAGTCTTGAGTCAAAAATTAAAGTGGATCATCAGCAATAGCATCAGAACAATAGAAGAATCGATCCACTACCACATTTGTGTCCAAAAAAAACCTCTACAAAACATCTTGAACTTCATTAATGGCGATCGATTAATTAATGAAATCAGTCGTCTATTCTTTACTTCTCTAAAAAAAAGCACTAAAAATGATTTAAAACTTCAAACTGAGCTTAAATTTTAGGTGAAATAAATAAATAAACAAAAAAGAAAATTTTTCTTTCATGAATAAATAAATAAACAGGTTTATTTAGGAACAGAGGAAATAGAAAAATTTTACATGAAGACAAAATACAAATGTTATTGGAAACAAAATTGCTAGGTAGAATAAAATCAATTGCTATCCTATTTGTATAAACTCTACATACTCGCTTTAGTTATCTGCCAAGTAATTTACGATGACTCTTTTACTTGATCGTATCGTGTATAAATATTAACAAATTGTTGGTTAATTCATTGAAACTTTTCAGAATAAATAATTTAAACTCATTCATTTAAACTAACGAAGTAACTTCATTTACCTTCAAATTTAATTAAACTAAATTGAAATATAGTCGAGCTCAATAAGAACAATAATAATAATAATAACTTATTTTATTCAACAAGAAATTATTATTAATCAATTTATCCAGATTATTTCTTCATTTATTTTCAATTCATTCACGTGTGTTACCGGCTACGAATGAATAATAGAATAATAAAATGTCATGTTATTATAATAATATAAAAAAATATTTATTTAATGATTTATATGAATTGACAACAAATTCATAATGCTTGCTTTTATTGATTTCCTTCCATATGAACACAGGTCACTCGTCCTATTGTTTTCTATATTTATTTCGTTATCTACGTATTAGAATTATTTGCAGATAATAATAAAAAATAAAAAAAAACTGTATTCTTTCTTCGTGATTGAATTATTTATTCTGTACATTTTGCTTGTTTTATTTATTTCATTCTTCATAAAATAAAACTCCATCAATTATTGAATTTTTGTTGTAAGCTGTTCTTGGCAGCTGATGATTACATTTAGGCATTACTTTCATAGTTTAATTATTCCTTCACAATCATCAGTGGGTTAGAAAGTACACTAATGAGTTTATCAATAAATCACATAAATGATAGAAAAGCTGGAAAAATTAATTTTGGTTATAATTTTTTATGATATATTATTAAACATCGAAGTATCAATGTACCTTTTTTCCTGATATATTTATAGATGTTAGAAATTTTATTGGCATAATGATGATAACTGGTGCTGCATACATACAGTATCTTTATAGCTCAAGTCTTAAAAATAATTCATAAAGGAAAACATTATTTCCCAAGCAGATGCTCTTAAACCAACCGCAAGAATTGTTAAAATTAATTTTTAAATGCCAGTCATAGTATTTAAATGGTAGCAGGATGTATAAATCTCATATTTGTCTTCTCACTGCATACTTAATGCACCGTAGATTCTATGTTAATGTCCCGAACGTTTGATATGACAGGTTGTAATAGCTTCATATGTATCCATATATATTAGGATCACGACTAACTAGACCGTTAAAGATACCACGTGTACTTTAAACCCCTATGAGTAATTATCCTGACACTTTGAGTACACCCTCGTGTCTCTCTCAAATGCTTTTGTCGATAAATGTTAATATTTACACAGTTTCCTTTGACCTCAAGATTAATCCTAGGATAACTTTCGTTATTATCGATAGTAATTAAATCCTCAGATTATTTTGGATCTGATGAAAATGCCATAAAAAATTCAACACAGCTCTTTCTTTTTTTGTAATTATGTATTCTTTCCAATCAAATAAAATGAAATTTTAATTCTAGAAATACAGATGGCCTATACTTCACACTCGCTTTTACTATGAGCAAAAATAAGATTGTACATCTATTAATACATCAGCTATTTCCTGCATTCACCTAGAACGAAAGGTTCATTGTAAAACGTGAAACAATTAATTTCTCTAAATATCACATTTCTTTTAACATAGTGTGACCCATTTTTTAAAAATCTCATCTATTACTCACCTTTGAGTATCTAACGATGTACTTTTAGTACAAGCTTTTGTAAATTCAGGCCAGGCATCCTAGGGTTTGTAATCGGATCTTGGGCTTTTCATGTCTCCCAGGAAGTGAAATTAAACACTGCGTATTTCTGTTAAAGTCAGGTGCAAAATACCCTTACATTATTTACACATTTTTAATCATCAATACTTATGAAATACTTTCACCCATTTCTTGATACTTTCTGGTTGATATTCAGACATTACATGAATGTGTTCTATTGTTTGAAACTTGGTTCTAAAAAATTTGCATAAAAAACAATAGATAAAATTTAATTACTGAACAGATGTAAACAACAAGTTGTTAAGATAAGTGCTAAACAGAATAAACGATCAATTCTACAGCAGATCATCAATCGATAGCTAGTTGTTTCAGAATGACTGTTAAAGTAACCTACGTCCCATACAGTCTATGATGTCATATATCATTTCATATTGAGTAGAATCTTTTCTATTCGGATTATTCCGTGGCACTTGTTAAATAGTAATAAAGTGTTGAACATTAATATGATACTCATTTTGCTGGTTTTTTGTTTACAGAAAGTAATGATAAATGGTGGCAACAAGCAGTATGGTGTATGAAGAGATTGTGGGAGTTCGGGGCAGCTGACCTCAGCCCCCGCGCACTTTATTTCCGCGCGAGATGCCCCACAATTTAAATTCAACGTCTGCTAATTCTGCCAATTCCGGGCCTAACCATCAGGCCTACCCTCCTCCTCAGCCGTATCATCACATTGGCGATGGACTTCAACCGGAGGTGGGTTTATATTAATTTATCAAAAGATATTATATAGATTTATAAGTGATTATTTGAATGGTTGTTTAATTGAAAAATAATCTTTTTATAGAAAGAACCAGTGGAGTTTGATACAAGTCATCTCCGAGGAGCACCCACAGAGGTGGAGGCATTGGTACACAACATCAAAGAAGTTGCTCAGCAATTTCTGTATCATTGGCGAACATTTCCAATTGTTTTGCCTCCACCTTTGTCTTCATGCACAGATGGTGAGGATACGTTGGCCCGGAAGAAGCATCACTTGAGAGACTTATTTGTGCCACCGAGTTTCGATGAGCTAGATGCCGTTGCAGTTGACATAAAAGGTGAACCACGACGGCTTACTAATAAGCAACTCGAAAGCATAAGAGAAAGAGGGTGAGGCTCTATCGTTTATTCACTCAATTATATTATTATTTTTCTTCCATTTTTACTTATCATTATTATAAATAAAATACTTATACTAAGTAGAATTATCGCATTTGCTAGAGATATATAGTGATGACACTTTACGCTTTGGATAATTAAATTTAGAGATAGAATAATTTAGAAATAGTATTTTTAATATTTTATTACAATAAAACATGCCCTTTCATTTTGAAAAAAAAAAAAATTAGTCCACTGATATTATAAATTTTACAGGCTTTATGTTTTCCAAAGTTTTAATAAAATTCTTCAAAATTTATTGTGACAAGGAGAAATTAAAAAAATAAATGGAAAATTAAAAAAAAAATAATTATTACTTTTGATATATTTTTTATCTATCATTTTATTGTTAACAATTTTTGTAAAGCTTACACAAGGATAAGTATGGAAAGCCGAAGAAGCTGAATGCCACTCAGTTGGAGAGCATTCGGAGATGCGGGTACGTTATTTACAATCCCGACACTCCACGTTGTTGATATGTTCACTGTATTGACTATCAATAATAAAAAAAAAAAAAGACATAACTTTGTACATAAAACATTTTCAAGACAATCTAAAAATATTTTATAATATTGTTTATAAGTTTATTTCCAATATCCAATGGTATTACGATATTACTTTTACCATTTTCAATAAATAATAAATTTATTTATGACTACTTATTGAATTATGCTTTTATTTGGTCTGTATGTAATTTTCACACAATTTAATACTGTTAGCATGACTTGAATGTAAATACAATAGCTACAATTTTACGTTCACGTAAAAATCTTTGAGAAAATGGTGTTGGTTTTATATTAATCTGAAAATAGCATCACGATTGTGTACTCACGCGTTTCACTTATACATAATTAAAGTATATAAAAACACATTAAACATACATTTACTTTTACGTAAACAATCGATTTTTATTTATATATATATATATATTTTTTCATAGAGCTTTATAAGCATAGTTACATTCAGTTATTTTTTATTCATATTAGAACAATGGTGATGTATTTTAAATGGTTTGTAGAAAGTATTACTTTTTATCAGCTTTAATTAAATACCTAATTAATTTCTAAACTAATAAATCAAATATTAGCCCTATTGAGTTAATTGAATAATCATAGCTGTACATAAGATAATAATGTACTAGTAATTATAGCTTCTTTCTAAATAATCAATTATCATAAAGATGATAAAAAGTATTAAATGAAAAAACATACGACAGTGAGTTTCATAATTTTTCTATTCACATACTCATATTATCTAAATTCGCTGTTTCTTTACAGTCTAATCATCACGTAACTTGTTTATAAATCACCTGATGTCACCTGTGTTATGAGTAAAGTAACATAATTATATAAATACAACTTTAATGAACAAATTTTACAGGGAGTTTGAGGTGGACTCGATAAACTTTGCCGGTCAAACACACCGGTGGCGACTTAGTGGGTTGCTACAGCGAGGAAGAGATAGAAGAAGGGAAACATTGTTGAAAGATCTAGCCTTAGCAACAAGATTTCTTGTGGTTACTGCTAGAGCAAGACTTATTTCACATTGCTTCAGTATTTCACAAGCTTTCAAGGCACTTTTGACTGGATTTCTTAGACTTCTTGGTAAGTATATTGACATTTCTATGATTTGAAAAAACAATTGAATGTAACTTGACCTGTAATACCAGTTAATTAGGATTTAAAAGTTCATTAAAAATGTTGAAAAGTTTTAATTATATTGTATAATATCGAAGATTTCATGTACTTTTAATTAATTTTGTAGAACCTCTCAACATAATATTACATTTCAATGTTAAATATTTATTTAGAAGAAAATAGATGAGAAAGTTTTTTAAATTCTATTTTAATTAAATAAAATATCATGTTGAGTAAATACATAAAATCTTAATAAAATTTGGTTGTACATTTTCTAGATATAATCATTGGAATACCGTCTCTGCAAGCACAAAATCTAGATGGGAAAATCAGAGAGGAAAGATGTCGTTATTTGGTTGCTGAATTAGTCTGTAGGGTATGTGACTAAACTCATTTTTATTAAATATGCGCATTAAAAAAAGTACAGAGTATTCTACGTAGTTTAATTATTAAATTATGTATAATGTGGCTTATGATCGTTTTAAACACATATGTGTATTGTTGACAGCCGGAATACGAAGATTCACTGGAATTACTATGTGGTTTTGTGCGCAAGCAACTGAGACGAGCGACGATGGAGAAATTCGAAGTAGAAAGAGAATCGTCGCAATTGCTTCCAGTATCTGTGCCCTTTGTCTTTGGCACTCCTGCTGGTTCAGCCGTAGATCTACGATTATTTAGCAGAGACATCATTAGGAAGGCTCTGCCAACATTAGTTACAATTTTAGAGAGAGAAACTCGAGGATGGTTTCTTCATTTTCGAGAAAGACTAATTTCTGAATTAAGAGCGCAAAAAAAATCTGATGAAGAAATAGAACAGGTATATTAAATACAGTTAATTGATTTATTTGCACACCAGTGACAGTTTGAAGTTTAAATCAATTGATTTACTGACGAACGACAATTAAGAAGGAATAAAATATTTTTCATTTCAGCAAGTAAACGAAGCAGTGATGCGCGAATATTTGCAACGAGTATATTCCAGTATACTCTCTCATCCAGACATTTTGGCATTAGGAGATGGAATAGCACAACTTTTGGTCCAGCAAGCACAATCAGTAGTTTTGATGCATCGAGCTGTAGAGAATGTCCAGCGAAAGTTGTCACAAATGAAAGAGTCTCTTCGTCAACGAATGGAAAGTGAACATCCGGTACTTTCAAGAATAGGACCATGGATGCGTGATAGAATGAGAGAGGCGGAGGCGAATTTTATTGAGGAGTGTGAATGGAGTGCACATCAAGAAGCACTGTCTCTTTGTAGTTTACAAAATTTACAGCAAACTGTTTATTTCCTTAATCGGGATTTGACATTTATGCGAGAGGTGGGTATTTTAATGATATTGAGATAACTAACAAGATTGATCAATTTACTTACTTTTAATTAACAATAGTAAAAATCTTGCTACGTAAACAAACAATTATCAAATTAGTTAAATAATTATTAAACGGTGTATTTTCATGATTTCATTAAAAAATTATAGAGAGAGCCTGTTCTGTTGAAAGAACTTCGAAAAGTCAAGACTCCAACACGGAGTTTTCAATGGCCAACGCAAATTTGGCTGCCACGGAATTGGATTGTCCGACGTAATTTCCAAGGAACTTCGGAAATAATTCCCACAGTTTTAAGTAATACACCAACATCTATAACGACTCCACGGGCTGACCCGAGCCAACCAGTTTTTCTTGTGGAACGGGAAATCATTCATACGACGACGACGAGATGGCCAATGTGGCGTTGGATAAATTATATTGCACGCACGTGGTGTTGGACGTGGAATGCTATGTTCTTGTTCGGAGTTGCTGTGCCGTGGTGTAGTCGTGTATCTTTACGAGCTCTACTACTTGTAGAACCGTTTACACCAGACCTGGAACTCAGCCAACTTAACGGAACTCTTTTCCCGCGAAAATCGTCACAAACACCGACACTTTGTTCTCGATTAATAGCACTTTGGCGACACATCAGCAAAAGTCGGACACATTTTGAGACTGAGCCTGATACCGGTATGTATAAATCAACCGGTATTTTATTTCCTTCTCTCTTGTCCATTATGAATTTATTTTATGACTCCTTATTTGATTAATTTATTTTTTTACAGGATTTATCGGCAAGGGTATGACGAGGCATATAAACAGACTATGGAACTATGGAGTTAAGGGTCTCTTGGGAACTCTAGGGATTCTCTTCCTTTTTCCCATAATCTGCATTGTTGCCAGTGTCAGTTCACTCCTGATTGCGTTCTCCGCTTTTTTATGGTCTGTTGTTTTCTAGTTTTTATTACTTTGTTAACATAATACACAATACAGAATAGAACTTTAATAAAATTCAATTTTTATCAGTATACATAAATCAAACTTTTATAGCTTATTAAAATATTTATACGAAATACTTTGATAGCTAACTACAGACATTTACAAGAAAACAACAAATTTTACTACGTAAACCATTTAATTATAAATAATTGCTTTTTTTAGGATGCCGATATTAACTCTCATCCTCCACGCATTTATGGGTTTGATAATGGACCTAGACAGTCCAGAGCCAAGTCGAAATCGATACTTCGTAGTAATGGAAGCTTTAGTGTGGAACGTAGGGATTCAAGGTTGCTTACAGCCAATAGCTGCACTGATTGTAGCCGTCTTTATATGTCCTATCATCTCGTTTTTGATACTCACTGTGGCTGTGATACGCTATTGGATAAGGGTCATGTGGGATACGGCAATGTTCCACTTAGTGATAAAAAGTCGAGGTAGAGTTCCAGCTAGTGACAGCTTTGTCGTTAAAAGAATAGCAGGTCCAGGCTTAGCATCAGATTATTACTATCAGATAAGGCCGGAACAAGCATTGGCAGCATTTGAAGCAAAACTTGAACTTGATGAACTCTTAGCATTTCAACAAGAAACTGAACGGCTGATAACACAACCACAAAGAGATTTCACTCAATTCGTTGAGGCTTGCTTTAGTCCTTTTGCTACAAGTTTAGCAAAAACACGTGATCCTTACAAGTCTTTAGAAAAGGAAGCAAGAGATCTAGTGGCAGTGCTCCACGAAAAATTAGATCGACGTCGAAAAGATCTTCAAACAGGTCTTGGAGTTGCTGTAAGAAGTAAAATAAAGCTTACAACTTATGATTTAAAAATAGCTATTCAGCAGGCAGCATTAATGTTAGAGCGTTTATATCCTTCACACGTTTTTGCAAGGATTAATGGAAGTGAAGACGATTTTTGGGAAAATAAAGGACTAGGAGTCGGGGACTGGGCGGGATTAGCCGGTCTGATGTATGCAGACATATTCAGTCTAGATTTTCTACAACCATTAGACGATACAGATACTAAATTTAAGCTGGAACCTCATCCAGGCGTAGATTTAAGCAGGTACAGCGAAATGCTCCATAACACTGAACTTGGAGGAGTTAATGGACCTGATTTATTAGGAGCCATTTATGCCCCAAGAGGAAACATTCTAGTACACAGTCCTTATCTTGAAGTGTCTGCTTTTAATCCTAGAGCTAAACAAACTAGTAACAGTAGAAAATCGGAGAAACGATGCGACTCTAGTCTTTTGACGTCACCGAGAACTCGACGTAAAACTAATTCGGGTTCTTCAACCAGTGAAAGTCGTTGGCAACCTTGGAAACGAGAAATGCGTCCTTACAGTGCAGAGAAATTGGTGATTCCTCTTCCCATTCCTCATCCAGCACATATTGCTGTGACAATTCACAATCGAGATTCAGAAGATCCAATTCCTCTTGACTCTGAGTTGTGTCAAAATATTTTAAGAGCTATCGAAGAATCTCCAGGAGAAATGGCAACTGAGTGTGTAAGTCGTTATCGTGGTGGAGCTGATTCTAGCTTCGATTCAGTAGCTTCTCAATCGTCAGTGTCAATAGAAACAGGCCTAGATAAAGACAACGATACCGAAGAGGTAGTAAATGAAGAAAAAGAAGGAGAAACATACCACTGGACTCTTTCTAATTGGGGTGGTGGTATGGCAAGACGAAGAAATAACTCCGGATCAATAAAGGTTGATCTTGCATCTCCTGAAGATGTTACTTTAGACACTGATACCACTAGGGCGATGTTCAGCACATATGGCACGACGGTCTGAATCATCACTCTACTTCCTCAAGTATTTGACATTGTAAATTAGTTAAAGTTCTGGATTTTATGTAATACAAACTTTAAGCATTTTTTTTATTTCTTATCGTTAAAATATTTATTTAGATTCATGATATTATCTAGATTAATTAGAGAAATACGATATGACCACGACTCTTTAAAAACAGAAACAAAATGTAAATCATTGACAAGTTTTAAAAAAGAGATAAGAGGATATTTGATGTAATTGAAATATTTTTTTAATAGCTATTATTTACTTATTTAGTAAAAAAATTCATTTATTTAATACTTCACTTGCCATAATTTTTTCTGTATGGACTAGAAAGTAGAAAGTATTTAATATGATAAAAAAGAACAATAACATAAATATAAATGAAGTAAAAATTTTTTTAATGAAACAATTACGTTCATAACTATAAATTTCTTGTGAATTCTATTGTTTTATATTTTTTAATTGCAAATATTGTCTTTCTTATAGTGATTTTTCAATCAATTGACGATTTTTCTTCACAACTAAGTAACGAATTAAAGTTAAAAAAAAACAATGACGCATTTCAATTATATATAGATAACGCACACAAAACTAGGAATTTTTAGTTGACATGAAGATGAATGATATTTAAATGCTCATAGATGTTGGGAAACAAATTACTAGCAGAGAATCAAAATCATACTTCAAATAATAATTACAATGAATTAGAAAAAGAACATTGAAATCATTTTTAAATGTTATACTTTACAAAAAAAGATAGCTAAAGTACTAAAAAATATAAATTAATCAATTCTTAAAATCATTCGTAAATTTTCCGCCGAAAACTTTCATAAAATACTGGATAGAGAATGTTATTAAATGATTTGACAATTAAAACGTTGGGCCATTTTTTGCACGTGTGTCTTGAAAATCGACACTAAACATTTTCTCTGTGTATATAGTTAAATTGTTATATTATATCCATAATAAATAATTAGAAAAATTAAGACATATACCAAACAACAGCATTAATTGATAATTAATTCATTAAGTAATTATAATTATATATGCTCTCTTTTTCGTGTTCGTTCTACGATAGTTATTTATATTACGCGCGCCTCAAAATATCAACCGATTGAAGTCGTTTATTTATAATATATTATTAAAAAAATAATATTCGACTTCAGTCAACTAGATTCATACAGTACATATTTATATGATGATCAAATTGATGTAATAATAATAATAATAATAATAATAGTCCAAGAGTTTAAAAGTTCTGTAGATAGAGTACAAAAATTTACGTTCTAGTTGTAAGAATAAAAATATAGTGAATTAAAACAGTGGAAACACTAATAATTTGCATTAAAAAAATATAAAGATAGATATTTTATTGAAAATTAAATTGGACAACATGATTGCATTTGTCATCACAGAGTAATAAGTTGTTTAATCGGTTTTATATTAGATCGATTTATTAATATTGAAAAATGTGTGTATTACTCTACGTTACTTATTCAATGAATATTTAAATTATAAATATATATTTACGTATGAAAATGAAAGAAAAAAAACATCAAGAATAATAATTGAAAATTTGAATAGAAAGTAATTTAATTTTATGACATTAATTGTACAGATGTAAAATGAAGTTAAGAATAATTTTGATAGATGGTAAAAAAATTAATGACATTTTTTTTAAAGTGATATTTAATCCTCTTACTTGCATAAAAATATAAATATAAATAAATTTAATTTGTCATAATTAATTTATCAATAAAATTAATATTTTTGAGATATTTTTATTTTGTGAGTAATTTAAAATATTAAATCAATGAATTTCATTCTTTCTGTCAATTGCAATCTGAAGTCTACTGATAAATGAGTGTATATTTGAGATTAAATGATGTAAATAAATAAATTTTATGTACGTAAAAGGATTAATTCTACTGCAATCATGTTTATCTTATCAAAATTTCAATTAAAATCCATAGAGAATAAATTCAATTTCAAATTCCATCCAGAAATGAAATTCCATACAAGTATGTGTTTGATAAGAATGAAAAGGATTGATAATATTATTCAATTAAACAATATCCATCCATAAAAAAATAGACGTTATAATCAATCAATTAACGATAATTACATAATATATCTAGAAAAAAAAAAGTAATGGGTAAATAATGAATAACGATAAACACAATAAATAAAAGCAGACTCGATAAATAATGAAAACAACAAAATTTGTAAACGTCTCATCGATTTGAGGTGTGCGTCATCAATTTATTGTTATTAATAAAAAAAAATATCTCTTTTATTCATGATTCTACGTATCAATAATTTAGTGATCACTAATAATAAAAAATAACTATCATAAACATAAACTTCCAAGTTCTTTCTCATGTCTCTCATTATGTTAATATTAAAAATACATTCAATAAAAAAACAAAGAAACTGAAAGTTTATAATAAAGTCCAAGATTTAATTGAGTTGAAAAACAATGGAAGTTTCATAGTAATTCAAATCAACAATAGAATAATTTTTTTTTCATCAAATTTTCTGATCAATTTAATGTTCAAAAATCACTTAATATAGTTTGAAAATAGCGACAAAGAGAAAGAGATAAAACAATTATTGCAGATGAACTATGAATGTCTGCATGTGAGAAGAATTTATAATGCTTAATTCAAATGGAATAAAATATGGAAATAATCCCAGGATAAAGAAATTAGAAAAAAAAAAGAATTGAAATGCTCACGTTGCCAAGTAAAAATTGGAGTAAAAGTAACAAGTATGAATAAATTTACCGATAAAGTCTTCTGTAATTGTCTGTAAGAATGAAAAAAGAAATAGATATGTTAAGAACGTATTTATCATTGTAGTCTGTCGCTAATAATTATGATTATGATTGTCTATTCATAACTTTTAGCATTTAAACAGCCATAAGTATTTTTTTTTTAGATTTACATTTGAAATGATTCAATAATTTTTTTTAATAGTTGAAAATATTATTAATGAAAGAGAAAAAAAAAGAAAGACTATTTTATTTACATATTTAAATGATAAAATAATGGTAAACGATAAACTGACAATTCATATTTGGCTTTAATCTTCAGAAACTAATAATTAGAAAATACTGATGAAATTGATGAAGCCTATTATAGTATCAATTAATAAATGAAATTTTTTTGTAAGTATTAAACATAAATGTGATTATATGGAAATGCTTTTTTGTTGCTTATTATATAACGAATAATCGATAAAATTTTCTATTCATTTACATAAATATGTAATAAAAATAATTACTGTATATAATTTAAATGTAAAATGTTTCTATCATTTATTTAACTCAAATTTATCACTGATATTTCGAAAAATACTGCCTAAAGTATTTCCTAAACACTATTACTCGGTTAATATTTTTCAAAGATTCCCGCTGATTTTTTTATAACATAATTTTTTTAATTAAATCGACCAATAAACGATTCGATTGGTTATTTCATGCATTGCTTTTCCTGCAACATTCCAGGATTTATCTATCATTTTCCATAAACTGCTTTAGACTTTCCAATTGTAGTTGGCTCTCTCCAAAACACATGTACATATGTTATAGCTTTCTGCGCACTTTGATATTCTGTAAATATGTATCATATGTACAATGTACATCAGGACGAGAGAGCTAGCTAGAAGGATGTGCGCGTGTCAAATGCTTTCCAAGGCGCTCATTTCATAAAATCATTACGTAGTAACGTGAGTCAGTACGACGCAATTTCACACGTTTCCGTTTATTTCGGGTTTTATTCGTTGAGTATCGTAACAGGATAAGAATCGTAATCGTCCCCTCCATTTATGATACTGACTATGTTAATAATATATATTTCTTGAATCATAAAACCTATAAACGAAGTGACAGTAATATTATAAGTAATATAATATTATGACGTAAAAATATTGCAATCAAAATAAAGAACCTACTTTGGGATAATCATTTGCTGATTTATGACTGACTAAAGTGGATTGAAAAACAAATCATGTGAAATATAACAACAAAAATGACTTTGAAAACTTTTTTATTTTTTTGTGAGGTTAAAATAAGTGAGTGTCCGATCGTTTGATTGCGTAAACGTCCAGATGGTGTGAATATTAACGTGGAATATTTTATCGAAAACTTAAATGTGGTACTCATTTTTTTCATTTTAATAAACTGATTTTTTTAAAAGCATCAGGTGCAAGTGAATGTGTTTTTAAACACGTAAAAGTTTAATCATCGTGGGGTATAAATAGATGAATGCCGACAATACATAACCTCTAATGTATCAATGATTTTTAATGAAAAAAAAAATACAATAATTACCACAAAAAAATCACAAAGAAAATACTCTAAACTCCAATTGAATATTAAATAATTGGCTTTAATTGTCTACAAACATTATATATGTGTGGAAATCGAAATTTTAAAAGAAAACATTTTAAGTGATATAAACAATTAAAAATTTTATCTCAATTAATTCACTCCAAGTGGAAAAACTTCAATTTTATTTAAAAACACATTTACAAGATTTATATAGAAACTTATAGATAACATTATAAAGTGTAATTACATTACAAATATGAAATAATTAACCGTGCTCATTTTTAACAATATTATTATAAAAAAATACTCCAAAATGAAATTAAAAGTTTTGCATAATAATAATTAATTGATGATTGAATTTGAAAAAAAAGAATAATAATAATTAAATACAAATAACTATTTTCAACTGAAAATATATGAAATAAAAAAGTGTCATGGAGAAGCTATAAAAAACTTGCGAAAAAAAATAAAGTGGTGCTTAAGGGAAAAGATAATCAATAGTAGAAGAACCCTATGTAGTAATAGATATTCTTCGAAGGGTTTTATCGGTTCCACAGGCATAGGACTTGTTTACTTCGGGGTAGATGACAACATGGGTGACCTTGAAAACATTAGAGGTCACGTGATATATAGTAGAAGCGGGTGATTGGTTAAAAAAGGCGTGCGTCCGCGGATAACTACATCTTGTGCGCATTAGACTGCAATCAGCGCCCTCTTTCATAAAAAAAATTGTGTGTCGCGTATGTATGTGAATAAACGCGCTTGCGCTGTCGCGGTTCTTTTGTGTGTATGTCTCATGTGTTAACGTAAACTAACACGAGGCATTTCTATTTCCATTTCGTTTGGTTGTTCATTTCCTCCTTTCAGTCGTCTCATTTGCGTCGAGCCTCGCGTCAGTATCACTTGTTTAATAGTATTAGGGTGCAATAAATGAGTTAGTCCAAAGAATTAAGTGACGAAGATAGAATAAAGAAGATCTCGAGTAGGATAAAGAGAAAGAAGAGTCGAATATTAGTTTCATTTCTATATGTGGGTGTCCCAGCAGCAGCGCGCGCGCGAATTGTGTTGTGTTACGGCGGTGGCAGTGGCCGCGACGCCGCTCTATGTTGTTGTCGCTCGACCCTCAAGATGAAGTCCGACTCAAAATCTTTGTTGACAGCTCAAGCAGAAAAAGCGAATCATTACACGTAAGTCAAGTTTCGTCAATAAAATCAAGTGCATTGTGTGATAAATACCACGTTTTCATGGCTATATCTACAAACTTAAATATAACGGTGTGTGAGCTGAGTGAGTAGATGGCGAGAAAGACAGGAAGAAGGAAAGAGGAGTCAAAGAAATCACGGGAGGGAGGGTAAATCGTGGGCTCAGAGGGAGGAGAAGTTGCGAAGAGAGCATAAGAGAAAGAAAAGGAATACATGAGATAATGTTTCGAGGGCAACTAAACCATAAAAGAAATTTTTATCGCAAAAATTACAAATCCTGAGTCCTAACCAGACAATTATTTCTCAAATAACATCAAATGTTTCTGCTCAATGGTTATCTTTTAATTTTTTTTCTTTTTTTTTGTAGTTGATTATTGAAAGAAAAAAAGAATAAACTTGCGTGACAGAAATGTAGAGAATTCATTATTTATGAAAAACGATTTTAAAATATTATTCTAGTTTGAAAAAGATAATACTATACAAATGAATAATGGTGCAAGAAGTGTTGTGAGTATGAAAAAAAAAGAAGCAAATTATAAAGAAGAAAAATGAAAAAAAACATAATTCTTGTGGAATTTTAATGAAAATTTGTTATTATTGTAAATAATATTAGAAAGAAACATGTGTGATACAGTGGATTTTGTGCATTGCAGATACTTAAAGGAATTTCGTGTGGAACAATGTCCACTGTTTATACAGCGAAAGTGCACACAGCATCGGCCATTCACGTGCTTCAACTGGCACTTTATGAACCAACGGAGACGCAGACCAGTGAGAAAACGAGACCGCACCTTTAACTACAGCGCGGACAATTATTGTACCAAATACGATGAAACTACCGGCATATGCCCTGATGGAGACGAGTGAGTATTACTTATTTATTCTAATAAAATAATAAGAGTGCTTTCAAAAATCGTTTAAAAAACAAAACAAAACTGCATCATTTAAACAATGTATCTTTTGTAAAAATTAGAGTAACATATTTTAACCTGAAAATAAACAAACGATATTTACATTCATTTGTTTACTTTCTGGTATATATAATTTATGAAAGGTTAAGCTAATCATTATCTCTATACTAATAAATAACTTCTTTTTTTTTTTTAGATAATTAAAAAGAAATGCTTGTTCTTCATTTGGTACAAATAATTTCATCTAAATATCACATTTTGCGGTGACCTTATCGATTTATGACGTTATTGTTTTTCTCTGTATCATTTTCTTGTCGGGAGAACCCGACGATGACGTTTTGTTTCTGACAGTTTACTCATTGAAAAAATTTTTTTCCTTTTGTTCAATGAAATTTACATATACATCTTTATGAATTTTTATCACGTACATCAGCAACTTGTTGCCATACTTTCACTTCTCCAAACTTTAGTTAAATTAAATTTTAACAGTTGAGAATAGAATGAGTACAGACAAACAATGAAAATTTTCAACATCAAAATATGGAAAATGTAAGCTTGAACACCACTTGTTAAGTTTCAATGACGTCTTTGTTAAATGTATTTTCAAGTAAAAGCCAAATATTTGAAATTTCTTTGTCCCCAACCTTGGTAAGTGGGCCAATGGTGAGGGAAAAGGGACGGATTTTCAGGGTTTTCTTTGTGTAGAACCGGCATTTTCCGGTAGCAGGGAGCCTCACCCTAATCTATTTACCCATAAAGATCATAGTGGAACCAATTATAGCCGTATAACATCATTTCCACTTTATGTTACTGCAAGTGAAAAACAAAGAGATGTCATTTTTCCTTTTTGTAGAGTTTTCCAGTTGTAATGGATACAAAAAACTCTTTTAAATGTAGTATTATTAGTTTCAGGGATTATTGATGTTATCTTAGTACATCGGTTCGTCTATCCCATTTGGTCAATTTATTCCACCATAGCTTAACTCATCAATCCAAGAGACAAAGAAATGTCATTCTTCTTCTTGACGAACTAGAGTTTCTGTATAAACCGTTTCATTCAACTCTTTACATACTTTATTCAACAAACGTAATTAATTAAACAGGCGTCTAGCATCGTAATACTAGGAATATAAAATTAGCCGGCCATAAGAATATATTGTTGTGTGTAATGAGTTTTTTTTACGGGTATATCTTGTAACGGAAATGCAGAGCATTAAATAAACATATTAAATCATGAGATAAAAATATTTCTTAGAATAATTATATGTTTCTTATTACAATGTGATTCATATTAGAATTACGTGATTACATAGATGATATTTCTTACTCTAGATATTTTCAATCACTTCTAAAAAATGAATTGGAGACTTCAATCAATCTTACATGATAATAAATTTGAAATATTTAACTAAAATAATTTATTTTCAGTAAATTTTTTATGTGAAAGTTAAAGTAACCATAAATACATTTAAATGTAATTTTAATATACCGTATTTATCATAATTTATTGAAAAAATGACTAAACTCTGAAATCACCTCGTAAACCTATTTTAAAATATTTCAACACGTTTTTCTAAAAAATTTTCAGTATTCTCAATGTCTTATCCAATGGCATAAATATTGTCTACCTTTTTTTTTTTTTTATTGAAAACGTTTACCTGCTGTTAGAGAACGACGACCGATAAAGCATAACTTTATGTTGTATAGACTTGTCGACTAGTAATTTTTTCTGACATATTTACGGCTTACATAATATTTATTGTACGAAACGTGACAGTACACGAGACCTGCAGGTATCCATAAAAAAATCCTTTCTCTACAATAAATATTTCTATCTATATATTCTATAAAGTTATATTTCATTCAATGACTATTTGATTATTAAATTTAAATTGAATGCACTCTATTTATTTCTGCAAATTTATATATCAACATTCGATTTCATGAGATTCAAATTTCTTTTTCTATTTATGAAAATTAATTGAAAAGAGTATACATCGCTATGGTAAACTATTTTGATTATTATCACTCGATTGTTTAATATATAGAGATGATAAATACGAAAGTAAATAAAAGAATGGGTGAATGAAAAAGGTATTTAAGTTGTAAGAGTTGTTTTCCCTCCAAAATTTTCGTGGTATGTGCGGGGGGAAGCCCAAACAAAGAAGCTTTCTGATATTGATTTTCTCTTGGTATATATACTCGTAACAAAGAATCATGAATTTTTCTTTGTCTACCTGATTGGAATTTATAAATATTGTACAATTTAACTCTCTCACAAAAATATTTTCAACAATTTTCCTTATAATCCCTTATTTATGTTCATGTTTTGGAGCAATGATTGTTTTTTCCAAGCTGTAATATTGATTTTGATGAGAGAAATGTTTTTTTTTCTGTTATTTATTCAACATTTTATTAAGTTTCTCATATCAATTATAATTCAAATAATTATCTTTTAAAAAATATGATTTAAAAGATATTTCGACTGTTAATTCACCGCTGATGAAGGTAATTTTACGGATCTCCAACTTTGCGAATTATGTGTGTTTCCATTTGGCTTTGAGCTGAGTATTTCTGTATACATGTAGATAGAGATTATGGAAGGATTTAACGATGCGTTTATCTCAGAGTTAATTATTTTAGCTATGTAAACTCAGTCTATGCTGTTTATATTACTTTTTGATCATGTTGTAAAAAATTATTATACTGAAAAAATATACTTAAAATATTTAAGCCGGTATTGTTTATTCAACATTAAAAATTAAAAGTTCATAATATAAATTTCAGCAACAGTAAATTTTTATCATACATTTAAAATTTCAATACAACTAATAATTTTGTTCATTTATTTTATGAAAACAAATTATTTTTACCAATGCATAAAAAAGATTTTGTTTTATAGTGAGAAACATTTTTTATGAAGAAAGTAAAAAATAAATAATTTCTATTTACAGATGTCCATTCCTTCACCGAACAGCTGGGGATACAGAAAGACGTTATCATCTTCGATATTATAAGACATGTATGTGTGTTCATGATACAGATACAAGAGGATTTTGTGTAAAAAATGGACCACATTGTGCTTTTGCACATGGCAATCATGACCTTCGTCCTCCTGTGTATGATATAAAAGAAATTCAAGCATTAGAAAATCCAGATTCAGATCCAAATTCTTCGACAAATGGGCCAAATATTTTGGACAAAGAGAGAAATTTGATGAATGAAGATCCTAAGTGGCAGGACACTAATTATGTTCTCAGTAATTACAAAACTGAGCCATGCAAGAGGCCACCTCGGCTTTGTAGACAAGGATACGCCTGTCCTCAGTATCATAATAGCAAAGATAAAAGGAGAAGTCCGCGAAAATATAAATATCGGTAAGTGCAAAATTATTTTGAAATAAATATAGTTTTCTTTAATGATATCTAATTTTATCTAATGTGATATGTAGATCTACTCCGTGTCCAAATGTAAAACATGGAGAAGAATGGGGCGAGCCAGGAAACTGTGAACAAGGAGATGCCTGTATGTATTGCCATACTCGAACTGAACAACAATTTCATCCTGAAATTTACAAGTCAACCAAGTGCAACGATGTTCAGCAAGCTGGATACTGTCCCCGCGGCGTCTTCTGTGCCTTTGCACATGTTGACCGTGAGTTTACTATGATCAATCGTACGTAAAACAATCACTATACTTTTTTTTAGTCTAAGTGTGTGCTTTTACACCTTCATCATTAACTTCTGGATTTTTTTTTTATATTTCATTCAATCGAATAGAAATTTTTCTATTGATTTTATCATTAATTAATTCCATAAAAAGCTTTGGTGTATCTCATTAACATGCTTGGAAAATAAAAAAATTACGTTTTATTTTTCATTTTCTGCAAATATAATTTGATAAGTATTTAAATGACGTTAATGATAAAAATAAAAAATCACACATTTTATCTTGTAATTGATATATTGCAACGATGGTATGGTGTGGTTGCTGATGGAGCAGTTGTGCCAACAGAAGAAATGAGTTTGCCCGTGCCATTTGATTGTGGTACAAATTTGGCGGATATTCTAAGCAATGCATTGCCACCTGATAAGCGGTCCCATGATAAAGACAAACAACTCAGCGATAGTAGTGTAAGTATTGATTTCATTTTAATCCATAGAAACTGTAATAAAATTTCAAACTTATGTATCTCCATTACATAATTGTAAAACATATTGTAATATTAAATAATAATAAATGAAGATGTTGTGGGTTAAGCGAAATTGGTGCTTAAGAAAAGATTTTATAAAAATCCAAATATAATGAAATGTCATTAGTTTCTGGGATTCCAGAATGGAAGCGGCGAAGTCTCGGAATCAGCGAGTACGAGTAGTCTTGGCAGTAATCATTCTCATAGTAAAGCACCGGGCGCACAGCTTCATAACTCCAGTACAAATTCAATAGGAAATGCTGTAAATCAACCGAAACTTTCAACAAATATACTTTTTAATCCTAATTCACTTATACAAATAGTAAGTGTTGATTAAAAATATTTATTTTATTTATTATTTTTAATTATATTCATTTTTATTTTAGAATGAAATTCGAAAACAAATCATGGCAATAGATAGTGATCCTTTGTTAACAAAATCAGAGAAAATTCAACGTAAACAAAATCTACTTTTACCTTACAATTTAAATGGTACTTTGAGTAGTCACTCATTGACCACAGTATCTCCTCTTTCAAGTAGTTCTTTTTATCCTAATGATACCGTTGAATCGGTAGTAGGTAAGTTGAAAATTTTTTTAGAAGAGTTGAAGAAGTTTTAAAACGTACGATTGTATCAGTTTATAATCATTTGATCCCCTTTCAGGTAATGCATTGGATGAACTGCATTTAGATGATCCTTTAAATTTAGTTGATTCAATACACAGGGATACTAGTTCACCAATAAGTAATTCAATATCAGCGGGTTTGGCAAGTTCAGGATTACTTGGAAGTTCCGCTCCAGTAAATATTCCAGGAATGGCTGAACGTTCTGTTCTCTCAAATTTCTCACCATCTACTTCCAGTCCATTGCAACATTTACAATCCGCTGGATTTTTGACAGGGTCCAGATTTCCTCAGGATTCAATTGAATCTGTAAGATTCTTCATTCAATTGTATAAATATTTAAGTTGAAATATTGAAATATAAAAAATGTGTTTTTTATTTGTTTATAGACAATGCCATTTTTGAGTCATTCAGTATCAGATCCATTTAGCAATCATATTTCACAATTAAGCAGTTCTGCATCAAAATTGAGTGGTTTCAACAGCAGCTTATTCGATTTTGCCAGTCAAGGATTATCGCCATCACGTACACAACCATTAGCAGCATCTCCACTTGTAAATGCATTTTCATTAAGCCCTAGTAATTCAGGATCACTTTCAGAGGTACAGAGAGAATAATTTTATCACATAAAATAATTCACTGATACAAAACAGTGGTTATTTTTTCACATGGTTATTTTTTATTAGATGCAAGTTCAAAGGCTACGGGAAGAATTAACATCAAGTAGAGCTCAACTCGCAACTTGGGATGAGAGGATAAATCAAGCACGTGCTGCTTGTGCAGCTTGGCATGCAGAGAGTGAAGAAGCTAAAAGAAAAGCCACAATTGCTGAACAACAAAGAGATGAGGTACATTCAGTCTATTAATTAATTCATTATAGAAGAATAAATAAATAAACTAATTGATATTATGTTTTTATTTATTTATTTAATAGTATTTTATTTATTTTTATTAGGCTTTAATGCAGGTAAAAGCACTACGGGTAGAAAATGAACAATCTAATGGCGGTCCTCATCTACATGCATTGAAAAGAACAAGTGAATTGAGGAATTTATCTATAACAGCATTAAAAACAATTCAATCACAATTACGTCAAGATCTTGAAGAAGTAGAGAAGGTATTGAATTAATTAATTAATTAAATAGTATATAAGTTCACAATTTTTGAGTAATCGCTTATAAATTTTGTTGTATGATATGATTATAGGTGTTATACAGAGAAACAGCTAACAAATGCATGGTCTGCGAGGAACAAAATCGTGCAGTGACATTAGCACCTTGTAATCACTACGTAGTTTGTGCAACCTGTGCACCAAATCAACGTGAGTGCCCGTACTGTCAGACTCCCGTTGTCTCCACCAGTTAAATCAATCATATTTAATATATTCTATAATGCAAGCTGTTATATAAACTGTTACTAATAGTGACAGTGACAAGTTTAACACTTTTAGTTGCCAAAACAGTTTATAATAAATATTAAAGTGAGCAACATAGAAAGAAATCAGAAACAAAAATAGTTTACTGTGGTAATAATTGAATAAAATGAAGAAAAGCTGCTGCCATCACTACAAATCGTAAGTTAAGAAAATAAATAATTATGACAGAATTAAAAACAAATGATGAAAAACTATTAACGAAAATTTGAACAAAAAAAATTTAGACGCTACAATGGAGGCTTATAAACATTTTTTATACTGTCCATTTTTTATAATTTTTTATTTAATTTCAATTGAGTGAAGATTTCATAACGATGCCTCAAGATTTTAATGTTTCAATGTGTGTAGAGTGTCATTATATAAGTAATACATTAAATAATGAGTTAATTCAACTCAAATGAATTGATAAGACAATTAATTATTTAACTGATAATATTTATAGATGATAAATTGATTAGTTAAATAATTAATTGATGAATATAAAGTTAAAAATTGAACAAATACATTGACGTGAAAATCAGTACAATGATAATAGTCTGAAACAAATGGGATTTTTGAAGAGATAAAATATGAAATATAGTCGATGAAAATTTTTTAATAAATAATAGGTAAACGCAACAAAGTGAATAAGAATAAATAATAATAAAAGAAAAACGTTTATGAGCCATGCAATGCATGAATCGTGCATTGTTTGAACACAAACTTGTATATTTTTCATAGTTTTTGAAAGCACTTTGCATTTCAAATTTTTTCTTTTTTTCAATTCTTATAGTTAATAAGTAGTAATTCAAGTATTAACAGAATTTTTACTCGGTGGTTCAGGGGACATTTACTTGGTTGATAGTAATCAAATAAATATCAATAATTGAATGCATTCATAGCAACTATCGTTTCTAGTTTATTGTTTAATTTCTTTTAATTATTTACTAAAAGCATTTCTTATTTAAATGTATTTTTTAATAAAATGATTCTTAATATAACTAGATAGAAATATAGTGTAATAATGAATTATTAACTATTGATCAATATTCATATTATTATTCTTATTATTAATTTTATTTTAATAAAAAAATTTAAAAAATAATTCATTGTCGTCTTCAATGTTGAATTCTTTATTCAATAGTAGGATAAATTATAGGAATAAAACAAATACTTTTTATAGAGCATTTTTAATTTAAATATTAAATAATAAATATTGTAGCAATTTAAAATTTGAATTCAAGTTAATTACTAATAAATAAAAATTAATATTTGTGTGAGCATTTGAAGTTTAATAATTGATATATATATAAATATATATATTTATAGTAAATATATTAGATAATTGAGTAATAAACGTTTACAAATTTAAAATATGTTTTTGGATTTTTAGATGGTACTTTTTCTAAATAATTATAAGTAACAAAAAGATACGAATGATAATGAGAGTGACAAAATAGAAAAAAAGATTTAGAATTTTTCAATTGAATCAAAATAGTTAAACAATGAACTGATAATAAGTAATAAAAATTAAAATTAGATATTAAAAAAGTATGCAACTGATTGTACATTGTATGGCTTATTAAGACGTTATATTTTTTAGTGAAGATCCTAATTTCTTGTTCAAATAAAATAATATTTATTAATGAAAAACAATAAAATAGAAAAAAGAACAGCAATTGGTAAGAGAAATTTCGGAATTAAATAAAAGAAATTAAATGAATTTAATTTTCAAAATAGCAGTTGTTAACACTGTAAAAAAAAATAATAACATATATTAAACTCAAATAAATATTGTTTAAGGTTTATAAATTATTAGGATAGATAGGACGTTATTATCAAATTTTTTCTTTATAGACGTAAATCGTTACAACCAACTTTACATACAAAAAATATTATTTAATGTTTTCAATTAATTAGTTATCTTAAACAATAATACAGTGAAGCAATGGTTTTAGTGTGTAATACCCTTGACAAATTTACTATTCAAATAAAAACTACTCACTATTTTTTTTTTAAATTATTATATGAATACGAATGTTTTAAAATAATGGAAAAACAGTTGATTATGATTGAACTATTCTTTTTCATGTAAAGTCAATTAAGTATTGTCATTTTAGATGTTATAACTTTATGATTAGTGTAAAAAAGTAATTAATGATAGAAATAATTAACAAAAAATTAATAGACAAAGAGGGTATTACAATAGGTAGACTTTATCAAATTATTATCAAAAAAATAAATGCTTCAAGTAATTCAGAATTCAGTTTTTTTATATATATTCTATATCAAAAACGTGGCCAAAAAGTAAAAGAAAAGTTTTATTAGGTCAGTTTTAATTAAACAAAAAAAAATAAATAATTTAAAAAAAAAAAAATAAATTAAAAAAACTGAAGTATATAGGCTTTAAATTATAAATGGAAAATAAGTTTTTAATTTAACAGATTATATTCTTTGGTATTGACGGTTTTAAAATGTATACCATAATCGAGAATTTATTTTTCTGTCTTAAAATTAAAGATTATTTTAATTATTTATTAATAATATTGGTAAAAGAGTATATAAATTTTCCTAATAACTAAAATTAATATTGAAAAAGAAAAAAAAAATATATGAGCATTGAAAATTATATTTTTTTATTAATTATAATTGATTACATACGACATATTATCAATGAAATTATAAAAGTTTATAAAAAATTTAGAGACGAAAACCGTAAGTACCAGAAGATAAAGAATATAACGCGCTATTTAGGATCTTAACCAATTAAACGCTGCGATAAACAATTGTCAGATGCGTAATTAGGTAGGTGTACTCTCTGTAAGTACAGTGTTATTGACAGAGTATTAAAATAAATAAAACAAATCGAAAGTCATTAATTAACTGAATATTTAATTCCATTAAATTAAATGGAAAAACTGAAAGATTGAATAATTATCTAATAAGTTGACAATTCAATGGATAAATACAAAAAAAATTAATAAGACTTGAAAGAAATTTTTAATCATAACCAAAAGCAATGAAACTTTTTAACTGAATTCTTACCATACTTTCTAATGATAAGTTTTATTTAATTCTGTACTTGTGGAGATTACATTTTCAATTATCTCATTATGACTGCGATCCTTTTCAATTAAATTCTCATTTTATCTGGAAGTTTAATCAATTAAAAATGTCAATAAATAAATAATAATAATACCTATGTTTTCCATATATAATAAATTAAAAAAATCATTAATATATCTACAGGAATATTTACTGTAAGAACTACTGATTAATAATAAATGTGTTATTTATAAAATAGGCCTATTTGAAATAATAACAGGAATAGAAATTTCGCAGTCATATTGAGTATAATAGAATAAAAAAAAATATTACTATATATAACACAATGAACATTTAATACAATAAAGTGAATGATATAGAAATTTGTAATGTTATTTTAATTATGAATTGTATTACATCAACAAACAACTACAATAATAATTGTAATAATGATATTAATTATGAATTATAATAATCGTATAACAATAACAACATTAACATTAATATTAATAATTATAATTACAATAATAGGAATTTTCAAATTAAATTATTGTGAAAAATACAACAAACTTAGATTAAACAAAATAAATAAAACATAGAATAATAGGAAAATAACAAAGTGATTGATTATAGTAGCAAGTTTTATTAATAATGATAGAAGAACATTAAACATTTATAAAGTTACTGCCCCATTGGTTGGTTGGTTCTAATGTATTTGTTTGCTTTCATTTGATCTATTTCTGTACAAAATTTTCCATTTAATGGTTGAAATACCATATTATTTAGTAAATATATTTATCAAATGTGTAATTAACGGAACCATTTTTCTTTTTAATTGCAAGGCTTAGAATCAATTAAATGTTTTATACGATTAATAACTTATATCTGTATCAAAGTAAAGCACAATTTTTTATTTGATAATGGCTAATTATTAAACAAATGAACAACAAATTTTGTTATAATTTGACTTGAACGCTTTGTAGCCTAAGATTAATGCAACCCCTTATAATTATTGAGCGACTGCTTCCAGTCATTAAATACTGATTATAAAAATTAATATCAATATAAATGATCATCATACAAATTGTGAAAGTGAGAAAAAATGAAATATTAATTGAACAAACATAAATTACGTATAAAAGATAATTTTAACTGTCTGAAAATATAAGAACAATGAATAAGTGAATAATATTGTAACCTGACAATTTTTCAATGTTGCACAAAGTAAAATAAATAGTAAAAAATAATAATAAAAGAAATAAACCAACAATAGGGCAGGCCAAATTGAGCGGTAATAAAAAAGTAAATAATACACATAAATATTATGAACAAAAATTAATTGAAAAATATAAAAATATTTAAAAAATATATATATTTTTGACAAAATATAAGCATACTCGAGAAGTATACACGCTTTATACTTGATCTGTTTGTGTGAATGATTCTTCTCCTGTATTAAACAACAAAATTATTGTTATATACGCTTTTAATATAATAATTTTTATGCATTAATAATAATACAAGTGGATAAAAAATATTAAAACTACTTTTTAGAAATATTGAATAAAATAAAAATGCTTATCGAAATTCTCAAGACTTTCGAAATTAAATCGAGGGGGAAAGCACATGAATGAGTGGAAGAATTATCTGCACACTTCAGACAAACTATCTAAACATAATCATTAGACTATTGTATGATGAATGATAATTGAATGAATAAATGAAATAGTAATTTCACAAAAAAGTCAAAAATTGATGAATAAATAGGAAGCTAAAACGTAATAAAATAAAATTGCAGTATTGTTTAATTAAAAAAAAAAAAAAAAAAAAAAAATTTTTTTAAAAAGTGTGTATAAATTAATGATAAAATTTCTCATGCAAATCCGTATTACAAACATGATCCTTACATTTTTGATAGTAATAAAAATATTTTGAAAACATTACATTAACATGACAATATTATTTTTTTTTATAAAAATTATTCTAATTAACTTAAAATAAAAATTCTAATGTCTATTCTGATGGAAACAACAAAATACCAAGTATCGAAAAATCAATTATCCATAAATTAATTATTTATTTAGAATGACTACTGAGATGAGGATTATAAAAAATAGTATCTCAGGCTACCTGAAGGCAAATTCAAATTTTCATTGAAGAATTAAATTGCAAGTAATTTTTTATCATAATATGTAAAATAAAATGATTAATCTCTCAGTGGATTATAAGCACAATGCAATTGAACAATATTTACATACAAATATTGTTTAAATTTCCTTTAGATAAAAAGAAATATTGTGCCAAATGTTGGCACGTATTAATTTAAACTTAAGTAATAAGATGAATAAGTCTCATGTTAAAAAAAAACAAACAACAAAAAAGAATTTATGAAACAATATAAATTCTAAAAATATTTTTTTATTTTAAGATAAAAAAATAAAAAAAAGGATTCAAATGTCATTACAAAGAGACAGGAATAGAACAAAAACGTATTGCTGCTATTTTCAACCTACCATTTCGATGGGATCAATTAATACTGTTACTTTAAAGGAATTATTTAAAGAATTTAATTCATTAATGGCTAACAATACACTATACATCTACAATATGTTTTTATTAACATATTGTTTTATTTTCTTCTTTCTTAATTTAATCTTATTAGTGTATAATTGATTGCTTCGATGATTTTTATTAAACTCAATACGGAGGATTCAATTAATAACATTATCGCGATTTCATCGAAATAATTGGGAGTAATTTTACAATATTATGACGAAACCGTCTTCCGGAACAATAATGAGAATACAAAACTTTGTAGCCTAAACAATATATAAATTTTAACAATAAAATAGACATAAATAAAGAAATTAACAAAATATCAAATATTTGCAAAAAAATTTAAAGTTAACGAGTGATTAATGGTGGTAAAACATTTTCTAATAAAATGATTAAATGTTATTAGTGCTTATAATTAATAAATTTAATTGTATAAACATCAACCCCAACGCAAATAAGACATTTGGCATAGATAGAGTAATAAAATGGAGTAAAAAATAATAATAAATAGATGAAAAAAATAAATAGTTACTCAATAAATAATACTAATTAATAATTATTGATATTTATTATAATTCACTTGCGATGTTATTAATAATATGCTATACAAATAATTAAACATTAACTTTTTGTAAACTAATGTTGACCAAAGGCTGGGTCTTCTCTGAACATGACAAGTTTAGCTTTCGAGTATTAAACTAAATGAAATTAATTAATTGTTTAAGTTAAAACAAAAGAAGAACCATCTGAAGATATCGTTCGAAAATTTTGTGCATTGACAAAAGACTCCATAAACTTTATGAAGAACAATAACAGATTGTTTTAATTATCGTAATTTGAATGTTATGTTATGTGTACAAGTCTTTAATACTAGATACAAATGATTCGCATACTTCACCGCTCTATTTAATGAATTAAATGGTGTGTAGCAAATTTAATTGTCTATAGTAATCGTAACAATGAATTATTTGATTAGAAATGTAATAATATTGTAACAAACTGACCATGTAAAATAACGATAATTAAAGCTATCTTTCGTTATAAAACCATGTTTAAAAAACAAAATAATTCAAATGCAAATTAAGAAATCAATATAATGCAATAACTAGACGAAAATATATAAACATAAACATTAAATTTATATAAACTAAAATGCAATCTTAATATCTCCTGGTTGTGGTTACTTCTACATTTATATAGGATAACTGAATAATTGCATAAATGAAAAAAATATATTCATATCATTAATTGAAATGATTGGAGAATTAATTTTTTACTACTTTTAAGATTTTTTAATTAACAAATAATACGAAGTAACCTGGAAAACGAATTTTTAAGATGGTTTAAATAATAAACACTTTTTAATATTATTATTACTTATTATACGTAAGAAAAAAATAATTCTTAAATACAATGTATACTTTCTGACTGGGCTTAACGTGTTTTATATGTGTTAATTATATATAATTCTTTTATTCAACTAATCTAACATGAGAGAAAAAATTATTTTACTTTATAAAATGAATTTAACATTTTTTTATTAATTTATGCATAAGTTACAATTGTATCGAAGACCAGAAGAACTGATATTGAGAAATTCTTTTTGAATTAACATTTATATTCAAGATTAAAAATATGAGAAAGTGTTGATTTCATTTGTTGAATAATTTTTTCTCTCCAGAATGTTTTCTAATCTAGTACACGCAGAAAAATGTATAGTAAAAATTACCCTAAATTTGATGATAATTTGGTGACACTGCAGGGTGGCGGTAAAAATTACTATACACATTGAAAAAATTACTGTGCACATTGTTGAATTTACTAAACTGCATGGTTATTTTTACTCTAATTTCACCCTAAAAATTCAACAATGTGCACAGTAATTTTTACAATGTGTATAGTAATTTTTTACCGCCACCCTGCAGTGTCACCAAATTATCATAAAATTTAGGGTAATTTTTACTATACATTTCTCTGCGTGTAATAAACTTATATTAAAAAATGATTGTTTAGAAATTTTTCTACTAGTATTAACATTGCATGGAGACATTACATAATAAATCTAAGTCGTTAATCACGTGAAGGAAATTCGTATTTCAATAATTAATAAATATATTTATATACATTACTGTGTATAAATTTAAGTTTCAACAAATTAATTATAAAATTTAGCTTATATGATCATAACTGTATATTATACTATTATTAATTATTGATATTAATGTCATTGGTTGTTAGCGTTGTGTTATTTACAAAGGTGTTTATTTGAATAAGATTGTAGTGTTTCTATATAGAAATTATTTAACTAAGAATTCGAAAAACTTTCAAAAAAAATTATTTCTTCTTTATGATCAACATTCCTAAGTCATTTTCTCTGTTAAATAATTATATTGAGTTTATAACTAGAAGATCGTGCTAATACAATGGATTTTGTGTGCATTTTTCAATAAAATTAAATATCATGTATTGAATGAATGAATGAAAAAGAAGAAAATGTAAAAAAATAATGAAATAATAAAATAGATAAAAATGCTAAAAGTGTTATACATCGGTGTCGCGGCAAGATTTTTTAATATTGAAACTTAACGACTGTAGCAAATTCTAATGAATGTCAGTACAAATTGATAAACTAATATAAAAGAAAAAATAAAATAAAGCAAATAGCAATTTGCATAAATTAATTTTAAAAAATGTTGACGACCCGTATTTTTGGCAATACAGATGAAAATTTAAATAGTTACTTATTATAATAATGGTTACTCTCGTAATCGATAAAGTATTTAATTTCAATATTTTTTCGACGACTGAAAGTTAACATAGTAATTACTGTAATAATGATAATTATTACTTAATAAATAATAACAATAATACTAATTATAATAATTAACTCATATGACATATATAATTCGTAGAACGAATTTTCATTATTGCTTCTCATGCTATTTTAGAAAATGTATTGTAGATATTATCAATAAATTGAATTAATTCAAAATTTGAATCTATTTGTACTTATTCGCTGATATTTTCCATAACTCTTATCTTATATGCACTATAACTGATTCTATGTTTGATATTTATCTTTTCTCTTTGAAAAGTATTTTTCTTTAGTATTATTTTCGATTAATTAACCTATTAACAAGAAAATGTTGGTTTATCATTAAAAATATATCAAAAAATATTGAATGACATCTATGTTCCAGCTACTTCATTCACATCAATAGAAAAAAATAGAACTGTCAAGTTTTATATTCATTCAAAAGTGATCAAATTATTATGATTTATTGACCAATCAGAAACGCTGTTTCATTCTGTACAGTAATTTTCTCGACCAATCAGAACAGTCGTTACTTGAACAGATGACTCTCACTAGTTTACATTCTCTACAGACACAATGTTGTTTCATCTACATGGGTTGTATGTACTCATAGGTTACAACTTGAGGAGCACACTACTATAGTAGACGCATCGCTTGCTTCGTGCTTTCAGTTTAGTTGAACGATCCCTGTCCGTTGAGTTTACTGTCAGTGAAATTTAATCACCAGAAAATCTAAAATTCAGGTAAGAATTTACACTCCTTATCTATAAAAATATGATATTATGATGTATAACGCTGAAAGAAACAATTTGAGTATATTTTTATTATAACAAATCAAGTAATTATTAATAAAAATGATAATTTATTGCTAAGCGTCTCTCGTGCATTAAAAATAGTACACATATAACACGGGCGCCATTTTGTGCGTTTACTTGCTTTTGGAGGGAAATTATACATAAACAAAGAAATTGTTTTTCTTACTTTTTTTCTTAATAATTGTCATTTGTAATCTGGAAAACATGATTATTTACAATTATTTAAACTTCCTGATCAATTTTAATCTTATTTCGAGTCAGATAAATTGTAATTAACGTGCAAATTTTCAATACTAGTTGAAGATAGTAGTTCTCTATATGACAATGATATTTCATCAGATAAATATTCAGTGATGCTAACTTGATACCAAACTTTATTATTAAATTAGTCGATTACATTATAATTATTGCTAATAAATCATTTTTTTTTAGAAATGGCTCGTACAAAGCAAACAGCTCGTAAATCTACAGGAGGAAAAGCTCCCCGTAAGCAGCTTGCCACCAAAGCTGCACGTAAAAGTGCACCTTCTACTGGAGGAGTTAAAAAACCACATCGTTACCGGTAAATATTAATAATAAATAATTACTTATAGTTGAATTTAACGAAAACCCGTTATTTACTTCTTATATTTGAAATATCTAAATGGTGATCGATTTTTTCCAGACCTGGTACTGTAGCTCTTCGAGAAATCAGAAGATACCAGAAATCGACTGAGTTGTTGATCAGGAAATTACCATTCCAGCGATTGGTTCGTGAAATTGCACAAGATTTCAAAACTGATTTGCGTTTCCAAAGTGCAGCTATTGGCGCTCTTCAAGAAGCATCTGAAGCATACTTGGTCGGTCTCTTTGAAGACACAAACTTGTGCGCTATCCATGCAAAACGTGTCACCATCATGCCGAAAGATATCCAACTCGCTCGGCGAATCCGTGGTGAACGAGCTTAAATTAATTACAGTCTAAAATTTCATTACACTTTCTACAAAAATTTCTATAACATAAAAATAGTCATTATTCTTTGTTTTAATAATTATGGATTCAATATTTTAGCATTTTTGTTCAATTATTTATATAAAAATTAGATACAATGTAAAGTTTTAACTTTAAATAGTCGTCACTGCCAAGCATTTGCAATCGGCATATTGAACGTCAAAGACAAACAAAAGTTTTAAAAATTTCATCTTGATAAATTGACGGTTAAGTAAATAATTTATTTAAAAGTACTGTAAATGTTAAAATTGGGTAGTTTTTGTTTATTTGCCGAAATAATAGGTAAAATTAATCTACATGTGATTAATTAGTTTATAACGATTAATCGTTGAAATCAAGGCTAAATTAGTGTGTATCACTTAGCTATAATTCTAGACATCACATTGCAAAAAAAGCTGATTATTGATGAAAAATTTTCTAATCATTATCATTAAATATTTGAGAATAAAATTCATTTTTATTGAAGATTTGTTTGGAAAATTTTTCACTTGCATAGTGATGTGGTCTCTTTTGGCAATGATTAACATTTTCAACAGGATCATAGCTTATCTGATAATATGACCCTGATCGAAAAGAATTATCACGTACAAACAGAGAGTAATAGTAATACTTACTTAATATAATTATTATATTAGTTTGGTAGGAAGCGTAGATCTAGCAATATTGATATTATAAAACTTTAACATAATAATTAATCAGACTTAAGGAAAACAAGTAAAAATAAAACATAAAGCAAATCATCCTATTACACTTTGTTGATTAAAAACATATACAATTTTTCATAAATAACAAAAGTAATTGATAAAAACAAGAGTATTAATAATAGAAAATTTTTTAATACAGAATCAGAATATTTTATTTTCAGACTAAAAACACTGTTTATAATTAAAAAAATCTCATCAAACGTCTCGAAAGTCTAAATTAATAAGAACCAGTGCTCTTTTAAATACAGACTCATCTTATTTCTATTGTTTTTATTATTTACTGACATTAAAAAGTATAAATTTGTTGCTGTAACGTTAATAATAGTATTTTTTCATACCGATATCGAATAATCTTGAAGAAAACTTATAAATAAAATAGAAATTTTTTGTGTATTCTCTCAAATTATATCAATAAATATTATGAAACATATTAAGTACAACATTATGTAGAGCAAAAACCTTGAAATAAATAATATAAATTAAATAAAACATCTGCATTTATTTTTTATCTTAATATTCACCGTTATTCTTGTATTGTCATAAAAATCTATTTTACAATTAGCAATTTATCTGAATTACATTTGCATTTGTAATGTTTAAGATGTTAATCGCAATAATTAGAGGGAAAATTTCATACAAAATAACTCGACCTTGAGAATCGTGACTTTTTTTTAAATATCATAAATATCAAGTTAAAAAAAATTATTTATTATTTTTATCATAATTTATTTATTAATTTTATTATTCATCACTAATTCGTGCTCAGTTCTCAGAAACACATGCGGATTTTCCCGAGATTCTTATCAATTTTCAAATAATTAAGGATATTCAAAACTATATTAACATATTTCATCCTAAATTAATAATAAAAAATGTCGAATTCTAAGAATTTTACTATCTTTATTGATTTTCCATCAATATCAGCCATTTAAAAAAAAGTTACAGTTCATGGATTACATTTTTCTTTTTATCAGAAATTCTAACCTAAAACAAATATATTATACGTTACAATTTCCAAGAATCAATGATAATATCATTAAAAATAGTTGTTGACTCATTATTTATAATAAAGGAAGTTATGAAAAGTATTAATTTTCTTTTCAGCCATTTGCAATTCCTACTTTCAAGGCGTAAGTTGTAGTTTCAATTATAACATCAATAATAATCATCATAACAATCACAATAATAATAAGAGTAGTCCATAACAATGTGGAAACTTTAACATGACATATTTTCATAGAACGTTTTGCAAGCATCCAGCTTCAGGTTTCTGAAATAAACTCTTAGAAAAAGAAACACAGGTATTGAATAAGATAAAGGGTGCGGTCCTGTTTATCATAAGATCAAAGGAAAAGGGCAAAGTTCATGAAGCTTTTGGTGTTGGGGTCATGGTGGGGGGCAAAAAGATAGGCATAAATTGATAACACCCGCAAACCCGCAAGTCTACGTGATACTTGGATAGCCTAGAGAACGACGTGAACTTAGCGCGTCCCAGGAAGTGAACCAATGAAATAACTTGTTTCTTGGGTAGTTGGTGATTGCGTTGTTTTGATTGGCCGAAATGGTCGCGGGCTTACGTGCTCTTCACGATTCAATTCCTAGGGGGTAGGGACAAGGGAGCTGTACGAGACAGCCGAGGAAGAGCGTCCACTGCCATCGAAGTACAAGGAAACGAGTAGATTCTAGCTCTTGATATTTTATAATAATTTTTGGCATCAAAGGTGAGTTCAAGTTCCATAACTATCACAAAAAGTGTTGTTTCTAGTGGATAATCAATAATAACTTTAGTGAAATAAGAAGTGATGAAGTTTAGAATGAAAAATCTGGAAAAATCGTTTGCTTTTGTTCGTGAGCCAGTTGTGTTTCTGCCACCATTTTGTAATTGACGTTTGGAGGGAACCGTTTCTCATGCCGATAGTTACTTGACGCTACAACTCGACTTACCGCATGATGAAAATACAAATGACAGTTGTTTTCACTTAAATTTTATTTTGTTTCTACCGTGTCCCTTCCTATCAGATTAATCGATCTATAAATTTGGCAATAAATTGTTGTGATTAATAATTTAACATTGATTCGGACGATGATCTCGGGAGATGGGAGAACGTTGTTTTTTCTTCACACAAGAGACAGGACGATCGAGAGTTTGTGCATTGCGCAACGCAAACTAGTCCCCACCATCTAACGTTATGCGCAAGTCAGTTTCATTTTCTCGTGCTAAAGCGCAGCTATCTCTTCTCCCACTACACTAATTTCTTTTATTGTTACTAGACAATTGAAATGATTGCAGGGGAATTGGGTACAAATTAAATTTATAAATGACTAATGTATTTTCCAATTAAATGACACGTAGCTATTATACCACACCACATGATTTTTAGCGTTTCTGGGAAATTCTTATATTGTTGAATGAAAAAATTTCATTTAATTTTTAAAGCTTGAGTAGCTATATAAGAAATTACTGGCATAGAAAAATCTACATTGTAAAATTGTGATTTACAGATTAAATAGAAGATGGCACGTACTAAGCAGACAGCTCGTAAATCTACAGGAGGAAAAGCTCCCCGTAAGCAGCTTGCCACCAAAGCTGCACGTAAAAGTGCACCCTCCACCGGTGGTGTAAAAAAGCCTCATCGTTATAGGTCAGTGTGTATTTATGAATTGTCTAAATTTATATTATGAATAAAAATAACAATGATCATTATTAGTTGATGCGCAATATGAAATTTTCCAACATTTTTCATAATTAATCAATAAATTGTTGTTCGTTATAGGCCTGGTACTGTAGCTCTTCGAGAAATCAGAAGATATCAGAAATCGACTGAGTTGTTGATCAGGAAATTACCATTCCAGCGATTGGTTCGTGAAATTGCACAAGATTTCAAAACTGATTTGCGTTTCCAAAGTGCAGCTATTGGCGCTCTTCAAGAAGCATCTGAAGCATACTTGGTCGGTCTCTTTGAAGACACAAACTTGTGCGCTATCCATGCAAAACGTGTCACCATCATGCCGAAAGATATCCAACTCGCTCGGCGAATCCGTGGTGAACGAGCTTAAACCATCTTATATTTAATCGTAATCATCATCAACTTGTTTATTATTATTAATTGTATTAATTATTATTCATGTTAGTTTTATTTGTCATAACGGATTGACTATCTTAAATGAAATGAACGTCTCGAAGTTATTGACAAGTTGTCTATAAGTCTATAAGATCACATTTGTCTTAAAGCCATCTTGAAAAGAAATAACTTTAAGATATTATTTCTATTTAGGTTCAACCATTCTTAATCATTCTATGACACTTTTTTGTAGCTATCAGAAACATTATGTCATCCCTGCAATTAATCTATCAGTCAACTTTTATTACATTTAAAAGAAAAAATAGAATAATCAAATAATGTATTTAAATGGATCGTAAGCGTTCGCGACACAAAAAAAACAACTCTAAAATGTCATAAAGTTTCAAAATGAGACAAAACGAAGTGATAAAAATCATTCATCAGTTGTTGAGTCGCGAACGGTTTCGAAAATATTTGTTTATCATAATGACTTCAGATATACCTAACTATCATTATCATTACTACATTACTATAATTATTAAGTAGCACAAGATAGTGTGCGTAGAATAACAAAGTTTTTATCGTAATCCAGTGATAAATTTAATATTTAGGCAAATTTTATAAATATTATTTTCTCCCATATTATTAATTTATGTAAGTTTACTGGATTGCGTTTTAAGTATTCTTAAAACGGTGTGAAAAATTTCATAAATAAATTTGCTATAGTCGATATTAATTTTTTTTATTACTTGATCCTTTCCTTCACCGCATTTTTTTTCTATCGAATCGTTAACAGAGTTTTAATTTATTTATTGAATAAACTAAAACAGTAATTTTTTAAATTATTTATTTATTTATTTAAAGTACGAGCCAGATATCCATGAATATTTCATTACAATGAGCCAGTAAAAATATAATATTTATGCTTCTATAATCAATATACATATTTCATTGAAAGTTTACAAAAATTTATTTAAAAATATTCAATTTAAAATCTCTATTTTACAGTAAAACATTTGAAAGAATATTTTACGAGTATGTTCCTAAAAAAACTCAATAGAATTCAATTTCAATGGACAATAATGAAATATACTAATTTAAATTTTAAAAAAATCATCAATTTTAATTTTTACACTATATTCTATTGTTGCTAATTATGATAGAAAAATTATTTTTAATAATGAGTAATTTAATCACGCTAAAGTTTTTAAAATTTTTCAGGCCGGCCTAGAATAGCTTTGATTTAAGATTAGTATAAATACTGATATAATATTTTAAAATATAATTTTAGTTTATTTTTATATTTGATAGAAACCATTCTTCAGCTATCGATTCCAGTGATACCAATCTATGGTACTTATTTCAGTGAGAGTAATGGAAATACATTTTCAATTATTATTATTATTATGAATATTGAATAACTGTAAGTATGGTTAATTTTATCTTTACTTGTTGATATATTTTATCATTGCTTGGTATTCTCATTTTTTATCAAGCAATCTGAAAAATGTATCTTTATCTTTATAGTTCAAAACTTTAAATTAACAATACTTATTGAAATATCTAACAAAAGCTTACTACAATTATGTCAATGACAAATCTATGATACATATTTCTATTGCATAAGTATAGTATTATTATTAATAAATACACAAACATATATTATATATACAATATTTTTTCGTTGACATCGCTCGTTTCCTGATGGATTTGAAAATTTTTTATTTAATTTATGATTATATTTATTGCAACAAATATCAAAAATGAGTCTTTTGCAAATAATTAAAATAAAAATAAATGAATAATATCAATGGATATAAATTAAAAATACAATTTTATAAATAAAATTACATCAATATTCGATAAAATGATATGAATTGTGAAAATTATTACGATGACTAATTATCTAAATCATAATTTATTTTCGTAAGAATTTAATGTAATATTTAAATAAATAAGAAATGTATTACAATGATACCTCAGAAGATTTATTTTAGCTCCTTCGTCATATTTTTGTAGTTGATTTTTATACTAATTATAAATTTGAATTTTTTGTTACTAAATAAAATCAATTAGTAATATCAAATAGGCAAAAATAAATATTATTGACGAAGTTAAGTTATCGCAAAATCATCATTCCGACAGCTGTTATCAATTTATAGTCATATATGGTTGTTGTTTCTTGTAGGGATGGTTCGCACTTGTCTTCTAATTGAGGCAGTCCTAATAAAATAATTAAAATGTTTTGTGTGTTCAAATTATTTGAATGGTATGATGGAGTGGTAAAATTATAAACAAAATAAAATTTAAGTGCAAGACTTGTACGGTTATTTCACTACAACAAAATAAATCTTGTGATCATCAAACCAACGAAACTCATTTCACAATTACATGCTTTACAATTAAAAATATCAGTAATGTGTTTTGATTTTTTATTTCTTACATAACTTAATAAAAAATAAACTAAAAAATCTGAGAACGCTACTATTTATAGACTAATGAATGAATGTTATTAAAATATTACTTTACAAATTTACATGAAGTAATTGAATTTTTGATCTAAAATGTCTTCTTTACTATGTGAAGTAACAGCTATATTTATTTTGATTGATGAATAGCCTAAATGTATGAATCATAGCAAAATAGTATTCGATTATTACTTTCCTTTATAAAAATTAAAAATATAGTTGTATGATGAATAGCAAAAATATCTTAGAAAGCTAATAAAATCAATTGCAATCGAACAGCAATATTCTTACAAGCTTTTAATGACATTCATCTGATAATTATAAATGACATATGCAAATGATAAAATAGTGATAAATGCATGTAATTAACAATTGATATTTAATAAGAAATAAAAATAAAATTTGTACAAATCTTTTCGTATTTTTCGTACAAAAATATTGAGCAGTCTAACACTGATAATTGTTTAACACAAATAAACCAGAATAAACTGTTGAATCAATGAATATTTATGATATTATATAAATAAAGATATAAATATTATATCTGTTAATTCAACAATTTATTACGACTCGTGACAGAAATAAATTACACATGGATGACAATTACGGCAATGAACTGAAGATTATGAAAATATGAGTAAGTGATGATACTAATTTACAGTATAAATTAAAAAAATATCAAGAAATTACTATGAATAAACTAGCACATTACAATGGAAGCACATCGAGCTTTCTATTCAACATTAAGTACATTTGATGATACCCTGTACCATAATTTATTTACTATCCCTAGATACTATAGTAGTTTTACGGTTTTCACCATATATATTTTTTTAAAACTATTTGAATATCGGTTATTACACTTAGTACTTTTAGATCTCTCTTAAAAATCGTAGGTACAGGATGAACCATCGTTCACAAATATCAGTTACACAGAATGACGTACAATGAAATTAATAGTAGCACAGCCATGATAAATTAATGTGACTGTGTCGTTACCTGTACAAATCTCTCATTGCTTGATCCTCTCGCGATGCGTTTCTGCAGGTATTTAATTTCTTTTCCACCGCCTATAAAAATAAAATATTATGTAGCCAAATTAGTATATTAGATTTACCACACTTGTATTAATAACAAATTATTATACAAAATTACTTTTGTCCCTGTTTTAGTTTATCAGTCAAGTACATTCATACATTTTTATTTAGACAAGGTTCCATGCACTCAAGCTTTGAAAAATATTAAAAATTTGTTATCAATTTATTATTATCACGCAAATGAAAAATTGATTATCAATTTTAAGAATAATTTTTCATAATTATTGTTTACCATAAATCATTAAAAAGATATTGTTTCCATATGATAGAAATAAATCAAGGGATAATACTTTAGAAGAAATTTAATAGAAGTATGAATTAGATGAAATTAATAAAGTAACTGAGAGACCAATTAAAAGAAGCATCGAAAAGTTTATTAAGCTCAATAAACGAACATAAAACCTGCTTTTCAAACAAGATGTAAAGCCAGTAGTGCAACAAGAGGTATCAGGATAGAATCAGCACTTGGTTGGCTTGGGTTGTTGACTAATACATTGAATTGCTGTTTTGACTGGATTTGGCTTCGCGAGATCTGATTTATTCTCACTTTGACAAGAGCACTTGACCCTCCTACAATCCATGCAGACCCACCTGTCGAGCTACCAACACACCTTCTACATCACACTAATTCGCGATAAAAAGGTTGAATTTACTATCTCACCCAAGCTTATAAGCTTAAGTGACGGAAGCCAATATTTCATAGCTCTAGATTTTTCTACTTACTTTCTATCATTAGGTAATATCGATTTCTATTTCATAAAATTTCATTTAAATATATAGTAATTTTCTGTAACAGCTGTACGATTTTTTCAAATAATAGTCATGCAAGAATAGCTAGTAATTTACCACATACGTGCAACTACTACATAACTCAAAAAAGTAGAGATAACTTGGTAATATTTTTTTACTGGAGTAAAAAAAGAATAATTAATCTAAATTGACTAATAGTCTCATTTACAAAAAGTGTGAATAATTGTAAATTTTGTTGATAACTAGGAAAAAAATGTTTCACTAATTTCAAATAATCAAATAAAATAAAGGTCTTTTTTTAACTCCAGTAAATAATAGACTTGATAAAAATACTCACTCCGACTTTTCTCATTAAATCGCCAATCAAGTTCATTGCTTGGATCTTTGCTGACGGTGACATTGGCATATTCATGTTGTTATTGTTGTTGTTGTTTATGACCCCATTTGTAACTGGTTGAAGTAAAAAATGAATTTTTTATTATTTCATATAATCCAGCATGAATTATTTGATAAAGTTAATATGAAAAAAGAAGTATAGGACCCACAAAAGCATATGCAATAAAATTAAAATGCAAATAAATAAAAGCAAACCAAATAAAAAGGTAAAAAAGTTAATCTTTATTATATGATTAATTAACAAATATTATTTACAGTAAAAAGCGTTTAATACTTTTTCTTATGAATTATTCTTTGATTTTAATCATGAAAAAAGTAAACAGTATGATTCAAAAACCATACTTAAACTTTTTTCAATTATTAGAATAAATTAACATAATTAATTATTAATCATTCATGCAATCCAATAAATAGTACGAATTAAAAAATAATGAATGGAAATTTATTTACAAAGTTACTCAGCAAGAAATGGAGTTAAGTGAATAAAAAATGGATGAAATTAAGCAGAATTAATGAAACAGGAAAAGACTGCAGCGATAGTTATGTAGCTCTAAGTTTTTTTTTTGTTTTTATGTGAAAGAAAGACTTTGTTCTACGCAGCGCATTATGTATCTTACGTTTAAATGGTGGTGAAGTCGGATGAGTAGATATATTTTGAGGAGATAATGGTGTTATGACTGGTGTAGTCGATTCAAGTTCCACTTGCAGCTTATTACTGTCCACCACGTTTCGAATCTTATCAGATGATTTTTCATTATCTGTCATATGTCTTTTCAAGTGTTTAATTTCTTGTTTAAGATCTGCAATAAGTATTTAGACAAAATAAATGTCAATGATTCAACAGTATTGACTATTGAAACCATATAGTTATCAAGATTTAATAAAGATACTAACCTCTATTTTCGTCCATCAGTCTTTGAACTAATACCTTTAGGTTTTCTTTTTCATCAAGTTCTGATTCGAGTAAAGCATTTTTTTCGATAGCTGAATGAAATTTAGCTTCAATCGCTTCCTCTGAGGCAAGATTTATTCTATGAGCTCTTTCCAAGTCGTCATTTTTTTGCTCTAATTCACGAATGTATTTTAAAAGTTGTTCATGTTGTGCTTCAAGCTCAGAAGCACGTGTCTGAAATACAGAACAATCAGATGCTTGTTGATCTAAACGGGATCTTAATTGCTCAATTTCTGTAGCAAGTCTGGAGTTCCTTTGTCGTAGTTCTCTGATTGTCTTTTCTGACTGTTCTAATGATGTTTCTAATTCTTTTTCTAACATTTGTGAACTTTCTTGAAACTCTTCAAATTCATGCTCCACATCTTCTTTTCTGTAATATAAAATAAAGGAGAATAGAATTGTTATTTGTAATTCAATATTTACGTGTTATGCATTGTCAATAATCAATATTTCTTTACCTATTATACATTTGTTGTGCCAACTCCATCCAATACTGAATCTCATCATCTTTTGATGAAAACTCGGGTACCTCCACCTCCATCATATTGATAATTTATTCAAATAAAACTTTTATTATTATTAAAATAACAAAATATCTTTAATTTTTTTTCCAATACTGATGATTGGATTTGTGAGTAATTACATTAATAAAATTTTATCCAATTTATTTTTTTCATGCTCCGTTATAACAGCTGTGGATGTTCTGCAACATATAATAATTGATTTGTAAAAATAAATAGAGTTTTATGTACATAAAGAAATTCCACATATATTAGTCTATATGAAAAAACCAGTACGTAGGTGAGAATGAATAAATAACAATGTGTGGGATGAATTATTTTTTTTTTAGACCTTGAATTGTAAAGAGATAATCTCATATAAGTGTATAATGGTAATGCAATAACGTTATAATGATAACAATAATAATGATGAAAAATTTTTATGTGAGAGTAACAAGATAATTTTTTTTTGTTTTATTTGCCAAGTTTTTTTTTACATACATACTTATTCAGAAAAATTACACTCTAGCACTACCACGATAATTCAAAGGTATGTCACAACTTTTTCTTTAGATCACATCTGCGTTGGTTGACATTACATTATCAAATGTGTACAAGAATAATCTAATCCCTCTACCAAAACAATACAAAACCAATTGTGAATCAGACGATGATGTTACTGCCTAATGAATTCCGCGTCACATTTAATCACGTGATATATTAAAACTCCGTATTTGTGAACTTAATTTTATGATGTGATATTGAATCGGAATTTAAAATTATTGCGATCCCTGATTACTCACTTGAAGCCTAATTGATTACTTTAATGACTAAAAAATAATTTATATGCAAGGAGACTACAAAATGGCGAATGTGAAAGCCACTTTGAACTCTGATAAAACGGATAAAACTGACATTTACGAGGGTCAAATTCGACACGTCTTTTTCTAAAACTTATCCACTGAGTTGATAAAGAAGAAACGAGTGGCAGCACTTTATGTTTTTAAAAGCGCTAAATTTTCAAATATATAATACACTAGTTCATTGTTGAATTGTTTATAAATTTTTAAATGTTATATTAATCCAATATAATTTTATATTTAATTAAAAATATTTTTTTATTATTATTTATAATATTGAAAAGGAATCATTTATATTCCATTAATTATAATATTACTTATTTGTAAAAATATTGATAAAATATAGGTTAGACTATGCGTAGTCACTCGTGCGCATGCATACACTTCTGTATCGAAAACATTGAACACTTGTAAAATGTCACGAACTGAATGAAGGATAAACTCAAGCCCTCCCCAGGTCTGTTGGATTCTCCCAGGCATAGAATGACTAAGCAAATTTATCCTAAAGACGAAAAACGGAATCAAAAGACTACCATATTTTACTGTGGCGTTGGTACTTGATCACTAAAATGGAAGGAAAACGATCCATGATGAAAATGGTAAGTAATTTACTCTATAAATTTTTATATTATAAGCAAGGTATCAAATTATGCATGACATCACTATTTGCTACGTTGCCTAGAATCCACAAAAAATTTTCCAATCTACAATGCATAATCATTTCAATACTAAAAATGTCGAGAACATTCTCATGTATGAGAGTTCTAAACATTGTTTTTAATTATATCATTGTTCTTTGTTTCAAGGATCCGCTTTCACCGGGTCCCTGTTTAGACATCAGTGATGATGAACTGGTAACTATATCAGTGCGAGATCTAAATCGACAGTTGAAACTTCGAGGTTTATCGAAAGATGAAATCGTGAGAATGAAACAACGTCGTCGAACGCTGAAAAACCGAGGCTACGCAGCAAGTTGTAGAATTAAAAGAATTGAACAAAAGGATGGGTTAGAATCAGTGAAGACGCAAGAGTACCGAGATATGGAAGCAATGCAGGATGATAATAACAGAATGCGTGAGGAAATAGAGTCCTGGCATTCAAAGTACTTAGCATTGAAAAAATTCGCAATGGAGCGAAAGATTCCTCTTCCTCCGGAGCTTGAAACTATTTAACTTTTAGTATTTAATTATCTATAATTAAGATAACTTGTGTAAAAACTTGTGGATATTTATGTTTGAATGATGAATTATGTGGATTATTTAAAAAACATTCTTTGAGATTATAAAATATTTCCTAATTTTTAAACGTAACTTTAAGTTCTATTGTATTGAGAGTAGTAGTATTTCGTTATTGTAATAATTATTATAGTCATGATAATTATTGAATAATTTTTATACGATAATTTTTAAAATAAATAAGTAGCTAAAAAAAAGTATTTTTAATTATTATTACTAATGAACGATTATTATTGGAAGATTTTTTTTTATTAAAAATAAATATTATAAGAAATTTTTCTATGAAAAAAATATATATTCTGTCTCAATTATTATCAGGTACAAAGTGAAGCATTAGAATTAAATGGCTAACAACGTGAACATTTATAGAATTTCCAAGGAGTTTATATTTTTGTTTTTGTGTAATAGAATTAGGAAATTCAAAATTTTCTGGAAAACACATTAATCTTGATACTTCTTTTGGAGTAAAGTATCTCAATTTTAAATTTTCAGGTAGATTTGCATACTCGTCTATTTGATTTCCATTATTTACATTAAGTTTAAACTGATTTAGTTTTTCAGTTACTTCAGATTTCGATAGAGGAGAAAAAATAGATCCTGTTCCCTCAGCATATCGACCATATGCAGATGTAAAGCAACAGGATCCTCGATCCTCAGGTGTTCTCACATCATAAACTTTTAAATGCTTCTTTACAACAGTGTTAGATAACTTTCTATCAATATAATCTTCATTTTCATTTATATTATTTTCAATTATTTCACTTAAAGGTTGACATCTATGACCAAAAAATTCAGGATATCGAGTTTGATATTGTTGATAAAGACTACATTCTGATAAGGTGTTGATAATCATACTAGAATCAAGTTGTTGCTCTTCTAAATGCGAAAAACAAGACGCTAAATTGTTTTTTTTAGCAATTAGGAAGTATCTTGTTCTACTATTTGGTACATTAAAATCTTGTGGGTTTAAAATACATTCTTTAAAACAAAACCCACTATTTTGTAAACAAGAAATCAAAGAGTTTCTTGTAAAAGAACTTTGAAAAGGTTCAACATTTTCTAGTAATATAAATTTTAGATTTGATAAGTGTGGAATTAATTCTAATACATGAAAAAAAGAATTAGTTCGAGCATCATCAGCATCTTTTTGGAGTCCATTCTTAGTGAAAGGCTGACACGGTGGGCTCATAAATATAGCATCTATATTCATATCTTCAATTTGTTTAACAGTTAATGATTCAATATTTTTGTTTATTACTTTTGTTGAAGAAAAATTATGTTTATAAACTTCATTGGCAGTTGGATTTATTTCTATAGCAGCTACAACTTTTCCAGGCACTCCACTTCCTATAAATATATCAAAATAATGTTTACCATCATTTTAATTACCCAATAATTATCATTAATATATTAGACAAGGAATTTCATTGCTTACTTTTAAATGCCCAGTGCATTCCTCCTATACCTGCGTATAACTCCAATATTTTCATGGTTACGTTGATTGTAATAGCCTTTTAAATTTGAAATTGATACGCAATAAAGTAATTAAATTATAAATTACTACAATAATAGTTGATAATCATAAATACTTAATGGATGTGAATAATAATTATTTTGAATAAAAAATAAATGTCAAAGATCTTTAAGATATAGAATACAAACACACACGACTGCAGACATTTTTTATGATAAACAGTGCCATCTGTAAATTGTAAATAGGGTCGTCTTTGTTAACATTTAGTAAAAGTCTACGACGTTGTTGCTTTTTTAACGTGAATGCACGGAATAATAATACTAGGAAATAAAATACGTATGTACAAAGGAGAATATAGATTGAATGAGCGTATGAACAAAAAGACAAATAATACTACACAAAAAAATATGGATTTTAAAAAAATTGGTATGTTCCTTAATGGCTCCAACCTGTAAAGACATGGACTTTGCTGTATTATTTAACAGAATGTTCAGTAAATGTCTATAACAAATTGACAAGTGATCATTGTGTAAAGTGATAATGCAAAATAGTGATCACAAGATAAAGTTATATTTACAAATAATAAATAGACATAGTTATGTTACTTAGATCCACTTATCTAACCAATACATCAAAGAAACGTCAAATGATTGAGTAAATTTTTCGAAATAATTCATGAATATGTTTCGGAGTAGAAGCTGGTTTGGAGGAGGATTGTGGAAACCTAAAAATCCACATTCTCTCGAACACTTAAAGTAAATACAACAAATTCTTCAGTTATAATATAAGATAGATAGTAAAGATATTTTTTTAATTATTATAATAATTTCATTTTTTCTCAGGTATCTCTACAATGTTTTATCAAAAAATCATACTGTCTCAGAAACCAATAGAGGTCTACTTGTTGAAACTCTTAGATCGATAGCAGAAATATTAATTTGGGGAGATCAAAATGATAGTAGTGTATTTGAGTAAGTATATTGTTACCAAATTTTTTATCAGACGTATATCATATATATATTTTTAAGTAGAAGTTCTTAGTGTTGATGTTCTAAATTTTTCAGTTTCTTTTTGGAAAAGAATATGCTGTCATTTTTCTTGAGAATAATGAAACAAAAATGTGGTAGTTATGTGTGTGTTCAGCTTCTACAAACGCTCAATATTCTATTTGAAAATATCCGAAATGAAACATCTTTATGTAAGTAATTCTATATAAATTGTTCCCATGATTACTTTAAAAATAGTAAATTCAAAAAATATTCATTTTTTTCTTCCAGATTATCTATTAAGTAACAATCATGTAAACAGCATAATCGTACATAAATTTGATTTTAGTGACGAAGAAGTAATGGCTTACTACATTAGTTTTTTAAAGACGCTTAGTCTCAAACTAAATGCACATACAATTCATTTCTTCTATAACGAGGTAAACAAGGTATACTCGAAACATTGGTTTTTCAATTAAACTTAGGAGAACACCACATTCATGTAGATCTACACAAATAATACTGTCAGAATTTTCAATCATTGATTTACTGTTATACACTACAATTAATAAGTCAGTTTTTTCTGCTAACTTAATTTTTTTAATTATTCTACAGCATACGAATGATTTTCCATTGTACACTGAGGCTATAAAATTTTTTAATCATTCAGAGGGAATGGTTCGTATTGCTGTTAGAACACTTACATTAAATGTATATCGTGTTGAAGATGCATCAATGCTTGCTTTTATTCGAGATAGAACAGCAGCTCCATATTTTAGTAATCTCGTATGGTTTATTGGCAATCATATCATTGAATTGGATACGTGTGTAAGAAATGATGCAGAGTAAGTTTTATATTTTAAGTAATCTTATCGCATTTTTAATTATTTGTGTACACAAATAGTTTAACGACGTATTTACCCATATAAATAATTTCATTGAATTGAATTACAAAAAGGATAAATAATGGTAATAATACAAATCTTATATATAATTTTCAGCCATCAAAGTCAAAATAGACTTGCAGATTTAGTAGCAGAGCATTTAGATCATTTACATTATTTAAATGATATTTTATGCTTGAATATAGAAGATTTAAACAAGGTGTTATCGGAGCATCTTCTACAGAAATTATTAATACCACTTTATGTTTATTCTTTAACGAAATCCAAAAATTCATCAAATCACATGAATCAAGATGAGAAGAAACACGTCAGTGTTGTTGTTTCACTTTTTCTACTTTCTCAAGTTTTTCTTATCGTCTCACATGGACCTCTCGTACGAGAATTAGCATCGGTTATATTAAAATCTGACTCTTCTGTGATACAAAATTGTTCTAGTCATCCTACTGACGATAGCAATCATCATTCAGTACTAAATAAATCAATTGTTTTTGCACCTCCAACTGAAAGTTTAGAAAAGTCTCTAGAAAATTTGAGTGGAATTTCCGAAGCTCATTGTTCAACTGTTGAGGATGTAATATCATCAAATGATTCACCTCCACTTAGTTGTACTTCAAGTGATGGAATGCCAGAATCATCAGATTCAGATGCTATGAGAGTGGACAATTTGGATGCAAAAATTAAACATCTTAATTTTACTGATGAAGAAAAAGAGCAAAGATTAGCATTAGAAAGTCCTCCATTATCTAAAAAATCACAAGAAATTTTAAATGCTCCGATAATAAATAGACCCTTTCTTGACACAATTTTTAATTCATTACATTGCACAGAAAATGATTATGCGACGCTTTTTGCACTTTGTTTACTTTATGCTCTTATAAGTAATCAGGTAAATATATTATGATGAAATAACATTTTTCTCTGTTCAAGTATAATCTTACATTAAAGCAAAAAAGTTTAACTATTTCTATAGTCATTAAAATTAATCTTTCTATATTCAAGGGAGTAAATTGTGAATCATTTGATTTTGTGTTGACATCATCTCAAAAAGGAGCAGCTGTTAATTGGTATAATGAGACTTTAGTTGATAAATTAAGTCATATTATTACAATGAGTTGCCAAAATAGTGAGTATTTATTTCATTCATTAAGAATTACATTTCTAGCTTTAATATCGATAGTTAAAATTATTACCGTTACAATTAAATGAAAAATTTTTTTAGATGCCAAAATACGTCTAGTAACACTCGAAATGAGTATAAAATTACTTTTGAAAATTGCTATATCTAATGGACAAAGTTTATTATGTGATGCACATTTAGCAGCAATTGAAGCAGCAAAAGAACAAAGTACAGCATTACTTCGAAATTTTTACAAAGTACGTTGGACAAAATAATAAAATAATGAATCAGGGAATATAATTTTGTAAATTTGTAAATTTTGTAAATTTGTAAAATTTTTTTGATCTACTAGAGCGAAGATATTTTTCTGGATATGTTTGAAGATGAATATAGTGAAGTACAGAAGAAACCACTCAATGTTGAATGGTTGATGATGGATAGCAATATTTTATTGCCTCCGACAGGTACACCAATGACTGGAATTGAATTTACAAAGAGACTGCCTTGTGGTGAGGTAAAGACATTTAAGTAGATAGTTTTTTAGTTATAAAATAGTACAACAAAGTAGAATTAATTTGTACATTCAACTTTGCTAAATATTTCTTTTCATAGGTTGAACGAGCTCGTCGTGCAATTCGAGTGTTTTTTTTGATTCGAGAACTATCTTTAACATTAAATAAAGAAGTAGAGACTCAATTGCCGCTGACTAATCCATCCGATTGTGTGAACATTAACTGCGTTCTTGATCTAAGTAAAAGTTACTCCTATTTTTTTATAAATTAATTTTTTTCTAGAAGGACTTTTTAAATATCTCGAATTATAATAAAAATAATGTATAATTGGATAATCATTTTATTCTCACAGACAACAGTGATCTGATTGCTTGTACGGTTGTATGGAAAGATGGACAAAAAATCCGAAGATTTTTGGTAATTGATGTGATGCAGTTAATTCTTGTTGAGCCCGATACACGAAGACTTGGTTATGGTGTTACGAAATTTGTTGGATTTTTACAAGACATCGAAGTTACTGGTGATCAGGATGATTCTCGATGTCTCCATTTAACAATCCATAAGCCGTCGAACAGCAGTTCACCTAATAGATTACCTCTTCTTTCTGCTAAATTTATTTTTGATGATCATATTCGATGTATGGCCGCAAAACAAAGGTAAATATATATTCAATTTTCATTTATCTATTAATTAATGTTAAAACAAATATGATATTTTTTATAAATTATTCTTATAGATTGACCAAAGGTAGGATCAAAGCTAGACAAAAGAAGATGAATCAAATAGCTCGGCTCTTAGATATTCCAACAAATCTTCCAAGTTGTTCAACACCACCAAACTATGCTCTTTTTGGATTACGCCATGAAAGTAAGCAAATATTTTTTATTTTCGATTATCATAGGAACAAGTTATTTTTATTAACTAATCTTTGTTAAAAGGAGTAGGTGGAAGAGGTCAGAAACGTGGAGATTCATCAAGACCCATGTTTATGATCAATAAAGTGCCGGGATTTGCAACTCAAATGCGTAAAGAAACTCCAACTAGACTTTCAAGGCGTACAGAAGATCCTAGTCCAAGTGGTAGATCACAAGAAAGTAACCTGAGATCCAGAGATGGATCACCGAAAATACCCAGACCTAGAAGTGAAGAAATTCCATTGGAAGATATGCGTCTTAGGAAAGCTTCGTTGACTTTGAATGGCTCAGCAGGGTCATCAGATAATTCAGAAATTCCTGTATTAAATTTATCTATTAACAATCAATCCTCTGCTATGAAAAAACACTCAGAAGAGACGTCGTTTACCTCACCGCAAAATCAACAAATGAAACCACGACGAAAAGGTCAAGTGGAAACTGTATAAAAATATTTTAAAATAAACTTTTCTTTTTATATAAAAATAATTACGTATTTTTGTTCTATCATTACCAACAATAAAAAGTGTATTCAATAAGTAATTAATTCAATAATCAAAGCAATAATTTACAATCAATCATAAATTATTATGATTAATTAATTTTTGTAAAATAAACAGAGTAATTTGTAATCACAAAAACTACATATTCATTTTAAATTATTACTATTATTCGTCAACTATTGAAATTTTACATCATACAGATATAATAAGAATAAATTTTCTTCAGCCAATAAACATTTAAATTAGCAATGGAAAGGAAATAATTTTTAGATGTAATTAAAATTTGTAGTTCATTTTCTTGTTGAATATTTATGATTGTTACATTTTTTACGAGAATTTCAGTAAGAGAACTTAAATATATTAAAGAGAGATTATTAATATGTTTTTAGTGTAACATTGAACGATAATATTAATATATATATATAAATCAGAATGTTAATATTTTAAAAGCAATATTATGTATAGTATACATATAATTCAATCAAATGAGATAAGTTCCGCAGTATCCTCTTTTTTTTCTCCATTGGATCCTAAAGAATCTATTTTCGTTGATTGAACAGCAGCAGGAGCCGGTTGTTGATATTGTATAGGCTGTGTAACTTGAATCGGCAATTGCTTTTGCTGAAGAGGTGCTCCAGAGGGTGGAGGTGCTCCTCCAGGAGCCATTTGAATAGATCCAGGAACTTGGGATGGTATATTATTAGCAACACTTACATGTTGAGACATTTGTTGTACACTTTGAGGCATTTGAACTCCGACAGGAACCTGAGGCATTCCCATATGCGCAGGTGGGCCTGAAGGGCCATGGATAGGTGGTTGATTTGGAGCCATCTGTGGATTAACAGTTGGTGGAGGCACTCCTTGAGGAATCTCAGAAGGTTGGGGACCAATTCTTGTTGGTACGTGAGTTGCCGGTGGTGGATGCTGACCTGGATGAGGCATTTGATGACCTCCAGCTCCAGGAATTTGTGTCATGGACGGAACATTTCCCATTTGTGGCATCTATATAAGAATTAATATTTTCATTATTTAACCACTGATTTATTTAAATAAATTAATCAAAAACATTATTAAAAATTAACAAAATACCATTCCAGTTTGAGGCGGAGGAGCTAAATTTTCTCGATTTTGTATTATAGATTCGGGTGCTGTCTGCGGTTGATCTTGATTCATTGACACATTAGACATCATATGTGGAGGCATAGATGGCATGGGTGGATAAGATTGCATCGGATACGAACCCATAGGTGCTGGTCCATAAGGAGAAGGTCCATAAACTCCTTGATTAGTTGGAGAAATAGGATTGTATGTAGTTCCTGGTGGTTGGTAATGCACGTGACGAATTGGAGAACCTTGAGATGGACCCATAAATGAAGGAACTTGTTGATATCCACCTAAAAATAAATTATAATTATTGTCATTGAGAATATCGCCCATAGGCAATGATCGACTGATTTATATTCAAAATTACCCATAATATATTGCTGCTTTTGTTGCTCTTGACGCATTTGCAATTCTCTCTCACGTTCTTGAATTTTCTGTAGTGCTAATTGTCTTTGATAATTCAAATATTCTTGCTTTTTCTTACGCATAATATCAAGTTTCATAGCCATCTGCATTTGTTTTTGTCTTTCAGCTTCTTCAGCTTCTCTGCGTAATTTTTCTCGATGTTCTTCACGCAAAGCATCTAAAGCTGCTCGAGCATCTTTCACTTGAGATAATTTATCTTGTAATCCTTCATAATAAACTCTAGTATCATCATGTTCTTGAATATACTTCAATAATCTCGAATGCATCGTAGTAATATTCATGAAAAGACCTTGGAAAAAGCTATCATTAATAATAGATCGCCCCCTTGATGAATTACTTTTCATTCTATTCACAAATATTTCAACTTGAGATCTCAAGTTGCTAACAAACTCATCCAAATGATTATCAATATCTCCATTTTGTTGTTTTGCTACAACAACTCGTTGCGGCATTGGACTACTAATATTTGGAGCACTTGGGCTCGTAACGTCTGGTCTTGATCCTCCAGCATTCTCTTCATTTGCTATTTGTCGTTGCTCCCAGAATTGGCGATTCAGATATTTTGCAAGCTCTGGATCGGTAACTTCTTCCTCTTGAATTTTTGAAGGACTTGGCCCCTAAATAATAACCAATGAATAAATTCATAGGAACAGTTAGTCGGAAGAATAGAAATAAAAATACAAACTGGTGATGGTGGTGGAGAATAAGTCGTTCGTGATATGGAAGTAAAATTAGTTTTATAAGAGTTAGTCACACGTTTCTTTTCTTTCTCTTTTTGCTCCGCTTCACTCTGGCTTAGTGCAAGTGCAAGTTGTAGCTCTTCTTCTTCTCTCAATTCTTCTTCTGTTTTTCTGGGTGGTACCTATGATTCATATAAAGTTTTGTGAAAAAAAATTTATGATAAAATATTTGCTACAAATTTTTAAAAAATTAACTAAAACAATTATCCAAAATATTTTTATGCCTGTTTGTTCACAAAAACACTCACGGGTGATTCATGTGACGCCATTTTGTACTAATTAAATAAAAGAAGCTGGCTAATTTACATATTTTTAACTTCAACTATATTTTATTATCCACTTTGACGAAGGAAATAGGAATATTAAAGTTTGTAAAAGCATGAAAATTATTTTTACCTGTTGTTGTTGAGACAAGGTACTGTTCAAATATTCTACTGGTAAATCAGTCTCCTTGGTTGACGCTGTACTTGGTTTATTTAGCTGAGCATAACAAGCGTCGCAAACTCTCACTTCTTTTTCAAATCCAAACTTTGGTAGAATCGATGTTTTGCTTGAACATTGTCCACAAAAAACTTGACCACAATTTCTGCAGTGATGCTTTCTTTGCATCATATTAAAAATTACACGACATCGATGACAGACTTCACCATCAGCCCATGGTGGTGCTGTATCTGCACTAAACATTGCATCGCTTTCTTTTAGCTCTGGAAACATATAGCCTTCAGCTTTCATTATATTCATCGTGTCCTAAAAAAAATATTCATTTTCATTAATGTTCTTAAATTAGAATAAATAAGAAAAAAAGGTAAAACGATGATTCACTTTAACTGCGGTATATTTAGGACTGTTTCTAAATGCAAATGCCCATGCTTGGATTAATCCTAGAACTTTAACTTTAACATCGTCATGGGTTGTAGTTTTTACTAATTCTTTCAGTTGTTCCATATACTGTTTTGTTCCAATTTCATCGTGGATAAGACTTCCACAATTTTTTACACATGATTCTAAAACCTACAAAATTAAGGGTAATATATAATTATTTTTCAATATAAATTCCGTGTATGCTTTACTTACCAGTAGGCCAAAGAGAGCAACATGAGGATTAGGATTAGTAATTTTCTTTTTTATTGCAGCAAGAGCAGCTTTAGGTCTGTAGATAGTAATTTAAATATCATCATGAGTATAATCAAAGATTGTGTGATAAAAATTTGCTTTTATAAAAAATATTTATTTCTATGGTAAAAACATTATTGTTATAAGATTATCTACAAAAAAATTATAGCCAATAATAGCTGAATAATAAACATGACATGAATTTGAAGCAAGACTATCTTAATGACTCATAAGAGATTGAAGTGAACAATAAATTATTATCTAATGAGTTAATTGTTTTTAAATTTTACTCACTGAATGTCTCCCTGTCGTATGAGATCACAAATTTGGAGGATGATTGGCCAGTCAGGATCAAGGAGCAAATGGCTTGTAGCTTTGTCTAGAAATGAAATGACGTTATCAATACATAGTAGCAATGAGTAGAAATAGGCTGAAATAATTGAATTATATTACAGTTTTTATAAAGAAGTATTTACCGAGTAGAGTATAAAAATTTGGCGATTTTTGAAACATTCTATGATAAATCCAAGTTTCAACAGGAAATTTAAAAAACTCTTCCAGGTTAATTGTCCTTTGACATTTGACAATTGTCACGTGAATCACCTACAGTGGTACACGACTGTAAATATACGACGTATGCTGTAAAATATGTAACATGTAGACAGATATGCCACTAATGATGCCACCCAAAGTTTACATAGATCGATTTTTTACCGTAAAAATTTATTCTGTATCGCATTGCACGACGACCATTTCGAGAGATCGACTTTCATAACCTACAATTGATTGAGCGGCATTTTTAAAAATCCAAGAAAATCCTTTCAGAAATCAAAAACATTATTTATTTATTTATATTTTTATAAGTATTTTATTAATGTAAAAACTGATTTACAGATATTTCGTTTGTCATACCAAAACCATTATGTATGATGTCAGTGCGTACGCGTACCTTTTACGGCTTATGTTTTTGATTGTGTGAACGGTCTGACAAATTGTATCTGTTTATTTTTTTTTAATCTTTTTAACTTCACTTCTTATGAATATTGCATCTGAATTATTGAAGCAATCAAAATGTCTATAAGTGAGTATTTATATTTACAAAGTACTAATAAACTTTCAAGTAAATGATTTTTTGATTAATATTATGTCTAGCTCGTCAGAAGTCCTTGTCGTCATCTAAATTATCTGTTTCAACAAAATCACCATCTCGAGCAGCTTCTGTAAGGCCACGATTGAGTAGTGTGATGTCACTTTTAGGTACATATCGAGGTAGTGTAGCATTCAGGATTGGTAAAAGTGGCTTCAAGGTATTTAAAAACAAATGTTGATAATTTAAAAATCATCTTCAGAGTCTTAATTAATATTATTCCTGATAATTACTCATTTCATTAAATGCTTTAATGAGGTACCGAGATATCAAAACACTTATCAAATGGAATCAAGTAATCCTTTCACTCATGTAATTGTTGATAAAATATTAAAAGATGTCATGGATACTTATCTAACAAATATAAAAAAATATGGCCCAGCTGTTTGTTTAAAAATCTGTCAAGACATGGCAACAGAAATAAGAAAGCAAATTTTTAAGAAAGACTTTACACGGTATCAAGTATGAATAATTCATTTATTTATATTATTTCATTATAATATTATTATGAAACAGTTACAAGTACATTGTTTCGATGTCCATAATTGAAAAATTGCACCAAGGCGTTGATATTGCCCTAGGATTTTTGTGGGATACTCAAAGAGATACTTACAGCCAATATGTTTTTGAAAATGCACAATTTTATGCTATTGGAATCGTTGCTGGAGTTTACTACGAATAATAAAATAACTTTAATTAATTTATCTATATTTTCTAATTAAAAAAGTGAATAGAAATTGCCAATGTTGACATTTTTGAATTACCTGCATTTAAAGTTTTTGTAGAAAGTTACACTACTACCATCTATTATCAAGATTATGTGTCGATCAGTTATCAAGGGAGAACGTTTTTCTCTGTTATCAAAAAACACGTCAAAAAAACAAACATGGTGGGAAATTAACACGTTTGCGCAATTGAACGTGTATTTGTTCAACACGTCTTCAAGATACTTTACTCTACACTAAAAAAAATCCACCATGTATTCCAGTAGTTAATAAAACGTGATTTTTTTTTGTAATATTTATATTTTTTAATTTGATAAAGAATAGTACGTGACAATGACGGTTGTTTATTATGCGACATGAAATGTTATCTACTCTGATGAAAAGAGAGGGTTATGACGAATAACTATCGGAGAGAAAGGATTTTATGGAGTACTTATTTTTGTTTCAAAATTTGTAGAAATATACTTAATCATGTCAGAGAAATGTAAGGTATGTACTGAATAGAAAGATTTATTTAAGAGTTAAAGACAATAACTTTGAATAATAATCCATCTGTTGTGTATGAATATTGTAGGTCAGGCAATAAATTAAACGAGTATTCTTTGATGATAGGTTTACAATTATAATTATAAGTCATATGTTTGTTAGTTTTTATTTAATTACTGCAATTATTACATTACGATAAGTTATTTTCCTTAAGTATACAATTTTTCAATCGTAGAATTAATTACCGTCTTGGTTTGTTATTCTTTTCGCGCATTCAAATAAAATCTATAAATAGTTATTACAATAACTTCAGGTCAATATTTATTGGTATTGCTCTTTTACAATTTATTGAAGTGATTAATTCATTTTTCGAAGATTAACATTTAATATCTAGTCAAGTTAATTTAATTAAAAAAAATTTTTTTTCAGGAATGTGGCTGTGTTTGTGCCAGATGCACAAAAAAATACCATAGGCACAGTGACGTGCATTTACATGCTGAAATTGAGCATTTGAGACAAAGCTTAAAAGAAAAAGACAGTCACATAGTCAAAATGGAAACACAATTTCTAAATGAAGCTGAAAAATTTCCTAATGGAGAGCTAGCTTCAATGAAAGAAGAAATTCGAACATGGCAAGAGAAATATTCTCGACTTTGTGAGGCACATAAAAGGGTTCAAAAAGTGAATCAGAATTTAGAGGACAAACTGCTTAAAATCGTAGATAAATGTGAGACTGAAAAAGGTGCCTTTACTAAGGATATTGCAACTTTGTCACATCGATTGGCTGATGCTAATTATACTATACATCGTTTGTCTCAAGACAACGTGAGTTTCTTCACATCGATAATTCTATAGATTTATTTTATAAAATAAATACTTCTCACATAAATACAAGATCATTATTAACGTTTCATTGATAAAATATTGCAGGCTAAATACAGAAACGATGTGAATTTAGCTATTCAATTACTACAGTGTAAGCCGTCAAACTTTGTGGGACAGAAATATGACTCGGTAAGACAATAGAGCTCATCATTTTAAAGAAAAAATCCAATTATCGATAGTGTTTGAAACAATTTCCGGTGTTATATTGATTTTCTCAGTAATATCCTGTGTTTAAAATATGTTTATTAAAATTTATTTCTATAAAATTATCATAATTCTATCAAAATAAATTTCTTATTTTCAGATTTTTTATATTTAATTCAAAATTCTATTTATAGATAATTGGATTTTTCAATTTAAATTGTTATTTTATTGAATTATTTTATATTCAGAAACAAATTAAGAAAATTATATTATTATAGCTGCCAACAGAAGTACAAGCAAAAGTTAGAAATTACGTCAATCAAAAACGTAGACCAAGAGATCAATCCCCTGACGTTAAAAGTATAACTGTACCTATTTCAACTTTTCCACCAACGGCGATGGTTTATAATATTACTAAATCTAGTACTGATAAATATAGTGATGATGAAAGTGACGACGGAAAGCCTCCGGTTGATATGGTTTCAGCAGCAATAATGGCTAAAGTTCTTGAAGATAGAGAAAGAGAAAGGATATTCGCTAAACATTGTGACACATGCGTCTGTCATAAAAGTATTTTGATGGTTGACTCAGAAACTCAAACGAGTTTTTCACCAGAGCATACATCGAAAATTTACCCAAGCGGACTTATAAGCGACTTTTCTAAAATTGACGAAACAATAAACCAGACACTCAATAAAACGGGTGTGTGTGCGAAAATCAATCAAACATTACCGACGCAGACAAAAATTGAGAGGCAATCGAAGGCATCTATAACAAAAATCAAGCAAATAAAAACAAAAAAAGGAGAATGTTGGTCAGAATCAGACATAAAAGTAAATCCACAATTTTCTGATACAGCTTTTCATTCGGAAGTAAATCCAACAGAAATAATAAATGACAGAATATGGAAAAATACCTGGACAAAGTCGAAATTTATAACTTCAACGCATGATGATAAAAAAGAAAGCAATAGAAAAAATGATACACAGTTGGATGTGATAAATGAACGAGTTTGGAAAATGGAAAATGGTAATATAAACAATTTAAACCAAGTAACTCTCATAGAAGTAACGAATGCAGTGAATGCAAATCATCAATCGCCAGATTCAGCAGCAAGTCCGAGTTTTAGTAATGATAGTGTGGTAATTTCAAGTTCAGAACCGTCCTCCAGTTCTAGTGATCTAGTCCAATCTATCAATGAAAAGCGACGGATGGTGAATAATAATTTAACCGTTAAAGATAGACTATCAGGACCGAGAAATTGCTTAATTAAAGTGAGAGAAGGATCTAAGAATATTTTATTAGACAATGTAGGTCAGTATCAGACTGTTCTTTATACGAGTTCAGGAAGCGGAAGTGGAAGTGCCAATCAAACTAACACAGCTCTTGTCCACAATCTTGCCAAATCGACGACATCTGGAAGGTCTTTATCAACTAGCAGTGATGAAGCCTTTCCAATTTTACCTAATGATGCAACCCAGCTGCAGAGAGTCGCTGAATGGGTTCAATCATCTGTTGGGAATTCTGGAAAAATGTCTAGTAATCTAAGAAACGTTGTTAGTAGTGCTGGGATCAATTCTCAATCGAGTACAAAAACTAAAAAACCTTCTTGCACATTGATTGAAATGCCAACTGATGATCAAAATGATTTGATAAATGAAAATGTACCTCTAACGTCCACATTAAACTTAAATATTACCAGCCCAAAAATGAACGAACAATCAACGATAAATGTTGAAAATACTTCTATTGAGATGAATGTCAAGCCTGAAGGTGAAATAAAAGATCTTATTTCTTTCGATTCCAATACTGAAGATGATGGTGATGATGAGAAGAACAATGTACAACAAAAGGATTCAGCTTACGAAATAAAAATTACCAAAGAAATGGAGGAAACTTATTTGAAATTAGCTGCTAGCCTTGATCCAGTATCTTTGCGATTGGCGACTAATGTCAATGCTGATTTAACGATTGAAAAGTATCGAAAAGATCATAAAAAGACACAAAAGGCATTCGAGAAAAGTGGAGCGGCAACATAACGTCAAGCAATTCTGCGTATAATTAACGCTTCTTCTTGTTCTTCTTCTAATCAAGATAATGCTGTGCTATATTTAATTTATCATTGAAGTCCCTGCGTTTGAAAATATTTATGCAATAATCAACATAAATATTCCTTAATTAATCATTCGTTGAATAGCAAAAAATATTATATAAATAAAATGAACAAATTATTTATGCACGGAGTTTTTATCGAGGCTTTAACTATAAATAAAATTGGCCTAAAACTCAAAATTCGCTACGATTCATATTTATTGGATCATAAATTTTAGCAAAAAATATCTCCGACTGCAGAGTTCATTTATTTTACCGGAAATTAATAATTATTGCTGTTATGCTGAAAAAAGTAAGAAAAATCAATATTTAAAAAAATCTTACCATGAATTTTATGTACAATGAAATAAGTTTTAATGAATTAATATTTAAAAAACATTAATGACAATACTACAGTCGATTAAGCTATTTTATTGTACGACATTAAATGCTTATAAGTGTCGCACAATAATGATGGAATCATAGGCAGTATTATTATTATATTACCTACTTGGTTAATAGCTTGAATGCGTGACTATTTGATGCCAAAGGCCACCAAGTATTGGCCTCTAGTTTTTAAATTGTACTTGGCTAGATTTTTTTTTTATGGAAAAAAATCTTTTCTGCGTGATGATATGCCAGTGTATCTATTAGTCGAATGTATAATGCTGGGTCTATTTGTTAGAACAAAGTAAACTTTGAAGTCTGTATATACGAAAATTAATGGAATAAATATATATTTGAGCATGCTCTACAAATTTATTCTTTTCTTGCAAACTATAATTACTTAATTGATGATTAGCAAATTTATTAAGGCAATATAAAAGTTTAATTTTTTAAAATTCTATCTTACAGATATAAAGATAACGCTTACAGAATTTATTTCACTTATTGTCAAATATTTTTATCAATAGAATAAATTAACTCGATTAATTTAAAAATTCAGAAACTAGAACATGGCTAATAATTAGGTCATTTACTTTATCAAATATTTTATGAATTAAAAATTATTTCTACAGAAATAATATGCGCTTTTACTAATTTTTTATAAAAAATTAAACATACTTAAACAATTAATTTTAAAAATTTAATTTTCTTTCATTACTTAAACTTTCACTATAATATTATTACTTTTTTTTTTTTAAGAGTATTTTTTTCATTTATTTTAATACAATTTTTATTTTGATTTCAGTTTTTCTTGAGAGATAAAATGAATATAGAAGAAAAGGTCAAACGATGATATAGAAGTAACATCCCTGATAACAAAAGAAATATGCCCTGCCCAGTTTTCTCTCCAATCAAGCTAATGCTCTAGTAATTGGTAGCTGAGTATATAGACAGTAATAATCGTTGTATTTTGCACATTAAATCCAATCGTTGGAAGCAAAGCTTTTCCAACCAGCCGACCTAGATTACTTTCTTTGCAAACGTATAACGTTTCGCTTGCTCATCGAAGCTGAGAGAAATGCCTCATCATCGCAGCAAACAGCGTGGAGACGAGAAATGAAGATGACGAAACCATAAGAAAACCAAGAAGTCGATGGAGAAATTTAATTATCAGATTGTCAGCTTAGTTATTAATAATAATTCTACTATTTAAAAATAGATGAAAACGAAAATGCGTGTTAAAGATAATTCATATAGATATGAAAGGAGATTGTCAAGTGCACGTGGAAAATTTTGGCGGCACGCGTCAATGAAGGGGTATCACGCTATAAGCTATTCTTCCCCGCCTGCAAGTATTAGACTGAAGTCTACTTATTCTAGTAGAGTGTTTCGAGTCCAGTGTTCTCGCCGACTGGCTGACTGGCTGGTCGGTCAGTCAGAACGGTTGTTCTCGCTACTTGTTTTCCAGTGCCTCGAATGATTTCGCGTTTGTGGAAGACAAGCGAGTCTCGCTCGAGACGGAGTCGCATCGAGTAGATCGCTGGTAAGACAATTATGATTGAAATTTAATTTATATTTAATTGGAATAGTTAAAGTTCATTCAGTAAAATAAAATTACTAAAAAAATTTACGTTAAAATCCTTGCCACGATCGATTTCAAGAAAATTTTTCAAACATGCACAAACGATTTCTCTTTGATTGCTGACCGTGACGTTGAAGTTTATTTTAAAACAATTCTGACGTTATTTCTATTGAAATTTACCCTTAAAGAACAATCATAGCTGATGATGGTGATCAAGTAGTTTGAATGTAATTATATTCCTTCTGCAATTAACTAAATAGTAGCAGTTGACCAAGTGCTTGAAGTAGTTTGATTAGTTCTTGTTTTATCAGTTTGATGTTTGATCAAATAATTTCATTGTAGGATTAATTAGTGTATCGAAGAAGAATTAATTAACAGGAGAATGGAGTCTTAATTAGTGTGAAATATTGTACATTGTTTGATTTAGTTGGACATTGCTATTTTAAATATTTGCTATATCAATTGAATGTTAAAAATGATTCAAATTCAATAACGATTTATTTAATTATTAAATATTAAAGTAATTCAAATAAGCAAGCTTTTAATTTATCTCTTAGGTCATTTAAAACGTAATTAATCCTTAGATCTGACAAGCGAGTATAAATACACATGAACTAGGCAATAAATTTTGACACAGGGTTGCGAGGTGGAGGAGGAAGAGAAGGCAAGATGCGACGAAGGGTAGAAGGTGACTTCGAAGACTCAAGAAGATTCAGAAAACCAAGAGTAGAAAGCTATGGATTTCGAGTTCTGGAAGATACCAATATCAGTGACTATTACTTGGGTATTCCAGAGCCACCAAGAGCTCCAGAACCTTACAAAATCACAGGTGGATCATCGTCGACAGCACGAGCTCATCGAAGGTCGAGCTTCGTGATCCTTGCAGATTCGGGGGAATCTATATCACGATCGGTAGCAGGGTCACCTGCTCACGAAAGAATTAGAAGTCCTCTGTCACCTCATCGAGTGATTCATGGAAGATCCTCGCCATTTCGACCAAGAGGATTTAAAGGACCGCCTCCGCATGCTCAGTCAAGGCCCCAAAGTCCTCCAGTGCCGGCTCAGAGACGATTTATTCAACCAAGTAAGATTTACTGACTGTTCAAATTTTTTCCACTTCCTTAATATTTTAGGACAGCTGTAAGCTATTAAAATTATCGTTTCATTTACAACGAAATGACATTATTTCATTTTAAAAATATTGAATATTAAAATTATTACGTGTCAATAGAAATTAAAAAAGTGTTTTAAGTTGGGGAGAATATACTATTTAAATAAAACATTCTCTTCCGTGAAATAAAAACAACCTTATAATTAATCCAGTGTATTTATTTTTATGGTGATAAATTAATCCAATTACTCATATGATTTTAGTATTTATTTTAAAAATGTAAACATCTAGTTTTCAACAGAAAAAGTTACTTTTATTAAACAGTACCACCTTCCATTTTAGAATCATTATCGCAAGGAAATAGTCCCAGGAAACAAAGTCTGATTCCCCAACCACAGAGAGGCTTCATTTCCCGCACCAAAAGCCAGAAGAACAAGGATCGTGATCGATGGGAACGTCGCTCAGGTCGTTATGTCACAAGAATCCCTCGTTCCAGCTCTCTCAAGGCTCCTACGACTACAAGACGTCCAGTCCTGGAAACGACACGTGCTGCTAAGCTATCAAACAAGCCAACAAAACCAACCCCCAACTCGACCACAAATCTAAATAGTTTTACTACCACTACTAATACTACATTACCAATTACAACTATAACTAATGCCCAAGCACAATCGGAGAAGAAAATTAATCGATCGCCTACGAAAATACCTATTCGTCATACACCCAGTGGTCGATTTATTCAACTCCCCAACTCTGAAAAACCTGAGAGAATAATAAAAGAAAATTTACCTCCAGCTACTGAATCTAACTCAGCTTCATCTAACCAAGTTAATGATCAAGCTGCAGCTGTAGAAGTGGAAAGTAATTCAACACAACCGGAAGTTGCAAATAAAGATCTAGGTATTGCTGATCTTCTTAAACAACCAGCAGCTGGTGACGGAACTGCTAGTGTAGTTAATGCCACGACAACAACTGCTGTTCAGCCTCTTAAAATTGATGCTGCCAAAATTTTGCCTCTAGACATAGATTCTATTTCAGTAAAAAATTCTAAAGAAGATAAGAAAAACTCTTCTAGATCGTGCTCACCCGAAATACAAAGTTCAAATGCATCAACAAGTCAAAAGATTTCTGCTATTGTGAAAGATGAAAAAACTCCACAATCGTCTTCGTCTACTGATGTTGTTGTTGAGCCAATGAATGTTGAAGCGGTTGTAGAAAATATCGACAAAGAGGAAAGTAAGGATAATACTGAGATTATTACAGCTGATAAAGAAATAAAAAAAGAAGGTAGAAAGGAGGGAAAAGATGGAAAGGATACGAGTGAATTGATCGAACTTAAAGAGAATAAAACAAAGGAAGATGAAGCAGAAAAGAAATCAAAGTCCATTCAAGAGGTTGAAAAGCCACAAGCTGCTTCTAGTACAGGTTCCAATGTTTTTTTAATGAACCCTGCTAATGAAAAATCTGAAAGTCAGATGAAAACTACGATTGAAAGTCCAGAAATTCAAGCTCAAGATAAATTAAAGAATCACGGCAGCGAAAATTCTATCAAATCATCTAATGGATTATCAACGTATTCTGGAGAAAGTATTCGATCAACTGATACTGGAGTAAGTTTGAATACAGTGCGAGGGGTGTCTTCAGCTCGAGAAAAAAGGGGTACTCACGTAGTTAAGAGATCACAAGAGATTGAAACACTTAGTGGAAATGTTATGAATTTAGAAAATCAAAGAAATGGTGATTCTGCGTAAGTAATTTTCGTTTATTTGCTATTTACAAATATTTTTAGCTTCTTTTTTTAAATTTAATTTTCTAACTAAAAGATTTACTGAATTTGATATTATAATTATAAAGATTTGAGATCATTTTAAAATTGCTTTGCACAATGTTTGTTCGTTATTTCCTTTTTAGAATAATTTCCTTTGCTCTGTATTCAATTATTTCTAGCCTCTGAAACATTTTTATTTCTTCATTTAATATACCAACACATCTACTTGCTTTTTCTTTGGTTGGAAGCCGATAAAATTGTCGAACAGACTAGAGTTTCTTGACCTCAGGCGTGCTAGCTTGTTTGCTCGTCCAGGAGTCGCTTATCGATCGCGTCCGGCCGATTTGCATGGACTCTCGGACTTAAGAAAACGCAAATTTTAAGATGTTTTTCTTGATTATGAAAATTAATTTAAGTTCCTGATTAAGCGTGAGGTTTTCCGTAAATTTGAATTAGTATAGGCGCTTGCTCGGGCTAAAAAAAAAGTTGATCAATTGGTCATTATTATTTTCTTATTCCGTAGTCTTATCGCTCAGGGTGAAAATGAACGTCGTGACGTCGCGTGCGGCCAAGGTCTTTTGTTGAAGAGAGGGTAGAAGTAAGGAGAACAAAAGTTTGCTTTTTCATTGACTCATATACATTAGCTTGACATTTTTTTCTCCTTAATATTTCTCAATAAAAAATGAGACATGGAGTAATGAGCAAAGAATTAACATATCCTATCAAGGAAAGAAATTCTTAGTGATTTTTATTGAAAAATATTTAAGAAGTTTTTGAAAATATTAGATTATTATAGAATCAGGTTGTTTTAACAAAAGTCTAGGGTAGATATCGATTTTGAATGAAATCTTTGCGTGACCTGGTCTCCCTTTGTCCCCTCTTAGAACTGACCAACCGCGGACTTGGGCTAAGCCGCAATCTTTGAGTAACCAACGTCCAATGCGACCGATCGCACGAGTTTTAACGTCCTCTTAGCATAAAAGTAGTCTTAAATTTGGAATTCTTGTTAAAAAAAAATTCATTTGAAAGTAAAAATCGGTTCACCGGGGTTAGATACTCAAAATGAAATCAAAAAAATTTGGAAGTTTGGAGGAAGTACTTTCGCCCTTGACTTTTTCTCTTGATGTGCCGTTTTTTCCTGATGACAGAATTGTGGAAGTAGCAGAATCTACTGAGGAAATTCTTCCAGCTTCAAGTAGGCAACCAATTTCAAAACGTGAGAGGTTCAAAAGGTGGAAGGATTCAGTGGTACAACGATGGAGAGACCGTTGGGGTAAACAGAAAATGATGAAGAAAAATAAAAGTGTTATGAGGTTTCCTAATATGAGGCGAAAAAAGAAGAATAAAGTGGAGAAAATGAAAAAAACAGAGAATGAAAATCCAAATGAACAACAACAGCAACAGCAACAACAAGCAACTGAAAATGTTACTCCAAAGCCAAATGCTTGCTCCAGAATGAGAGCAGCTTGTTTAAGGTAATATTTACTTCATATTTTATAAGTGTGCATAAAAATAAATGAGTTCAATGTTTTTTTTTATAAAATGTAAATATTATAAAGTAGAAATAAGTGTTTCACCATTTCATGAAATTTTCTTTGACTTGAAAATACTTTAATCATAAAAATCAATATCTAGAAATTAAGTATGATATGAATCTTTATTTTGAATTGACGTAATTTAAAAAATTTTATTGAATTTTATTGAAAAATAAAATAAACGTTCAATCTTATTCAAGTTAACTCCGTACATGTTGACAACACTAAGGAAATTGAGTGATTTAAGTGATCTAATTACAGAAGTGTTCGATGGCATTCAAAGATAGCCCCAGCGGAATCAACGACAAGCTGCTGTCGTCCAGAAAGAAGCTGTTGTCTATTATGTAAGTCAAGTTGGAGTTGGTGCCGATGGCCTAGTTGTTGTTCTTGTAGACGTGGTTCTGAGCCAACCAAGAATGTACGTGCCAAACACAGTCTAACTAGTGTCGCACCACCACCACCATTATCTGAGGTAAATCAAGGGTAATCTTGAATCTAAGATCAAATTACAGATGGTTTTAAGCCTATCTGAACTATCAAATCAATTAGGCTTGATACAATTGACAAATTACATAACTGTTAATTGGCAATTAATCATAAATGATGACTTAGGAACACAAATCCAAGATTCCGGATGTTCTTATTGAGCACAACTCGGTGATGCGAGCTGCCATTCCCTGTCTTCCTGTCCCACTAGCCTGGTTTTGCCTCGTTTGGAATATCCTCCTTCCCGGAACTGGTAAGTAATGTTTAATCATCCTTACAAGATCGCTCCATCATTCATTGACTAATTACTTTGATTAATAGGCACCTTGTGGAGTGGACTCTTCAATCTTTGCTTTGGCCAGCCTCGCTTTGCCGCGACAGCCAGTGCCAAGTCAAGATTCGGTGCTTTGATTGTCAATATAATTGTTGGAATTAGCCAACTCTTTACAGTTCTTTTTTGTCTTGTTGGATGGGGTTGGAGTATCTGGTGGGGTGTCACAATGATTCGGTTAGCAAGTAAGTAAAAGTTTTTTTTATTCTCTAAACAAACAATCAAAAATAATTAGCAATCATTTATTTAATATTCTCTTAAGTAAATTGATATACTATTTTTTTTTCATTTACATTTGGAGTAATTAAAGCTTTAAGGAAAAGAGGTGGAAGTTATAACAGAAAAAGAATTTTTCCATGGATTTATTTCAGAAATGTACATATTCATGTTTAAAAAGTAATCGACATCGATATATTACCAACACTTGTATTTAATAACAGACTTTTACTGTTTTTTAACGATGAATATGCACGAAATCATTAATGTGCATATTTATCATTAATTATCTCAAGTATATGGAAAAATCTTTCTTCACTTTGATTTTTTTCTGAATGCATTTAATGTATAAATATAATAAATACATTTTATCTTTTATTTATTTGAAAATCATATTTTCTATGAGAAAAAAATATTTATAGTTTTAATTTTTTACTAATTTTTCAATATTTTACATACATATGTATATGTGTACATACGTTTTTTTATATATCTCTATATTTTACATAATTTTTTAGTTTAAAATATATTTATTTGGAATTTTTTGTGATTGGAGGTTTATGTAAATAATAATAAAAAATAATAATTAAATTTTTTTTTTAGGAAAGTGGAAGCGTTTCAAAGCTACAGAGGCATCGAATAATGATCCAGAAGCAAGAGGTGATGAAAGAACAGTTTTACCTGCACCAGGAGTTCCAACCCAAGCTCTCAGAGAAATGGAACGGACACGTTGATCCTACCTAATTGATCTGATTGCTTTCTTGCGATTTTCTCTCATTCTTCCGTCCAATGATACATCATATATAGTCTTTCAAACTTTTTGCTTTCAATGAAAGCATGTAAATATGATATTATTGTACTTTGATATTGGCGACAGAAAAAACGTCGTTAAAAAATAACAGTTTTTTCTGAATTTTTTTTATACTGCACGCTTTACATTGTATTCCAATGAAGATGATGTACGTGTACTTGATATAAATCTTGTAAATATTGATCCAATTGATAAATATATTTAATAATTAATCATATCACTCATTGATTATTAATTACGAAGATTACCATTAATTATTATAAATAAGATAGCTAATTAAAATTTGGAAATTTTAATAAATATTTAAAAAAAAATTATTTTATTTCTCTTATTTACAGGAAATATGCAATATTTTTTTTTCTTTTTACTGAAAACTTTAATTGAATAAATTATTTATAAAATGGAATCATTCTTCTGTAGATTTTTTTTTTTTAATTTGGTGAATAATAATTGATCAAGGTTTTGAGAAGAGAATGGAGTTGATGAGACAATGAAGTGGTAGTGTGGGTGTCAAATTGTTGATTAATATGAAATATATTGAGTTATTGAGTATAACATGTTTAATGATGTGATTTAATATGTCAATACGTACAAGTATATAATGTTAATATAATATGAATGTTACAGTGTGTTTGTGAAAGCGGTTGCATGTTTCTTTTTTTTTATAAGCGATACTAACAACTATTTTTAAAACTTAAAAATATGATTAATTAATCACACTACATTTTATAAATTTCTAGCAGCTGAAGCATTCGTATTTTGTATTTTCTATTTTGTTGCATTTATTCTTTCGCTCGCATATCTTTTAACCCCCGCTGTTTCAATGTCTGTCGCGATGACGTATTATTAAACAGTAGTAAAGAGTGTATTTGTTTATCAATTTGTTCTTGTGGCTGTGTTTTATAGTTTCAAAATATTTGGCGAGTGAGTGTAAGTGATTACGAGTTATAACACTAAAAAATATTTGAATATACATGAAAAATTATTATTTTTGCACTAAAATATTTTGAGAATGAATGAAAAAAGAACGTGAAATAAAAATTGCCTACAAAAAAAATTAATGAATATCAGGATATCAGATAATTAGTACGTGAAGCTTGAGTGACCAATTATAATGAGATGAAAAAAATGGATACAGTATAAAAGGCGGACAACACATAACCGGAAATGCTCATTTAAATCTTTTGTATTTCATATTTATAGATCCCTAATCGAGTAGGCAATACATTCTTGGCAAATCCGGAAAAACTGATTCCAAAATAGGAACAGATCATTGTGCTGGCTATGTATACAGTGTGCAACTTGTCAAAGACACGTCTTTACGTGTTTTGCTTAACTTTTTTTTTCTTAAACTTCATATCTAGCCTCTCGCTCTCTCTCTTTCGCTCACTCGCTCAAGTATTTTATTAATTCATTTATTATTAATAATAATAATATTATCATTATTATTTTAATTATTATTATTGTTATCATTATTATTATTTTTTAAATCCTTTGTATACTTAGATTTTCATCTAGACAGTGGTACACTTGGTAGGGTGCTCAGGGCTGCTAGGCACAGATAATTGACTCGCAAATAACTCTTTAAACAACATTAGAGCGTACGACATACAGTACAATGCAACGTACGTATATACATTGATTAATGCTCATACTATTTAAATTTTAATGAAGTCATTTATCAATGTACATACATCCACACACATTATTTATTTACGTTTACACGTTAAGTTAAAAATATTATGCATCGCGCGAAATATATGTAAGTGATAGTGAAGAGTCTCTGAGCGCATGTGTTATGTAATTATATATATATATATAAATTTATTTACTTTAATTGAAAAAACTCAGTAATCGACCAAATTCTATTTTCTTACAAAACATTATATTAGTTATTACGAATTTTATTTGTATTTTCATCTATCATTTTAGTACCTTCTATTTTTTTGTTCTTTTTTTTTTCATTTTAGAGATTGCGAAAATATTTCTTGAAAATAGATAAATTTTTTGCTCACTTCAAAAGCTCATAACTTGTGACGAAATAATCATAAAAGCTTTTGCAGGAGAAAAATTGGATTATTGACATCTTCTCTATCAAACTCACAGAAAAAAAAAGTGGTTGAATACAAAAAAGAGCAGACATAGCTTTTCATTTGTGTGTTCTTTTAAACCTTTTCACGATAGTTCATTCACTTGTTATTAGCGTATAAAGTGAGCTGAGTAATTGTCTCTTCAAAGATGAATAGCTCGTTGGCGAAAAAAAAGAGGTGTATGACAATTATGAAGAACAAAAAAGTCAAATAGTGTATATTCTCTTTAACATAAAATTACTGCAAAAAATGATCATGATGTCGACAACTGAGTCCTAGTTAATTTTGTTTTATTTTAGTGTGATGATTGAGTTTTTATTTATGTATATCATTATATTATTGTACTAAATATACCTCTATACTATAGCATTAAAATACATTTAAATTTAAATTTATACGCAACGTACCGCGACATAACGGGCAATATCTCGGCAGTAAAAGCCGTAAATCACCGGATTATTAATTTACATGAATGTCTTTTTGTTTTTTACTCTTTCATAAAGTTCAGACATTCTATATATTTATCAAATAAATAAATCTTATTAACTTTTGGCCCGTTATGACACAGTCCCAAATTCATGTGTAATATAATCAATCACATAATTAATTAATTAATTAGTATGTATAATAATTAATAATAATGGCATATATATAATATATATATTTATATTTATATTTATATAATATATATAATCAATAAATCTTGTTACATCTAGTTTGTCTTTTGACGCAGCGATGGGAAGACAGAGCAAAGACCATAAGGTCTAGATTATTAAGGAAAGGATACAGGACTTCAGGGACGGGTATAAACAGACTTTGGAGAGAAATGTCAATACTCAAATTTGTTTTTTTTCTCTCCGTAGTTCTAAGGACGAGGTCATCTAACATCACTGATAGTCAGTGAACTAAATCTACAAACATTGATATGACAGAAGATAATCTGGATCTAAAACCTGATATGTGGGAGGGGCAGGTATGTCACCGGTAATACTTAGCTTCGCTAAAGGCTTATTGCGTTTCGTTTTCTCTCGCTAATTTTCTTATTTATTTATAATTTTTTTGTTATTTCATTTAACTACAATTCTCTATATGTAAAGGGTATATTGTTGAAATATTGTCCTTTACAAAAAGTTTTACTAAAAAAGATTAATAAAAAACTGCATAGCTAATTATTTATTACTCTTCGAATAATTATAAAGAACTTTCATCATGCCAAGAAGATCATATAAAAAAAATGATTTAATATATTTAAATAAAAAAGAAACTGGACTGCGAGAGAAATCGTTACGTGTCCGGCAGTATTGCACTTTAGCAAAAGTAATGATAATTATAATAACAAAATGTAAGATAATAATAGTAATGTAATAATGTAATAATTAATGAATAAATTTAACGTTAGCATTAACCAATAATGATGCTGATGAATAATGATGTATAATGATGATAATACATAACAATAATAGTAATAATGAATAATGATAATAGCGATATGTTTTCTATCTTCTATCTGCTAACAATAGACATTAATTCTAATACCATTATTTTTTTTGTTTTCAAGACGCAATGTCCACTCAATTATCCATTTTAATTTATATTATTCCAATTTTTTAAAAAAATTGGAATTATAAATAATATTTAACTACAATATCATTCAATAAAAGTGTACCATGCGTTTTCAGATATATACATACAGATGGGATATGCATTAGTTGATGTTTTTGCTTATTTTTTTTCTTTTTCAAACACAAAATCAAACTTTCGCGCACAATTTTTTTAGAATAATTATCGACACAGTTAAAATTCTTTCTTACAACCTTGATGCAATTTACAGGCGTGTGATGATATATATATATATATATATATATTCGAATTTTATTACAATTGATAATCGCCTGTGATTATTTATTATTTTAATATTTATTATCATTTGTTATATTTTATTTTTTGTTTTGTTTATTTATATCAATGACATTCAATATTATGTCATAATGGATTGTTATTAAATACATTTAAAATTTGATTTTGTACATCGGGTATCCCATTCACCGGAAGATAATTATTTAATACTGCATGTAACTGGCACGAAAATTGAAACGATAAATGGTCAAATTTCACTGAGAGAATTTGATTGTTTTTTTTTTTTATGTATATATTATATTAATCAATTGATCAAATTTACAAACAACAATGGTTTTGTTGATTTGAGTATAAAAAACAAATGAATTCATTAAAAATAAAATTTATTGTTTGTAAAATTGAAATAATAATTAGTCTGAATGATGAATATTCTCTCAGTGTCAAGGCTAAACAATCAACGTTAAAATAAACTAATTGAGTAGTAAAATAATAAAATAAGTATTTGCAAATTAATCCATGTATATTCGCATTCTCTACCGGTGTATGGTATAGTCTTCATAAGTATTATGTAGCGTCATTGAATTCACACGCTCTTAATCGAGCCAAGAATAAAATATAATCTCAACTCTTATTACTTTTTACTTTGTCTTTTTTGTTTTATTAAATAATTATATTGATAGTTAACTGTTATACAACTTGATAAGGAGAGCAAATGCAAATTCAATGCTCCGTCAAGAGACGAACCATTTTATGAAATTTTTAATAAATTTCTGTTGACTGTTAGGAGATGCAACGCACTGTCTGCTGAGTATCTTTACATCAATCTATTTAATGTGATTAAAGTTTTCTCTATTATTTGTGTGTTTTTTTTTGCATTTTTAGACAAGTCATTAGCTCAATACAAGTGAGCGTTCGTTGTAATATACACTAAATTGTTTACAATATTATTTATTTAAATTTGTAATACTTAATGTACAAGTGATGTATCAGAAAATAAGCGACAGTCTGGTGTGCAGATATATTGTTGTTGTTTGTTGTATTTTTTTTACTTATTTATGTATTTATGTTAATAAAAAAATTCGCAAATTATTGTAAAATTTTTTTTCAATTTTTAAAATGATTTTTTTATTGAAAACTCGACGCATTAATAAAAGACGGCGACTATTTAATTTATTCTTTTTTGTTTTTTTTACATATCGCTTTGGAGCGTGACTTTAATCACGAGGGCATCGTTTTAACTGTATAGTTATTATAAAGCGTCACAATAACTTTTTTTTTCAGTGTCAGAGTTTAATATAGATAGAAAAAAAAAATTATTCGATACATTCAATTGAAAATAGTGTAATAACTATGTAGATTTTTTTTTGTTATTATTAAATATAGTCCAGATGATAAATCAATTCGATCAGTTGCTAAAAACTTTCCATTATATTATGATAATTATTTAAAAAATGTTTATAAAATATTTGCAACTGATTAATTGCATGATTAATGATATATTGTCGAGTGAATTGTAAAATTGAATAACATTCCAAAAATTATTACTCTCGCCAAAGTATATTTCTCACAGCCGTATCCAAACGATATTTCTATTCATCAAAATATGAATAAAAATTCGAAAAGAAAAAAGAAAGTAAATAAATCAACAATCATGTACCTAAAAGAAACTTTGAAAAAAAAAAATTGAATAAATAGATAAAACATAATTGTAGAGTGTACGTTACATAATAAATTAATTAAATACTAAATTAATAGATTAATAGAATTATTTCAAATATGATACGATACTCTCTTGATTGAATTCAAAAACTCCTAATTATACGTACATCTACAATTATTAATTATTATTATTAATTACGATATGACATTATTCTCGTCATCTAATTTATTCATTTATTTTTATTTTACTCTTAATTTTTTTTTTGTCAAAAATCCACTGAGTTTCTATTATGAATAATTTTTTTTCTCTTTTCTTTTTTTTTTTTTTAAAATCACTTGCTACACTAACCTCTGATATGACTTGATATTACGAATGTGATGTCGCAATAAATTCAAAAATTTCTCAAAACCTAATTTTTTAAAAAACAAAAAAAAAAAATTCTAATGTACAATTCAATTTAAAAAGTAATGTAATTATTACTTCTTTATAAATAGGAATACATGAAGCACATGTAGACGTCCATAGGACGACGTTAATTTTCTAAATTTATCCATTATTTTACTTTTTATTATTTTAGGCTACTTTTAAGCACTTTTCAAAACAATTCCTTTTTTTTTTTTTATCTCAAATCGTCGTTGAAGCTGCCTATATACAATCAGATCCAGGCCACAATTCATTCTTTTTTGTTTACAAAGTACCGATTAAATCCTTGTTTAACAGAGAAAAATCGATACATCCCTATTTAGTATTTTTTCAAGCAAATTTTGTTTTAAAAAAAATACAATCAAATAGTCATCAATATTCTTTGTATTTTTTTATTTAAACAATTTTGCTTGTCATATAAATTAATTTCTTAATTTAAATTCCACTTTCTCACTATGCTTTATCACTTACAGTCATTCTTCATCTCTTTCACGATCAGTGGACGCAGTGCCGACGACTTTTTCTACATTAAGGGTTTTTCTTACAATGCCCTTTTTCCTATTACTTTATACAATTAATTCTGCATGGCCGTTATTGTTTCTACATTACTTTTTACTTTACTCATAGCAGTTGCAGTGTAATTTAGAAGGATAATTGTAGCGGTAAGTCGATTTGGTTCTCTTGGAAAAATTTCTGAGAGATCTAAAACCTTTTTTATTTTTCTTTTTATAAAAACATTCCTTGACCCGATAAAATATTGCCAAGGAATACTAATATACTGTTGTCAAGGTCATATATTGTGTTATATATAAAATTCAATTCACAGTCCGTGATTCGATAAATCGAATAAGAATTTTAGCATCAAGTGCATGATTAATTTTTTAAAATTAATTTTACTTTTTTTTTTTTACTATTTTACTTAATTTTTGTATAATAATTATTTTTTATTTCAAAGTCGATCAGAAATCTGAACACTACAGCTCATTGATAGAGCAGGGAGTGATAGATAATTTTTATTGTTCTTAAATATTAGCAGTCAAGAAGTTGTTTGAATTGATAAAAGATTCGCAACAAATTTTGCCGCATTATTTATATTAATTTAATTTTTCCGTTAAAATTTGTTCCTACTTTAAAATTTTAAATGACATCAGAATTTATTTATATTCTATAATAATAATCTAAATAAAAAAGAAAGAGAAAAAATATTAAAATCAGCGGCAATTCTCGTTGGAAATCGTGCATAAATTGAGAACTAGAGGTTGCTCCAAAAATACGTCGCTTAAAGTCGCATAATCATCGTCTAAATCCAGTTTCCCCGATTAAATCAATATCCAAAACGATGCTCGACAAAATATGATTTATTAGTTTCTGGTATGTTTTAAAACAGTAATGGATCCTGATTTAAGCGGGTGAAAACTCGGCAGTAGTATTTTAACAGCACATGGTTCGCGATTTCATATTGCTCGCCTGAAGTAAGAGATATCTTTCGAACGTAAGAAAAGTCAAACATTCGTTGTTTCAATATCAATTAATTGCCACTTGATATGTATGAGAAAAAAGCAATAAAACATGTGTGGCAAGCTATCACGACGTTGATTATCGATAAATCGGTTCAATTATGAAGAGGCAAAACAAGGAAATCCGAACCACGGCCTACTAGTTAATCAAAAAACGGGAGAGGGACCTCTAGGCATGTCTACATCTGGAGTTTTTTGGTCCAGCCTTGTTAATCTTTTTTTTCTCCTTCTTCTTCTCATCTATTTTTCTTTGTCAGCAGAAAAGTAGAAATCGTGATACTCTTTTATCCGTAGGGCCAGAATGCGGCAAGCGGCTGTGATGGTAATGGAGGAAGTGTTGGAGGTGGTTGTGGTGCTGTTAATGCCGCAGGGGTTGGAAGGGGAGGCACTGATGGAGCAGGTGGTGGCGGCGGAGGTGGTGGTTGATGTGCCACCCTCTGAACGCCTGAATAGATACTTGGTGTCGTGATAAGAAGATGACAGGAAGGTGGGAGTGGAGGAGGTAAAACCGGCGATAAAGCTATGGCCGCTGGTGTAGGATGAACAGTTGTTCCTACCGTGACGCATAATTCATGTAGGCCATATTGACCCTGGGCCTGACCTTGAGAGAGACGATGACGATGGTAAAGATGATTGTGCTGTCGATTTTGCTGATGTTGCTGCGGCTGCGATTGCTGACATTGCTGATACTCATGCTGGCCCTGGAGCTCGCCGTTCTATTCCGAGTCTTGTTGCATTTTCGCGTGACCGTTACCGGGTGAATTGCTCGACGTATTCACACTCGTACTTCCCGGTGGGAAATTTGTCGGTATTGTACGGGATGATGAGAAGCAGAGTTTCATTATGTAAGGAAACTTGCCGTCTAAAAATAGAGAGAAAAAAAAACAATCCATTTAATTCATTTTATTATCGAACATGTGGTGATTAAATATTTATGTTCTCAGGTGGGAAATGACCATTGAATTCAAAAATAGCATTTTAACCAAGTTTGTTAGTTATTTTTAAGCTGATTTATTTATTCTCAATTCAATAATAGTTTTATCTCAGCTCAAAGTCATCAAATTTTTTAATAGGAAAATTTTTTTAACTTTTCCACGTGCTTCTATAGATATATCTCAACTTTAATTAATATTTCTATTCGTAGAAAAAGTCGACTTTCGTTAATCACTATCATCCTGTAAAACTTTCAAATAATATTCATGCTACTTTTATTTTATTTACATTTATTAAAATTTTCTACAACATTTCAGTCAATATGAAACTTTTGAAATTTTTATGATTTTTTTTCGAATCTAGTTGAACGTGTTCATTTTTGCGGATTTCAATTTTAGATGTACTTACTGCTATTCTCAAGGGCGGTATGGTTGCACTCCATTATCGCAGCGACTGCAACTCCGACGCTGCTGAATTCAATAAGACCCGAGGACGATCGTTCAGACTTCAATGGGAATAATTTCACAGTAACAGGCGCTTCAATTCCACGTTCAACAAACACTCTATTTACTGTTTCCTCAGTAAGATCAGGAGGTGTATTGAAGAAATGAACAATTTTTGATGGAGGCTGTATTCTATTTTTATTGGCCATTGCTGGATTTAGGAACCTATTATTTTTGCTTCCAGTAAAGTCCTTAAAACTCGCCGTTTTATCAGGAAGAACATAAGGATTGGTTACGTCAGCTAGAAAAGCTTGTTTAGAGAAGCCAAGTTGAAGTTTACTGTCTGAGCCAATTGTGACATTATTTAAATTTTGCAAGCATCGCTCAACAGCAATACTATCTCCCATTTGAATCATAGCACAGCCTTCTTTTGTCTTTAAAAATTTTACCTGAAATAAAAGTTTTTTTTTTCAATAACATACTGTACAAATAATCTCGAAATAGAATTTAATGTACATAAATCAAGTATTTACCTTTGTAACATTGCCATAGAGGCAAAAGAGATTGAAGAGCTTGTCTGTATTGACTTTGTCAGCTTGTAAACCGTAGACCATCATAACTGAGCCCTGAGTACTCGTCGGTGGCGTTTGTCCAAGACTGGGAACATATCCAGGCCTTGCAGGAGACGGATGAAGTGGCTCTCGGCCACTGAACTCACTCTTTAATCCATACCTCTCAACATAAGGCTCCGCGTACGTCGTTGGGCCATTGAAACCTTCTTCATAGCGGTCGTGACCGGGTGGAAATGCCACTTGTGGCGTCGAGCCTAAAAAGAGAAAAAAAAGTTTAACATCATTAAGTTTTATAAATGAACTAGGGTACTATATGTGCTATTTTAAACTTTCAAAACGTAGAACAAGGTAGTAATAGAGATAAAAAATACTTTCATGATATTTTTCAGATGTTACTGATATTATCTACTGATAATTACTTTAATCTCCTCTTAATCACTAGTGGTAAGTTACACGAACGATTATGTGAGTACTTGGAAAGATAATTTGAAGTAATTAGAGCTTAATTATCATATAAATGATCATTTTGTATTAGTAGTATTGAGCTGTATTTAATGCTTAAACAAAATAATTAAAAAACGATAATAAAAGCTTAGGATCAGCATATAAATAATTTTAATCGGAAAATCTTAATTACATTGAATTAATTAATTTTTTATCAATATTTTGCATTGTTCATACAATAATTAAATGTAAATTGTTTTCGATAGATTATTTCATCTATCTAGATTTATCTCATGCTATACTGAACAGATTTAAATGAAGCTTGCAGCACAGATGTGCATAATATCATTGATTCACGTCAGCTTTTTGTTACATTCCAATATCTCAAATGATTCCAAAGTTATTGAATAAAACCTAGTCGAGGATAAAACTCGTGCTTACTGTAATCATATGAAAACCCTAAGGTAAAAATAATTTTAGACAAGCTAGAATATGTGAGAAATTCTTGAAAAATTAACAGCATCATATTCTACTTTCGTACGTGAGTTATGTACTCATTTTTCACAAATACAACAGAGCATACAATTCTCCGTAGGCTTTATAAAAAATGAAAGATACATTTTGAGTTCAATATATTTCAACGTAAATGCACAATGCATTTGTATTGAAGAAAAAAAATTACCCTTCTTTTAAATATTCAGAATAATCATAAATAACATTATTTCAAGATGATTGAAAATCAATACTTCATTTCTCCATTTAATATTCAAGTATACGGTATTGTCGATTTTCAAGTAAAAAGAAAAATAGCTAAAATATAAAAATATCCTTGAAAATTTATCGTAATACTAATCTTTAAAAGTATTAACATGAATAAGTGAGTTTCAACTAGTACATTATTACTCTACATATTCTACAGTCTTAGCGTAACTCACCATATGGCTGTGGTGCTGCTCCATATCTTGGTTCAGCAAGAAGTGGAGCTGGTCTTCCGTTAGCATTTGATTCATTTTTGTGAGCTCCTGAACCTTGAACAGACGTAATATAATATAATTTAGTCAGAAGTAAGCCTGGTTATCTTGAACAAGCATGCACGATTTATTTTTCTCTGGCTCTTTCTCTTATTCTCCATATAGTAGTCTTGCCATCATCAACAGTAACCACCACCGACACTGTCTGTGTGACCGCGCCTTTAGATATCGATCCGACTCTCATCGCGTTCGTTCAATTTGAACATTTGTTTTTTTTCCGTTTAAATCCTTCCGCTTTATATACTTTTAATCATTATTTATTTCACTTCCTTAGCTTAATCCTTAATCTAGATTGTTTTGTTGGCAAGCAAGCGCATGTACTAACTTACCGTATCAGAAGGCCCAATAATTAAAACTTCCATGTTCGCCAGTGGGACAGAGATCAGGATAAGATGAAGTAGACCTACCTAAAGCTTTCACTCACCGACCCTGACTTGTCCGTGTCAATCCATCATGATCATCATCATCATCATCATCATCGCCTCAAGTCAACAAAGTGATGGCCGCATCTGCACACAGACAAACATTCCAACATAACATCTTTCTCCTGCAATCTTCCGCACTTCCGAATAATCCTGTATTCCGTGAATGTTTTCCAATGTTTGTCGATTATTTCCGGTGTCTCAAAGATCATGGAAAAATTTTGTTTAGCTTCTATTGCCCATATTTGCGTGTTCTTTTACAATTTTTCTATTTTTTATTTTTTATCAATAGTGTGAATGAACAGGGAAATAAATGGCAAGCGAATTTTCCCGACAAAAAAATTTTTTCAAACAAACTTTTTTTTATGCATATATTACTTTTTGCTCTCTCTCGAATCTCTCGGTAAATTCATGGCGGGGCGATAGGTTGATCAGTCGAATGTTTGTCTGTGAGTGCATTGGTAGCCTTTGCAAAGAATGGCACATAACATTTTGTTGTGATTATAATTATTTTATTAATTATTCAATTAATTACTAAACACCATCATTAATATTCTGCGTGTACATAACGCATTTATGTACCTAATTAAAGCACATATATGCCAAAAACGTGTAAATGTTTTTTATTATTTTTATTCTAAAATTGTAAATCGTTATTGTTGTTGTAGTTGTAGTTGTTTTTTTACTATTAATTAGTTGTAATTAGTTGATTTACATGAGAGTTATTTCGTTTCTTGTTGTTTGACAGTCGATGCTGGTGAATGGCGGGTCCGGTGGATCTACACTTGACGTTAAATGTGTTACATATGTGAGAATCTTGTGAAATATGTGATAATTACGCAACTAATTAGTCTTTTATTTATTTTGTTTTTTTTTTTATTTCAATTTATCATTCTGGCTTTCGTCTCTTTATCTTTTCATTCATTTTCACTCGTCCGTAGTTTTTTTTTGTCATATCCATCCCTTCTGGCACTCGCTTTTTGTATAAATAACTTTCTTTTGCTTCCTTTACGCCTCGGTCGACTCTTCAAGCGGTAATTGACGGCACGATTCTTGAAAGCATCTTTCACTAAACTACAAGTTTGAAAAAAAAAAAAACGAAATAAATTTTTCCTTAATGAAAGAAAACAAAAACGAAAAAAATCTGAAGAGTCTACCGCGTAATCTGTTAACATCTTCCGATTCTTAGCAGCTAGTATGTGTCTCTTGTGTGTGCTAATAAAATAGATCGTCAGTTAATCTTTTTTATTTCTCCATTAATGTTGAGAGTTAAGTGCTTGCTTTAATATTATATAATACTTTGTGTATCCTCTTTTTCATCGAATAGCGCGGGTGAACGTTGTTTATATAAATTTGTCATTTCGTAATGTTGTTTGATGATGTTTCGAGTTAGAAGCCAGTGGTTTTCGTGGTGTTCAAGTTAATATGTACATAGGAAATATCCATCAAGTGTTGTGACAAGTAGCTCACTAAATTATTCAACAAAGAAAATATATATATATATATATATATATATATATTCCATTATCGTACGCGATAACAATGTGTGTATACTCTTGTCTTTTGTGTAAATCTGGAAGCTTAATGCGACAACGTAATGATTCACTAAATTTTTATTTATATATATAAATCAATAAAATATATAGAAAAATATAAAGACACAGTTATTATAAATATTTCACTCATATATGCCCAGAGTTAAGTTTGCGAAAAGAATTTATTAATTTATTTTTTAAATATTTGGTTTATTATTCATTTATTATCAGAGTTAATAATTAATTTAAATATTAGCTTTATGAAAGAAAAAAAAAATTATTGAGCTAAATTTGTAGAATGAGTTAAACTTTTTATTAAATAATAATAATTCTTCTTCCTAACGTAACGAGACTCTAAATTTTATGGTAATTATGAACGATTGATATTAAAAAAGATAATTAAGTTCAGTTATTAGTGTCCATAAAAATTCTATTAAATTTAATTTCTCATATAGAAACTTTTCTATTTTATATTTTTAAATTAGTGCTAAATATTATCTTCTGCATTATGATTATTTAATAGCCTATAAAAACAAACTATCTGATGGAATTTTAATCTAAATTTGTTACCTAAAAATAATTTTTTTTATGAAAACCTTCATATTTCAATGAAAATGATTAAAAAAAAAAAAAAATGATTTTATGAACTGTCAAAAAGAACTCTACCATTTCAATCATTTAATCTCGCATTTCTTCTGAAATACTACTCTCTAGATAAAAAACGTAATAGTTTGTAAATTTTTTTATCTTTGACATATACGATTATTTTTTAGCTCAACAATTTTTTTCTTTGAAAACTGTTCTCTCCAACGAGCTAAGCTTCGGTATTAAAGAGAGCAAAAAAACGATATACATTATCTTTTATCAATGGCTTAATGTCATAAAAAAAAAGATTTGGGCGTATATAAGTTAATAAAACTCTACAAAATGCTTCCATGCGACAATAAAATAGTGTAACAACAACCAAGGCATGTGTAGAATGATAAGAGTAATGGTTTTGTCTATGTATAAAGTATAGATATCTAGTCATGGATTCACGTAAGCTTGTCTCCCATCAAAGGACAATGTCGGGGGAGTTGATGCAGCAGAAAATACCGATGAGAGAAAGAGCAAGAGACGTTGGACTGGATACATAGAGCTAGTGTGAGAGTTTGAAATTGGGATAAAATCAGAGGCGTGGTCAAAATGTCGTAGGTGGATGTCTAAAAAAAATAATTGGCATTACGTTTATTCGCGCGGTTGGTCTAGGGCGGCGTGTCTGCATGTGAGACAACCGTGACGTTCTGCCAATTCGGAACTAGAAGTGTTTTGCTACAAGGCAATAGGACAGTTCCGCCCCAAAATGTTCCAATTCAATGGATGTCAAGTAAGCAGGCAGGCAATACAGGTTCACTGATAGACAGAAGGCGGCTAATGGCGATAAAAGTGTTGGTGCACGTCAGGGGAAATAGAGGTAGAAAGTAGTGCGGGTTGGAAATAGATGATGAGGACGATAGAGCAGGGAGGTGCGAGGAAAACTACGACGAGAATAGCAGCATCAGTTGCAGCATTGGCGAAATATTGATGGTAAAGAGTAAGTAAAAAAAAAAGTAAAATACAAGGGAAAATGTCAGTTGGTCTTCACTGCAGCTTGAGAGAGAGAGCACTAAAGCTTACCAAGGGTTGGTGTCGTATAATCCCAGCTCTCAGTATCGTTCTTGTATACGTTCAACTTCGTAGGCTGCAACATTTAAAAGTAATGAGTTAGAATCACAAATAAATCAACATTGAGTAAAATACATTGTATCACTTATCATTTGTTCACTATACATTCAGTGCCAGAGATAGAATTGATTCTACTTATAACACAGTCACTTCTACTTTGAATGCACTCAGTTGACTATTTTTAATGATACCTTTTTACAGAGATGGTTACCGTATTGTTTAATAAAAAAATTAAGTACTTAAGTTTCTGAATAGAATTAATTATTGTAATACTATAAGATAATACAACTGACTGAGTTATTATAGTTAATTTCAATGTACAAAAGGTAATCATGTATTGTTACTGTGACTATAACTGATATTATCTCTAACATAGTTGACATCATTGTCAAGTTAACCAAGTGTATAGTGCAAAATAAACAAGTTTTTCGATAAAAATTTCATTTTTAATCTCAAGTTTGAAAACTTGTAGACTATTTGTTCAATCGATAATGTGAAAATTTTTTATTTTAAAAAATAGCACTCTTTAACTTTGGTACATCGTATAAATCATGAGGCTTAAAGTAATATATTCCTGACCTAACTTCATAAAACTTTGAATACTCAGAAAAAAAATGAGTGGATCTATTTAGATTTAAAGAGATTTTTGGACATATCTGTATGAATTATTTAAGATCATTGAGCCTTAAATATTTTCACATTTTTCAGGATTGAAATAGACTTAAAATAATGAAGCCTTGACTAATAACATTTCTCCTCGACGCGGCTTTTGAATATTAATTTAAAATCGATCTATAAAATTGATGCCACTTTTTTTATTGAATAATAAATTTAAAGATGCCGAAGAAGATTTATGATGATGAGAAAATACTATGATGGATTTTTTATTTTAAAAATTGAGAGCTAATTAGATTTACTCGTTTTTCCGGCATTGCTATAATAAAGTCATGAATCATTTGAAAATTAAATCACCGTTTAAAATCGTTAGAAGTAGCGTAATCTCTTAAATAAAATTTGGAAATTAAACTTGGAACATGAATAAATTCTTTAACTCAGTATAATGAGGAGAAAACTAGCTGAATATCGTTGAATAAAAAAACCTATGAATGCAGCATTTCAAGTCCATACTTTGAACGATTCAGAATATGCATATATATCTTTGAAACTTTTTGCGATAATTTGCTCACTCGTTATATATGCGAGCATTCATTAAGTGAGCATAAAATTTGAGCTTTCATGGCTAATAAATTAGAAAATTGTCTGTCATGCATTAAAAAATATTTTTAAATGCCCTATACATTTATTTAAAAAATAAACTATTATCTCTCGTCGTCATCGATCCTCATTTAGCTAATTTAAATTGCTTTCTAACAAACACTCTCTGATAAAAAAATGTGACATCATTAATTTTCCAAAATTAACGACTGTTTGAAGTTTAAATGACATGTTATTTTCTAAACATCTTTACTTCGCTAAACACTAACAACGTAAGTTCATCAATAATATCTATAAATATTCTTTATCCATGTTAAATATTTGACGTAAATATTAATGAAAAATAATTTATTCGACAGCCAAGAGCAAATGGTTTTATTAGCTTGTATTGTAAATATGATTTTGACAAATATTGTAAATATTATAGACTATTACTGTCGAGTAATGTGTAAGAAATTACAAATAGAGACGCAAAAGAGAGCTATGACAAATTGTCAAAACGCGTGTCGTGTGGGTGTGAGATTCATACAAGCTCCAAGTTCGAGATACGTAGGTAAAGTGAGGATAGAAAAAGAGAAAGAAGAAGTTAGTGGAATATTTGAAACTGTACAGAGATGCTGGAGCATCCCTGTCACATCAACGTCATGTCTCGGAAATACTTGGTCTATATCTGTCTCGCGTACACCAACTGCTGGATGTTAAATCACAGACACCATCAAAAATACCATTTATAAGTTTGATCTATCATTAAGTTGATTATCATTATAAGTTTCGAGTGTCTGGTTGATGATTATAGGCTATACATCTTGGCCATCAACCGTTTACGGCTGTTATTGTTGAAAGAATGCGCCTCGACATTTAGTTGGGAGGCAACCCCTGCTCGCCGAATCATCCAAGTATTTTTGGCAGGCACTCACGTGCCTCCTAGACCGCCAAACCGCTAAATCGCCTAGCATATAACCCAGCGTGAGGCATTAAACGAGAGTATTAATTCAAGCGGCTGGCAGACGTTGAAAGACGAGCCAACGAATTTGCAAACTTCTTCTCCTTCTCTTATATATATTTTACTAGATCTTCTTTCTCATTTTCATCTACTCTTGTTGCTCTTGACTGTCGATCGATAATTTGCGACCTGCGTACCCGTTCGTTGAAAAACTTTTTTCAACTTTAAATAAACCTCTAACTCTTAACTCCTTTTGCTCACCTTTGCAAAGTCAATCTTCAATGTGCAACAGCCCGAGTAAATGTCCGCACCATGGAGGGTCTCTTTCGCTCGTGTCGCTGACTCGACTGAGTCAAACGTAACATCAGAATCATATCGTCAAGGATTTATACACCTTCAACTCTATTTTTTAATACTTTTGGAAAGTATTCTTTCATAGAATTCTATTTCATACATTTTTAAAAATATGTTTTTTAAAACTTAAAATAAGAACTTTTTTAGATAAAAAAAAAAAAAAAGATTTCAATTATAACTGATAAAATTTGTCTCAACAAAACGATGAGTAATTAAAGAGAAAGATTATTCTTCATTCGATTCAATGAATATTGAATTGAAATTGAAATAAACTTTTAAAACTTTCTACATATTCTCATTGATATATTTATGGTTGAAATGTTCCAACATATTAAATGAATTTCTTCCAAATACTTTTATCGATTAAAACTTTTGAACAGTTTTTCTCGATAAAAAACTTTTAATATCTGTACGATTGTTGTGTTTAAAAGTAATAACGATAAAGATATTTTTGATAGTTTCACTTACTTTAACAGTTTATATTTTATAAAATTTTATTTACTTTCTCGCGGTGTTTTTCCATCAATAAATGAAAGATAAAGAAGAATGTAATTCAAATTCATGTTACATTTTTTAACAGCAAAAAATTTAGTCCTATTGTGTATTCCATTCCACGCAATAACCACATTCAAACTGAATGAGAATCTCGCCCTATTCAAAGTTGCGAGTGATGCAATTATTCACGCCACGAGAATGCGCTTCTTCTCCTACGTCGTGTATGAGTCAATTGTACATCCATATATCATATTGAAAAAAGCAAATAAAAATAAGGGTGTTAAATATTTGTGCTGTATGAACACGCGAGACTCATCGAATAAAAAAATATTATTGAAAATGAAACTGATAAAATCAATGAAAGTATACAGCAATAAAAATTAATCTAAATAAATTTAATAATTGTTTAATGCCTGAAGATATGTAGAAAGTTAAAATAATAATTATAAATATTTTTTTTCCCCATTGAATTTGCTGATAAAAATTTTATCTTTTTTCTCATTAAGAATATAAAATGTGATAAATCTTTTATAAATATTTGCAAAATAGCTCTTTCAAGTAAATAAAGATAATCTGTTGAATTAGAGAAAAGATAAGAATAAAAGTTTAGGTTGAAAAGGATATTCGACCATAGCTTGTACGCCATTTTTCTTGAAGATAACAATACGTTGTACCTGGCCACTGGGTGCACTAATCGTGTGTAATACTTCCTGCAACAGATGGTAGAAATGAACATTAACCAGAGCGATATTAGCAGTATTTACTTGTATCGCGAGATAGTAAATGCTATTTCAAGAGGAAGACATTCTCCATCTGCTATCTCTTTTTCATTCTGACAGTCGCTTGACCTCGCTCAACTGAATCCAGACAACGCTGTCGTCTTAGACGAGAAATGAGCTGTCGTTATGCCTCAAAGTCATTCAGGAATTTGCAATGGTATTTAAAATTGATCCACGTGGACTATAACATCTTATGTTTGCTTAATATACATTAGAATCTAGCTAGTCGACACTTGTCACAACATAATCCGGAAAATCTTAAGACATTTAGTGTTGTAAGTGAATTGAGGTACAGACTGAGAAAGTATGTAGACAATAAATAGTCATCACAGTCGTCATTACTCTTGAAGTAACAACTTTACTTGTAAAACATCATTTTTGGCTACTTACAACGGTGATTGGATAGACTGGATTGATTATTGTAAATAGTAAAACGTGGTTTGGTTTGTTATTGTCCTCCCTGAAAACACGAAATAAATATTTATGAAATACACACTATAAATATAAATAAGATATGTTGAAATGCCATGATAAATATCAATACCTTTTGCGACGGGGCTCGTCGCCATATCCACTGTACTCGTGATTCTGAAATTTTAAGAATCAGATTTAATTCATGGACAACTTGCTGATAACGTGATTCATAATAATGACGGTCGCATGGACGAACAAATATATAAATATCTATGGAAATTTTTCCATTTTGATGCGGAAAAAGGGAATGAATATATGTAACTCCGAAATTTCCATATTGTTTTTTCACATCACTTTCGTTTGAATTAAAATCATTCAATGTCTCTAGAAATCTGTAATCATCACTATTAATTATTTTTTATTTCATCAATTCATCAGATGTGATTTCAATTGATTCATTGACATAAATGATATATATTTTTTTCTTTGCACTGAGAGAATTCAAACTCATATTCTATCTTCAATTCCCACAAGAGGAATGAAAGACAAGTTACTCTATAAAGTTTCAATCTAACTGTATAAATAATAAATAAGATAATCATTCATGAATAAATTTATTTATTTATAAAGAAGCTTTGATAAAAATTTCAATTTATAATTTATCCTTCATTTCCCTTTAATATCATTTTGGAGTTAAATTAATATCGATTACCTATATGAACTTTCGGAGCAATTTTAAGGAAAAGTAGTTATTAAAATGAAAATAAAATTTTTAATAAATGTGGTAGAGTATACAGGATGATAATAATTGATCTCATTCATTTGTTTAAAATGTAATCATTTAGATAGAATTCAATAACGAAATTTTTTGAATAGCACAAGACTGGCACTTAGCTTCTCAAACGCTTCAATATAAAACTTGATCCTTTTAGATTTAGTCTCTTCTTCCGCATCTTCTATTCAGACTATAATTTATAGAATAATTTGTCTAAATTCCTAACTTTTTCTCTGATAATTATACATTTAAATCAAATCCCCGGGCCAACCTATTCCGTCGTGTCGTCTTTGTCGTCGTTCGTGGTTCGTTTTATCCCCGCGTTACCGCAAATTCCCGATCCAAATTTACAAATCCGGCCAACGTCTACTCCGTTTACCCTCAATAAAATCGTACGTGGACCTCATCCAACCGGTCGGAGATGAGATTCCTCAACAAACGATCATAAATTTGACAATGGATGGGTGCAAGTTTCACAGCATAGTCTGTTAACATGTTGGATTGCATCACAGAGGTGGATGATCAGCAACAGGGTTTTCGGAGGTCATGTTGAACACAAGATGGGGATATAAAGAAGGAGTTGCAACAGGAGAAAATGGAGAAAGGGTATAGGAAGGAGTATACGAGAGCTATTGCCATTGGCGAATTGCCAAGCACGCGCCAATAAAGAGATTAGCAACGAAAACAATGTTTACGTTTTATTGCGACGTACCAAAAGCTTCTTGATTCACTAGCACGTTGTTCGCGGTCTTAAAATGCGTTGAAAGCACTTGACTATCGTTCTATACAACATTCTAAGACGCTTTCTAATCCTCGTTGACGTGACCCACGACTGGCAGTCATACGACTATCAAGTTGTTGCGCATAAAAAATAAATGTCGTGAACTAAACTAACTACATTTATAAAACCTCCTTGTCTTCTATGTGTCGTCTATGCATTTCTATTATTAACTCGCTGATATGTCGAGACTATACAGAACGACATTCAGAAGACAACAGTGAGTACAATGACACGCAGATGTAATCAGATCAGGCTTCGTTATCAAACTTGTATATTGTACTGTTAAGATAATAGAGATTGTAAGAACAAAGTTCAAACTTTGATGAAACTATTGAGTTTCACGACTGTCAGTTTTCATTATCCGTTATTACATTGTCTCGAAAATAAATTTCAACCAAATTATTTCAATGTCTACCCTTTTTTTTATTATATTTCAAATAGACTTTTCCTCATACTCTCCTATAAAAAATCCATTTATTTTTTTGCATCTATCAACGTCAAGAATTCATATTGAATTTCTTTACAAAACTGAAACATTTTTTTGTTTTCCTTTCATTTATTCGGTGAACCAATGATTTAGTAATTATCTAATTCATCAATATAACAGCTCTAAAATTAAACATAAGCACATGTGTGCGTCAATTAATAACAAGTTCCATTTAATTTTAATGAGCTTTTGGTATAATGAATGATGTGAATTGACGAGAATATAGGTAGTTAATGTTTTCAATCGATAACTATACCTAACAATTACATGTGCTTAATGATTACAACAGAATTTTATATTAAAAATAATTTATTTACGGTAAAAAAAACAAATCATGTATTCATCCAATATAAATACGAACTTGGAAATGTTTTGCAATATTTAATGTGTTTATTATGCTCCTTGATTGTTTTTTTTGGCTACTTTTACTACTCAATTAACATCTATTTAAAAACAAAATCATGCATTTATTTGTATTCCCAATAAATTTTATATCGTTGTTTTCTTTTTTTTAATCAATCTTATCTTCATCATAAAATATGTTTGATTTTATCAATAAAGATATCAATATGCCTGAGCGTTTCTAATCGTTTTTATTCGCTAACAAGTTAAATTTCAATTCAAATACAAACTAAAGTCAAAAATGATTTGATTAGAATTGATTGCTATTTTAAAAGTAAGTTGAAATTGAACTAAATATAAACTTACTGAGGGAAATGAAGCATTTGACCTAAAAAAAAAAAATCAAAGTAAATATTCTAACCGAATGAAATCATTTTCATACATTCGTCAGAGCGATTAATCGAACGAATAAAAGCATTAATTATCGATTCTATTGACGCACAAGCGCGTGCGCCATTTGTAGCATATGCGCATATGCCTTTACATTGGACAGGTAATGAATATTTTGGTCGTCATGACACATCAAAGAAATGAACAATTGCCGGAGACAATTTTAAGCTCTCGTCGAGAATCATTCAGGATATAACACGACATGACACGAGATTTTTAGATAATCCAATGATTTATGTTTCATTTACATCATAATAATTGTCATGTTCACTATCAGCTAATCAACTACTCCCTTGTAATTACATACAATTGTTATCATATATAGATTACAAGTTATAACAAATTGTCGTCTGAATAAAACTATTAATAAAAAAATTATAATAGAAGTAGACAAAAAAAAACGACAGCTGAGTTTAATGATGGTGAAATAGTTTTAGACATCTGCTGATGACTGACACTTGTGATGTCAAGTGTAACAAATTAACAGGAGAAATAGCAGATAGCAGAGAAAACACGCGATTATTGTTTGATTATAGGTATATAAAAGGGTCGATACACGATGCATTTCACGGTCGATTCATACAATCAGAGCAATTTTTTCTGTGTTTATCTACTTGATTTGTTTATACGGAAATATAAATGGACAAAATGACCATTGATTATGTATTTAAACTTAACTAGCGATTGATTGTTTATTTGTTGGAATGATAATTATTGTATCGATGTCAATGTTTAATTAATGAATGAATGTTATTAGTAAAAAATGATTGGGTTGATGAAAATGGTATTCGAACAGAAGAAAACGTCTAGAGGAAGTTATCGTCGAGCGACCGGCTTCGCGAAATAATCAATATACCTCCATGACAAGAGAGCGGCGGGGCCGCCGCCACGCAGGGATAACAGGTTGTCGACTCGATGACGAAGAAGAGGATGCAGCTACGACGATGCTGACGGCGACGTCGAGGACGACGATCACAAGACGACCAAGACGACGTTGGACTTGCGTTTTCAATGGTTAAACAAAACACTATGAGCTTTTATTTATTATTCATTATTTTTCCTTAATTAATCGTTCAATTTTTACTTTTTTACATTGTTATGTTTTTTTTGTTGTTTTTTTTTTTCTTTTGGTTTAACACGTTTGACTTGCGCGATCGATACTCTTGACGATGAGGACTTTTGTTTTATTTACTTAATAATCTTTTCTTCCGACTTTTGTATTATATGCATTGAAGGGTCCAGAGAAATGGCGACGATAAAGCGCGCGATATGACCACCGAGAACGTTGTGATTGTTATGAGATTGCGTCTAAGTTTGTGAGTAAGTTTATGTTCAGAAGCAAAAATTAAGTGGACAAGAGAGAAAGTGAGAAAGAAAGAGATAAAGAGAAAGATAGAGAGTGTGTAAAGGAGTGAGAGAAAAAGAGAATGATGAGGGCAGATTTAATGAAGATAAATTAGCAGGAAATTAAATAACAGTAGATTAAAAAAGATTGATTTTTGAATATTTAAATGAAATAATGATGAAAAAAAGAACTTTGAAAGTATATATCTTAATAATTTTTTTTTTTTTTGGTAAAAAATGAACTGTATGAGATGGTAAATGCTCGACGAGTGTTTGAATCGAATAAAAAAAAAAGGTACGGCGGTTTTTACGGTGTCTGGAAGCTCCTCACCCTGTGACCGGACTCCTCGAGCCGCTGCCTCTTCGAATGAGGTCCGTCCCCATTGAACGCCATCCTGTCTCTCGGAAACCGAGGAAGATAAAACACACTTCGCACCTCTCGCTACCGTACTTCTGACAGGTCTTGCGGCCACCGACTTTATTTGGGGAAAAGTAGAACGATTATGTACCAAGGGAGAAACAGGAGAAGGAGTAGGAGGAGGAGAGGGACAAAGAATCGGACAACGAACGCGACGTGCCACGAACGTACCGAATCGCGGACGATGTTCGTCCGACGAACACGCGAACGGTTTGAGGGAGACTGGAATCAGGAACGCACTGAGATACGATCAACTGTAATATCGATATCAAACGACGACTAATGGAAACCGGGAAAAACGCCCCGACGAATCGGAGCGGACTGCCACGAACTGGACTGAATCCATAAGAATGTGAAACTCACTAACGACATCTGGAATGCAAATTTCAGCCGCCATTTTTTAAATTCACACGCTTGCGCAAGTGGCTTTCATTTAAATGCGAACATTTCTTCTACCTGTTTTCTTCTTTTTTGTTCCTTTTTATTTATTATATGTTTCTTTTTATTTTATTCACTATTATACTTATTATCGTTTTTTTCCTTTTATAACAAAGTTCTCTGTAGTGGTCTAATTACTCGAAAATGTACTTTAAACCTTAATATTTATTTTTAATTAATCTACTTATGTATTTGAATAGAAAAAATGTCAATGTTTTTTTTTTTTTGAAGCATAGTAATAATTAAGGATGGCAATTGAAATGAATATAAAATAAATAATCCTTATTTCTTTTTAATATCTTGAACTGTTTTATTTGAAAATCTCTTATAAGCATGAGCTTTTTGAAATTAAAATAGTAATAATGTTTAATATTCTTTTTATCATTATTTATATTCATTATATGGTTAGCTTAATATTGAATTTACATAAAAGAGCTCTTATTGCATTAACGAACAAAAGAAAATAAATTTAATACTCAATAATGTTTGAAACGCTGTTTATTTTTACATTTTACTTATATTTGATTTTTACAATTGTTATAGAACTAAAGATCAATTCGGTATGTTACCAAGATACACTCCATACAAGATTTCCTTTATTCTCATACATTCATTCAAAGTATAACCACATCAGTTCAGAGTTACTTTAATTAACCATTAATATATCTATTTGCTTTCAATTTGTTCAGTCATGTATTCATTTTCAATTTTATATTTTCATTATGTTTCATATATTATTATACTTCTTTTGCTTTTCTTTTATTTTAGTTGTTTACAATGACTCTTTTATTTGTAGAGCCGGGAGATAATTCGAAATGAAGAGTTCAAAAGGTAAATCTAGGTAATTGCCACTACATTACTTATTCATTTATTTGTTTATGTTATTCTCTTCTTTACATACAATGCAGTCAATGACATACTACTGATAATGAAAATGGTATATGAATACTAAATAATTTGATATTTTTGTTTTTTAGCAAAAGGAATAAAGTAACGTCAAAACTACAGTGAACGTGATGCAGATACTACGGCATGTACCATGTGCAAATTTATTGCATTTAATATATGATACTTCATTTATGAAAATTTTTATTCAAGAGTCAATTTGTTTGTTGATTTAATGAATTGATGTTATTTGAAAATGTAATGGCACATTAAAACGCCATTTCAAAATCATTCAATTAGTTTTTATTGCAATAAACATAGAAAAATGTTTTTTTTTTTTTGATTAAAAAAAATTTTTTATCAAAGTTTCAATCACTGGAAGACTGTACGACATTGCAAGTTAGATGAATTGTGTGACATGAATGTCAACGTATGTATCGACAATTAGGTATTGTCAACCTTTAACAATGTATTATTTTGATGCATCTAAAGTAGCAAATTCAGCGTTAATATCAATAGGACCATTACCTTTGATTTACGCTTTTTTTTAAAAATACTTTAATACTGAGAGAAGAATCCATTTACAATATAGCCTAGAGTTACTCCAATTTTTATAAATATGTATTTATGTTACAGCTGATATCTTCTGGTCGACAACATGCATCTATGCAATATTAATAAATGTAAATTTATTGCTTAAAAACAACTTAAATAAATCCCTTGTTATTTTATGGTTTATCGATTAATACTCTATTTGCGAAATGCCTGATTAAAATTCAATTAAATTCAGAGAGAATTTATTTGCAACATACAGGCCTCTTTCTCTCGTAGCTGACACATTTTTAAGATGCTAAGGTGATAACGATTTATTAATTATTAACAATAAATTCTTCCCCCAGTGATACTTATTCATTGATTCAATTAAAATTCATTAGCTGCGTCTTATTTTTATAAGCAATATTTTTAAGTACCAAACACTTAAATTATTTCCTCCTTTATACAATTTTTTAATATACATACACACATATCTTCTCGGCAGTGGTAACATCAAACGCGATCGTCTAACATTTCTATTAATCTCACAGTAACGTTCTTAATTAATGAAAATGATAATAGGCTTCCTGAGTGTAAAAACTCAAATTATAATTGAAGTGAGTGAAAGATGTGAGAGTACAATAACAATGCCTATATGATTTGGGTTTTTTATGGATCTGCTTGATTATAATATCGCTGGTATAGTTTGGAACCCATCAAGATTCGAGTCCTATGTCAACGTTGGAATTTTTATCCTCCATAATATCCAACAAAAAATTTATCAACGTGGTTTAGTCTAAAAAACAATATTTTTTTTCAATTTAGTCTTTTGAAATTGATATATTTTCATAAACACTTACCTCCTCCACTATATGATGACTTGGAACAAGTCCAGGAGTAGTCTGTGCTGATGGCTGGAGTACTGAAGTAGCAACAGAAGCTGCCGTTTGACATGTTCCTGAAGGTTTATTGATCTTTAACGTATCTTGCATGGCATTTGGATGGTCAGCTCTCCTCATATAAGCAGCTGCTTCTTTTTTTGGCGGTACAACCGGTTTATTTGGTGGTACCGGAGGAGGAACACCTCGAGGAATAAGGGGCTTCTTTGTTCCAGTTAGTTGTCCAGCCGTAGGAGTGTAGAATGTTGATTTAGTTCCACCAGTAACTAACCCTCCAGCTACGGGAGATGATGCGGATGATGGTGTTCCAGATGCTGGTGATGCAAGGCCTCCTACTGGAGTTAGCGATCGCTTTTCCGTTGTCTGAAGAACCAAGACATCATAGCCACACGTGTGTCATCATTAGTTTTAATCATAAATTTAATAAAAAAAGTTGTCCATTGATCCGATAGTCTTTTTCGTTTTTTACCAGTCAAGCCCAAGAGATGTGTAACCATTGACCAAACCAAACAGAAGCCAGGATCAATTGGTTGATGGAAACAGCAGTAATACGTGATGCAAATAAAGTCAGCATATGGCTTTGTGCCGGTTTTGTTCATTAAAAAGTAAGTTTTCTTTTGTTTATTTTTTAGTATTTAAAAGTCATAAATTGATGGCTTTGAATAATAAAGAAAACAAAAATGTTCTGCATGTAAATTTTTGTAAATAAAATTATTTGATATTGGATATATTTGAGGAGTGTGTAAAATAAACAAAAGCGCTTTTTTCACTTGCAACTATCATAGCGCGAGTCAATAAAAGATTTATTGGAAGGGCAAGCAGGAAAATTGTGTAAATAAAGCACGGAAGTGAGTTGCATATACGATTTGTTTTTTAATCGAGGAATTAATATACATACTAAATAATAGATTTATATACACAAAATAGAACGATATAAGGTATAAGTATTAATTGTCCGTTAATTAATTGATAAAAAATTATAGTATATTGCGACTGTATTTTTTGCTTAGTCAATGACAAAAATGTGATGATAGCATCTTTGGAATATGCAAATTATATTTATAATAAAATATTAAAAGTAAATAGATATTGTTTTCAAAAATCACATACTGTATGCATATGTTTTTCAATAATTACGCACTGATCAATTTACAATTAGCTTAAAGAAAATAAAAAAATAAGATTCTTATAGAAATTATTATATCAATTACAATTTTATTCTCGTCTTAAATCCAACTTTTACTAGGATGATTTTCTATTAAATTTTTTAGTATTTTAATTTTGTTAGTATATATATTTATTTTTATTAAAGCAGACGGGAATGAAATTGTGAAACTGTATTAAAATATTAACCGGAAGATTTATTATTAAAATAATAAAATAATAATGATGAGGAAAGAACAATGGCATTATGAGAAATAATAAGAAATTTAAGAGGATAAACATAATTAATAATAATATACATGATTAAGTAACATAAGTACTTGGTGAATGTAGAGAATAATAATAATTAATAATAACAATGCTAATAAAGCCAAGAGTCAACAGTAACGGACATAAGACTAGAGACATCTAAAAATATGAACGCATTTAAATAAAATACGCTCTAAAGTAAAAGTAATATTTACTATCTGCTATTTTGAATATTCATTATTGATATAAATAATTAACTTTTATACGAAGAAATGTCATTTTTATATTCATGAAAATCAACATAATCGTAAATTTATGATCAAGAATTAAATAAAAATTATAATGTTTTCAATAAAAACATTTGTCAAAATTTAGTACCAATTTTAAATAAAAAATAGTTACGTTGAATTATTGAAGAGGTGCTTCCTCAGAATAGTGAAGAAATTTATCGTATATTGATTCAAGGCCTACTTGTCTCGTAATTATTTAAAAATATATAAATTATAAAAATTATAACCAGTCATTTGTTTTTACCTTAAAAAGGGTAAATAATTCATTATACATAAATTTAAAATAATAACGCAGGATGGAAGACTAATTCTTCCGTGCAAATATATTCGCAATACAAATATTAAACATAACTAAACATGCACTCTGGAGACAATATTGATTTATTTGTGTTGTATGTATTTTTAACTAAAAACAAACTATTTGTAGGCCTTGTGGACTAATTATTAAATTAACGTAGACCGAGAAGAAAATTGTTGATGAATTACCTGAGGCTCCAAGGCCGTTGATTCAGTACCACTAATTGTTGGTGGTGTTACATTAGCGTTGATATTAGGGGCAGTTGCTGATGCAGTGGTGTACGCAGGACCTATTGTCGTTGCGTTTGTATTAGCATGTGTTGGTGTAGCAAAGCTTGATGATGAAGTGATTGGAGTTGCTGGAGTTGCAGAACCGTATGTTACGCCTCGCATCACCTGTCGAGGTGTCACTGATCTCGCAATTCCCGTTGCTATAAAGTTTTTGATGTTTAATTTTTTTTTTAAGGTAATCGCTGAAAAAAAATAATTATACTCACTGGGACCACTGACAGGTACACTAGAAACCGTTGCTGTGGGTTGAACTACTTTACTACTGACCATTGGAGTACCCGTTCCAAGAACTGCCGACCCTTTAACTAATAATAAAATTGACATTATTAGTATAAGGATATTGATGTCATTGAATTATAAAAATCGAATAAAAGAGGGAATACTAACGAACTTGCGTAGTATTACCAACAGGTCGGAGGGTTGGCATTGCTGCTAAATTAGCAGGCTTCGCTGGAGGTGGAGGAGGAGTAACACCTAATGGAGCACGAACTGTTCCTCGCATCGCTACTCCACCCTTCCATGATTCTATTTCTGACCTCATCCCTTCCAGATCTGCCTCCAATTCTTTTCCACGTTTTTCAGCTTTCGCGAGTGCTTGACGATATTGCTGTCGCTCCATATCAAACTGTGCCTGTTGCTTTTCTAATTCTGCTTCCATTTGAAGTGACTTTTTACTCTCCTCTTCGAGCCCTTCAGCCATCGAATCAATCCGAACTTTTTCTTCACTTAATATCTGAGCCAAATCTTCTGAGCGTTTTCTTTCTTCAATATATTTCATTATGATCTTCTTTCTCTCTGCTAATAAAAGCAAAACAATTTGTTTCTGTCTTGATTTTTCCGTTTCTAATGCTAGACTTTCTTTCTTTAGCTCCATTTCCAAACGTTTTCTTTCTTGTCTTTCTAGTTCTAATTCTTTTTTCAATCTCGTCCGTTCCTTCTCCAATCCATAAGTGATATCATCGCCTTGTGCCGTGTCATGCTCATGCTTTCGTTTCTCTTCTTCCAATTCTTTCACTACCTAAAGATATATTTTATTTAAGAATAATTGTTTTTTATGTAAGTGATATTTTTTAAATGTTTAATTTACCGTTCGATGTCGAAGTTCAGCTTCCTTTAAAACTTTTGCCATTCGACATTGCATTCGTCTTTGCTGAATTACAAGAGCTTCTAAGCTTGCAAGTTGACGATCAGCTTGATTATTTTCTGTTCGTACAACTCCGCCAACAATTGCAACGTCTCGAGCTAAGGCTGCCTGAGGATCTGTCGTGCCACTTCGATATCGTGAGCTTAATAAAAGCTTCATTTTTTCCGACTACAAAAATAAATTATAAATCAAATTTTTTTCTATTTCCATATGACTCATGTATCTAAAAATAATGATGTCTTTGCATTTTACTTTAAAATTAACATTGCAAGGTTATTTTTATCTAATGATGATTAATACTATCTCAAAGGCTTATATTTCCCCTTAATTCGTTTTCTTATTATTAATGGTCTACTTTTTACAGATTTATTTATTTTACTTGAAATCAATATAATTATTTTACGGAAAAAATATCGCTAATATTGATTCTTGCGTAATCTTCCTTAATTTTTCTCATAAAATTGATTACTCTAAGAGATCTTAAATTTAAGTTAGATTATATTGATTGTTTAAAGACTCAAACAATAAAACTTCTCTTTAAACAATTTCAAAACTTTGAACAACTAACACAAAAAGTCACCTTTAATGCGGCAATGACAATATCTTTAGCTTGTAATTCTGCCTCGAAGTATCCAAGAAGTTTTACCAAATCCGTTCTGCTTAGTGCTGTTGTGGGAATTCGCTGAAGAAGAAAGTAAACAATGAACAAACTCGAGCAAAATAAACTAACTTAAGTGTAAAGTAACTGTAACAACTGACGTTCGGAAATTGTTTTGAATTAAGAAGATACCTTTAATGTATTGGATGCATTTTTATCGAGTGGTTCGAAATTGTTGGATTTTTGTTGTTGAGATTGTTGTCCTCCAGAAAAAATATACGCTGGAGACAATGGTGATAGTGATACGGATTGTGATGGTGTTGACGAAGAAGATGGTATTGGAGATGCTGTTGATGGTGGCGATGATGATGATGATGATGATGACGATGATGGTGATGATGATGATGATGGGGTTGCCAGAAGCCCGGTGTTTCCAGTATTATGACTTTGCGATGCCATATTGTCCTCGATGAATGATTTACAGCCTTCACTATACCTCCGTCTCTTAGCACTCGGCGAAAGCGAATAATATTGTCGTGACGAAGACACTTTTTCTTCAATTTTGGACTCCGTCAAATTTCTCAGACGTGATTTGGTGCTTTTGCCACTCATCGGAAGCTCCGGCCTCCGAATTGCGGCGCGTCATCCTCATAACTCGGTGAAAAATTTACTGAGAAGTTTCTCATAGGCACAAACCGATCAATCTTCGACAAACTACTCCACTTTATGTTTAAAAAGATTTAAAGCTTAAAAGTATTGCATTTATATGTAAATTAGTGTACTCTATAAAGTTTATAATATCTCAAAGACTAGAATAGATATTCCACTTGATAAATTAAAAATCTGTTATTGTAAAAATTCAATTTCAAGGTAATTTCCAGCAGTAGTGGTACAACTACTGCCCAAGAGTACACAGACTAGATTCCAGCCATGCTCATTTGTTCATTTTCGACCTCTCGAAAAAATTGATTCGACTTACACATGTGAATACTGTCCATACACATATATATGTATTTACGAGATCAATTATTATCTATTTTCTTACTGAATTCTACAACTGTAAATGAAAATTCAAAATGAAGTCAATATTAAAATATTTATGACAAAAAATCAAGTTTTCTCAAAAATTATAATTAAACAATAACAAAAATGGCTCAATTTTCATTAAATTTTTCGCCATTGAAGATCACCACGACCCCTACAACTGTCAAAAAAGCAGTTTGAAGTGAAGTTAACTGAGTGACAAAATCGACTATTTTAAAAATCGATATTTGAAGAAATATCCTATGTTATCAACAATAAATAATTTTTTTTCCCATTACTACTTTATCAATATCATGACATAACCTTTATGATATTCATCCACATGTATTTTTGCATTTATTTATTCTTTTGAATATTTTTAAAAAAATGCTAGTGACAAAATCATTTTTCCGTAAAACTAGGACTGGAAATATTCATAAAGTATAAATATATCAACTTCATTTATAAATAAATAAATTATTAAAACGAATTATAGTTATATTATTAAATAACTTTTTTGTTAATTACAAAAATGTTTCATTTCAGATTGTAAGAGATCATTACCTCAGAGATGATATTTGGTGTGGATCAGAAGCGTGCAGAAAATGCAAACACAAATCTAGAGATATTATTCTTGAAACAGAAAACCCTGGAACAAAAAGTTCATTAATTTCCCATCCATATTATTTATTATTAGATACTAATGCTGTTCTTGATCAAGTATGACAATTCAAATAACATAACAATTCAATCACTTACATTATATTTAATCAAATGTAACTTTTTTATTGATACTTTCTAGATTAACATTTTAGAGGAAGAGTTACTATGCAATGTCATTATTCCTCAAATTGTTTTAGAAGAAATCAAACATCGTAGTTCGAATGTTTATAAAAAATTAAAAGACATAATAGGCGATCCGAAACGTAAATTTTATTTATTCGTAAATGAGCATCATCGTGAAACGTATGCTGAACGAATACCTGGGGAAAAAGTGAACGATCGTAATGACAGAGCGATTAGAATAACATGTAAATGGTATAAAAATCATTTATTGTCTTCAGACAATCCAAATATTGATATAGTATTGATCACTGATGATAATGATAATAAAGAAAAAGCCAAGAGTGACGGTATCACCGTATTTTCCAGTAAGAAATTCTATTATTTAAGTAAATTCTAATATAATGAATTGATAATATAGTTTCTAATTTGATTCCAAATTTTATTACAGTGGAAGAATATATTTCCTCCCTAAAAGATGCACCATTCCTGATAGATAAATTATGTAAAAAAACTTACATATTAGAAGGTGGTAAAGGAGAACCTTTATTTCCTTCTCACCTAACTCCTTCTCAGCTTCATGATGGAATAAAAAATGGAAAACTCCTTCAGGGAACCTTTTTAGCATCGAGAGAAAATTTTCTTGAAGGCTCAGTTAATGTTGAGGGTAGAGAAAAATTCGTAAGTGTGATTTTATATTTTTTATCATTAAAATTCTATAACTGTATTTCAGCTGTTACGCGATGATATATAAATCATTTATACATTATATTTTTCTTAACAGATTCTGGTACAAGGACGAGCTGGATTAAATAGAGCCATTGATGGAGATATAGTAGCTATTGAATTATTACCTGAAGAAGAATGGTCAATACCGAGTGAACTAGTTTTGGAAGAAGATGATAATGAAGAAGATCCTGGTGATGTTCTAGATGAAGAGAAAGAAATCCTTGAACAGAAACCAATAAAAGAAGTTGAGCGAACGCCAACAGGTAGAATAGTTGGCATCATCCGTCGAAAATGGCGGCAATATTGCGGAATACTACAGCCCAATGTTGTGACAGGAGTACGAAACGAATTAACATAATTATTTCAAAATTTATCTCATTGTTTACTTGTCATTTATCCATGTGATGGATTACCTTTCTAAAATTAAATCATTTATTATTCAGAATGTGAAGCATCTGTTTGTACCAGCTGAGAGGAAAATTCCAAAAATAAGAATAGAAACACGACAATCAGAGATATTGTATTCCCAGAGAATCATTGTTGCTATCGATTCGTGGCCGAGAAACTCAAGATATCCATTGGGACATTTTGTTCGTGCACTTGGAAATGTTGGAGACAAGGACACTGAGAATGAAGTTTTGCTTTTGGAGCATGATGTTCCCCACGGTCGATTTTCTGACGCAGTTCTCAGCTTCCTCCCCAAATTACCATGGGTTATCACCGAAACTGTAAGTAATTTATTTGTGTTTATTATTATAATTCAAAAGTTCATCCCTAATAAAAAATGTAGGCTGATAATATTTTTAAATATTGATAAACTACCTTCAATGTTTTTAAATTTCTGAGCGTGGTCTATCTCATATTGAAAAAATATTTGAATCATTTATTGGTAAAGGTGTCAATGAAGACATTAGTGAAGGTATCAGGGGAGTAATTGATGGTAGTGGTGGTGGTGGTGGTGGAACAGTTACATTTTCTAATGAATCTAATTCTAATGGGAGTAATGGTAGCATCATTGATGTTGATTCGAGTTTATTTTGAAAATCATCCGTCAAATTACTCGAGACAGGAAACTTTTCCAAATTAATTAATTTTCTTGATATCAAAGTTTCCAAATTTATCAAGGCTAATTGTTTACTCTATAAATAAATTTACTTATATTTATTGAAGAATCAAATGAATTTCAATTTAAACTGATAAAATCATTATTACTAACTCTTATGTCAGTCAATAATCCGTTTAAGGTTTCGGGCTTACGAGTTGATTTTATTGATTCCCAACGATTATACAATTCTTTTTCGAATAGCGAAATTATTAACTCCATTTCCCTTATTTCTGTATTATTTGCAAATAATATTATTGGTTTTCCTTGAATATTAATTTTAATAAAGAACGAACGAATTAAATAAACATCTTACCTTCATTTTTTAATTTTTTTAAAGTTTTATCTATTGATAGTTTTTCTTTGTTTAAACATTTTTGTTGCTTTTTCTGCTTTTGTATATTTACGTAAATACTTTTAATTTCTTTCAACATCTGCTCTATTTCTTCTGCATTGTTTTTCAATCGTTTTTCTAAGTCTCTGAAATAATGCATATTTTATTATTATTTGTTACTTCATCAGAAAGTAAAAATTATTTAAGATTGTTTACATTGAATAATTCTGTATGTAATATTCAAATTTAATAGTATTCTGCATATAGTTGATAAATTTCTCTAATTGATCACACACTGCAGCAATATTTTCAGAAGATATTTTTAACGGATAATGTTCTTTGTTTTCCTCTTTACTATTATTAGTTTCTTCATTTTGAGTATGAGTCTATATAAATAAATTACTTCATTAAACTATTATTATATTTTATTATAAAATTTCATAACAATTATTTACTAACGTGTGCTTCTTGTTTCGACATGTTTAATTTTGACATAATCTGATTAATTAAATTTACTGATGATTGTTTGAAACTAAAATTAAATTTTTTCTGCATATTTTTTAGGTAAATAAAATTGAAAAATCAAAAATTAACATATTATGTAGAATTTAATTTAATTTATCTGTCTTTAAATAATAATTAGTGCAATATTTTATTTTACGTTAAAAAAGTAACATTAATTTTGTACGCCATAATTATTTGACAATAAACAAAAGAATTCATGCTGCTAACATAAAATTTACTTGTCAAGATAATAATGGTCTTAGTAATAAATTGTAATTTTTTTTAAGGATCTTGCTCAAAGGGTTGATTTACGTCATTTGGATATTTGTTCAGTGGATCCACCTGGTTGTACAGATATCGATGATGCTTTGCACTGCAAAGAACTTGAAAATGGTAATCTAGAAGTGGGCGTTCATATAGCAGATGTTTCACATTTCATTCGACCAGGAACTGCTTTAGACAAGGAAGCTGCTTTGAGAGCCACTACTGTCTATCTTGTTGATAAAAGAATTGACATGGTACCAGGTATGTTAGGAATTTTATTCAAAGAATTTTCTTTTATCAGATTATTTAAAAATTAGTTGATATCAAATTATTTAAATCCATATATTTTTCTGTCATTAGAATTATTGAGTTCGAACCTTTGTTCTTTACGAGGAAATGAAGAACGATTTGCATTTTCCTGTATATGGGAAATGGATCATGATGCTAATATAATTGGCACTAAATTTTGTAAATCTGTTATTCGATCTCGTCGAGCTATGACTTATGAAGAAGCCCAGCTTCTAATCGATGATCCATCTCAACAAGATCCAATTACATTGTCACTTCGAGGATTGAATAATCTCGCAAAGAAAATGAAAAAGCGTCGTCATGAAAATGGGTAATTTTCATATTCTTCGATACTTAAATTATTTTTCACATGTCTGTATTTTATTTATGATGATTAAAATTTGCAGTGCATTGGTACTGGCATCACCTGAGATACGCTTCCAAATAGATAATGAAACTCATGACCCAATCGAAGTCGAAGCGAAAAAATTACGAGATACAAATTCAATGGTTGAAGAGTTTATGTTATTGGCAAACACATCTGTGGCAGAAAAAATTGTACAAGAATTTCCAGAGTGTGCTATGTTACGTAGACATCCAGAGCCACCACAAGTAAATTTTGAACCGCTTATTAAAGCTGGAAAACATCAGGTTTGTATTGATAATTTCCTAGTAAAAAAGCTACTGTTTTTAATTATTTAGTCTCGAAGAATGTTGGGTTATCTATTATTTATTGAAATACTTTTTGTTATCCAAGGGATTTGAAATAAATACTTCAAGTGGAAAAGAATTAGCTAGATCGCTTGAATCAGCCCATAAAGAAGATAATCCTTACTTCAATACCATGTTGAAAATTCTCGCTACTCGTTGTATGATGCAAGCTGTTTATTTTGTAAGTGGAATGGTTCAACAATCAGAGTTCTTCCACTACGGTTTAGCTTGCCCAATTTATACTCATTTTACTTCACCAATTAGAAGGTAGCTATTATTTGCTTTTATACAGTATCTTTCGGTTGAACAAATATTAATTTTTATACTCTCTAGATACGCTGATATTATAGTCCATCGGCTTCTTGCTGTTTGTATCGGAGCGGATTCAACATACCCAGAATTGTTAGATAAGAAAAAAAGCCATGAGCTTTGCCATAATTTAAATTATCGAAATCGAATGGCTCAGTATGCTGGAAGAGCTTCTGTTGCTTTGAATACCCACGTAAGTTTTTATTATATTTTTCTTTTGAAAATTTATTTTTTTAATAGAGAATTTTAGTATTTTTATTTTTTTATAGCTATTCTTTCGGGAAAAAGTGGAAGATGAAGATGGTTACATTTTATTTGTACGTAAGAATGCACTTCAAATACTTATACCTAAATACGGACTTGAAGGAACATTATATCTTAAGAAAAAAGGAGAATCTTCTCCAGTGAATTTTGTTTATAATGAAGAAGAACATACACAAACTTGTGGTAAAATTGTGTTCCGATCTTTTGATCCAGTGGTGGTCCAATTGAGTTTAGACAGAACAAATATTCAACATGAAAAACTAGTCTTCAAACTTGTTAAACCTGAGGTATTATGAATGCGACTTTTATAACTCAATTTTAACTTTTAGTTTTTAACAGTTTTATATATATATATTTCATTTGATCAATTTGAATTTTAATCATTGGGGGAATTTTGATTAGATTCCAGGGTTTAGCGTTCTGGCATCGAATGTAAAACGTAAGATGTCTACAGAAGAAGTGAAAGAAGTTCCTCAGAAAAAAACGAAAAAACATAAAAAGAAAAAAGGAAAAAATTAAAATTGTATATATATGTGTATTTTGTATTTTATTTGTATGAAATACAAATTATTTTTACAATTTGAATTATACTGTTATTGTTGTACATAAATTGGAATTTTTCTTTTTTCAAGATTTTTTATGTATAAAATATTAATAAATTACAATTAAATCAATTAATTTTTCACAAAAAAACTTATGTAAATATTTTTTTAATTTGTTACTTGCAAATACGTAAACAGTGATCAGTATAGTAACTTGATTATTACATCGATAACTAAGAATACCTTTACACGATTTTATTGAAGAGCAGAAGTTGATTTACAGTATCCCAAATTTTTCAAGACTCGCTTAATATCATTATAAACGGTAGGATCTTCAATAGTACTAGGTATCTATGAAAATTCAATCAAATAATGAATTAAGTTGATAACTTTTTTAGCGTAATTATTAATTAATTCATTATAAGTAAATATAAAATATAATGACGTACTTTGAAAACTCTCGAACGTGCCAAATCCACAATAGATTTCCGAATGGTTTTCCCTGAACGAGTTCTAGGTAATCCTTTAACTGCTGCTGCTAATTTGAAGGAAGCAATTGGTCCAATCAATTGTCTTACTTTTGCTATTAACTCTTGGTTTATTTGTTCTTCATTTTTGGTAGTATCTAAAAAAAAAAAAATGAATTGAAATGAAATAAAAGTTCTCATATAAATTCTTATACGTAAAAAGTAAACTGTATTACCATCTCTCATGACATAAAGACACAAAGGTATCTCTCCCTTTGTTGGTTCAGGAACACCTACAACGGCTGTATCTACAACATCTGGGTGACGTAAAACGACGTCCTCCAAAGCTGAAGTTGACAGTCGATGGCCTGCCACATTAATTACATCGTCGTCCCTTGCTGTGACGTAGACATATCCATACTCATCAATGTATCCAGCATCCATGGTGTCATAGTATCCCTAAAATTTATACATATCACTTAGTTAATAATGGAGAAAAGTAATGAGAAAATATAACGCAAGTTTTACTGTTATTATTATTAATTATAAAATGTTATAAAAGCATACCGGATATTTGGAAAAATAAATTTCTTTGAAACGATCAGGTGCCTTGTACAAGGTTGACATCGTTCCTGGAGGAAGAGGTAATTTTACTGCAATCCTTCCAAGTTCATGAACAGATGCTTGTTGTCCATCCTCTCGTAACACTTGAACTATAAAAATAATTGTAATGAGCAGAATTTATCATACCAATTAAAACAATAATTTTTTTATATATTCCAACAATATAATTAAGTTCAACATTTTCTGATTTTCCCTTTAAATTTATTCGATACATAATAATAGTAATTTAAAATAACTTTACCATTGTAACCAGGGAATGGCATTCCCGTGGTATATTTTGGAGGATTCAAACTGTGGCCTAGACCGATGCAAGTTGCAGTAATTGCATGGCCTGTTTCGGTTTGCCACCAGTGATTGAGGATAGGAACTTTGAAAACATTTTCCGCCCATGATTTTGCTTCGTAATCACAGTGCTCTCCAGCAACAAATATTGCTTTAAGTCTAGTAATATTAAAATGATAAATTAAACATTGTGTATTCATTATTATTTCGATGCTTACAATATTCTATAAAAAGATTCTTGGAATATGTAAAGAGGTTTAAATTGATTGCTTTTATTTATATAACGAAGATATATTTATAGAACAGGTCACATTTTGGCATGATATAAAAAGATTATGGTAAATCAGTAGAAAGGAGAGGAAAGTGTGATGTATCTGCATACATTGACGTTTACTACTTACGACTTAGTAGAATATTTTTGACCCAAAATAGTTTCAGGATCAGCTCGACGAAGAACTCGGAAAGCGGTTGGAACAGTGAATAAAGCATTAACACCATATTGGTCAATAATCCTATAATGTAATTTACATAATTATATATTGTTAATTTAATAAATTAAATAAAACATAAATACATTGATATTTCTTAATCAACAATATTATAATTTATTTTGACTGAAAAGAAATTTATGTTTTATTTATAAAAATTTTTATCAATGATAAGAATATGTAAAACCTGAAATATTGGCCAGCATTCGGTGTTCTATCTGGTTTTCCTTCATACATAATGCTGGTTATTCCATAAAGTAGTGGTGCGTAACAGATGTAAGAATGCCCAACGACCCACCCAAGGTCCGAAGCTACCCACCAAACAGAATTTTTATTCATCCCATAAATAGTTCTCATAGTCCAACAGAGGGTTGCTATATGTCCACCGACTGGTCTTTGCACACCTTTTGGATTATCTACGATCAAAATTTATTTATATTGTTTTATACCGTTTTAAATAACTCAATTTTTTTAAATATAAAACTATAATTATAACCAGTCTAACACATTAATCTTTAAAATTGAATTTAATATGTTGAGGTCTCAAATCAATTGAATTAATCAGTTTGCATTAGGTTGTTTGAACAGGGATAGTTGATGAATTTTTTTTTATTTTAACAAAATTACCTGTTGTGCCAGAAGTGTAGAGGATATACAAAGGGTCATTAGCTTCTACTGGTACACATGGGTGTGGCTCGAATTCTTCTATTAATTTATCAAAGTCTTTTTGATAACTTTGAAGTGGAGCTTCCCAGACATTTCGTCGTTGAAAAACGATGCACTTTGGTTTAGGTACTGAGATAAGTTCCATAGCTTCGTTTACCATTGTAGTGTATCTAAAAAGATCATCAGAAGTTTTATAAAAATATTCAATATAAAATTTATTCTGCTAATTTAGTAGAAATGAATTATTACAAACTTGATAATTTTCGTTGGTTCCAATCCACAACTAGCAGCAATGACGACCTTGGGTTCAGCATGATTAATTCTCGTTGCTAATTCATTTGGTGCAAAACCTAAGAATAAAAAGTAATTTTGTATAAAGTTCTTCAATTTTTCTGTTACTCTCGAGTCTGCTCATTATTCAATTCACATGATACTACTACGAAGTCTTGGAATATCAGATAACCCTTAGCATATTGATTGGTTTTATCAGACTTTCATGTTTATCCATGCGTGAAATTATTTAAGTTTGGATCATCTTTCAAAATGTTCATTTCCTCAGGAATATAATTAACAAGGATTTATCTCTAATAAAAAATAATCATCATACAATTACTTTAATTACAGTTATGTTAAACTCTTGATTGCAGGTGAGATCATTTGTCAATAGAGAACAAATTGGAATAGACAATAAATTGAATGTTTTTTCTTGAGGACAATTATATTGGCATGTATTTTAAATAATTGAAAATTGATCGAAGTACCTCCGAAGACAACAGAATGAATGGCTCCAAGACGTGCACTGGCGAGAATAGCAATCACTGTCTCAGGAATTAAAGGCATATAAATTAGAACTCTATCACCCTTTTGTACACCCATATTAGCCAATGCACCAGCTAATCTTGATGTCTTCTCTAGCAGCTCATCGTATGTCACTTTACGTACAGTTGATGTCAATGGGCTGTCGTGTATTAAAGCTATTTTCTTTCCATATCCTGCCTTTACGTGTCGATCTACTGCATTGTGACATGCATTTATTTCTCCACCTACGTACCTAAAGACAACATATAAATAAAGGGACCAAAATGAGAACAAAACTTTAAGTTTTCCATTAATATTATTAACCTTATACTTTTTCTTGTTATTTATATTTATTCTATGGATTAAATACAATTTATATCCTATCTAATTATTAACACACAATTATCAGTCATCAAATATATATAATGGCTAACTTAAATTATTATTGAAAATTTATCACTATAATTATTTGTTTAATAAATATTCTCTTTTGTCATGAATATTATATAATATAAACCTATTAATTATTGAATACACTCTAAACATTATTTGAATTTTTATTAGATTCATTTTTTTCAAGCTGTTGGCTTGATATATTTTAATACAACTTCCTGACCTTTGACATTTAAGTGTGAAACAATTCTTGAATTTTTTTTCGAATCTTCTATTTTTAGATTCTATTTTTTGATAATAATTATTAATTACCATTTTGTAAAGGGTTCATTAGAATTATCTAAAACCTTATCCCATCGTTTACTCCATTCTACCTCTTCTGCTACTTCTGCCCAAAATTCTTCTGGAGCTTCAATTGATCTCCTGAAGGCTTTTTCATAAATTGTACTGTGATATGGGTTCTTACTCAATATGTAATCTGTAACAAACAAAATTCCATTTCGAATGAATAAATAAAAATATTCTTATATCAACAAAATAGAAAAAAAAGAAAGCTAAAAATAGTTATACATTTTTCATGGTGTTTCTTCAGAGTATTTAGGTATTAAAAATTAATGAGATACTTTTGCTTGTTTCTTTTCTCCTGCTTTGTACTTTTCGTTTAATATTTTTTACCTTGCAGAGAAAAGTCACACCCTCTATGTTGGTGTGTTTTATCATTTGCACTTGAATAATTCATTACATCGTCACTTTAAGTTTTTCTTGTAATATTTACTTGTTTCTAAGAATCTTCTAGGTATAAATTCAGTAATAATACTACACATAAATTATTCTAAATTTTGCACGGATATAAAAGTTAAGAATGATTTTTTTATCAAACTTACCCCTTTCATTTTCTCGTTTCAGTTGTCTTGATTTTGCAATTTTTGATTCAAACGAATTTTTGGCATCTTCTTTAGTTTTTGAATCTAAAAATGTAGTCTCTTCTCGGTTCATATTGTTGGTGATTTTTTAAAATAAAGTCAATAGCACTGATGTTGTTAACGAGCCCATTCACTATTATTTTTATTGATCAGCAACTGTTGAATTACCTTTGTCCGTTTATTTTATGCTTCCACTGTTGATTAAAAATTACCAGATGTAGAAAAGAAATGTCTTCAATGCTTTTGCTTTTAGATAATAATTGAAATAATGAAAAACAATGGAAGAACTGTGATGGCTAAAGAATAATTTGATAAAAACTTTCACAAAATACACAACATGTCACATGTATATTCTCAACGTTTTTTGTAAGTTTTTTTTTTTTTAGTATCTAGTGTCTTCTTTTCTAAAAGTTACAAATAGTTGGATAAACTTTAGAGTTCTATTCAAACACCCTAACTTGATTTGATCTCTCTGCAAGTACACTTATATCTTCCACCGACCTGGTTCATTGAACTTTAAGTCCAAGGAAGAATAAAACTATTTCTCATGTCACTTTCTTAAAGTTATTTTTCATTCAAACTGAAAATAAAGTTATTTCGGCGGAATCACTATCGTAAATCAATTTTATCTTCTGCACATAAACTTTATTATGTGTACCAATTGGTTCTAAAATTACTGTTAAAAGATCAAGACTATCATCTGGTCATATAACTGGACAAGAGACAACTAATTCGCGTATTACTTAAGATTGAAGACAAAAGGTTGTGAGTCTTTGTACGTATATGTTAATTATTTTTCTTTAACGTATAAATTAGCAGTGATTGGTGGTCAGAGAGAATATTACGTAGTGTTTTCATTTCCTGATGACCTTAGAACCCAACAAAAGGCCATTGGTCGTCAAATTGAATCACTTAGACAATATAATAATTCTTGTAGACAATATGAGACTATCATTCAAGTATTTATTGATAGATTCATGTTTATTGATTTCATTGAACAAAAAATTGATTGGAGTCAATTACCATTTTGATAATTAATTTAATTAGCTGTTGGATCCTACAAGATCTTGAACTCAAATGTTATTTTAAGAAACAAGTGGAAGTAAAAAGTATTCATTTTATTTTAGGAACATGTAAATTAGCGATGACTAATTAATGTAAGTGGTATGTTGTTAAAAAAAGAATTACAAAATTAATACACGTATGAATTGAAAACTATCTGGAACGATAAGTCAGTGTCATGTGAGAGTAACACATTGCTTTCATGAAAAAGGATATAATAGAAATAGTGACAGATAAAATACGATTATCATATACAGATATTTTATTTGATAAAAAATTTCTAATAAATTATTGAAAGTCATCTTTAACAAATGTTAAAGAGTTTTATATACGTAATAATTTATAATTAAATAAAACAAAATAATTTCATCATCATGTTCTGTAGAACTGAAGTTATTTGTCTAATAAACGAAGCTATGCACGTTCGACGAAATCGAACTGTGACACAACGTAGAAAATAAGAAAAATGTCTTTCAAAAAAGACGAAAAATAATGAACAAAGGGTGCGAAAGAAAATGAAAGACTCGAGTTTTTCTACATCACAGAAGAAGGTTGATATGCTGCGAAATCTAATTTGCACGTCGATTTTCTTTGGAAACATTTGAGTTATGTGGAAGGTAGACAGACTAAAATGTAAAAAGATAAATTTCAAGTATATCAAAATTATTTAATTTATTATTTTAATATTAATAAAAATTTTTCCTTGGTACTTGGATGATAAAAATTCCACTCTCGTGTCTTGAACGATTAAAAATACATGTAATAGAGTACAGTAATATCGTTGATATATTATTATCGTATGGTGATTAAATTTTATATTATAACGAATCCACCAGGTTTTTATGTTCCAAAGTTCTTGATGAAAAAAGTGTACATAGTCATATGCTATGTTGATATTTACGACGTTTCTCATTTACATCTATGAGCAGACAAAGTTCAATCTAGTGCAAGTTCTAGAGATGAATACTATCTGGAGAATATCTTCATTTACTATGCAACTCCATGAGTTTGAAATTACAATGAATTTTATCATATTATTTAACTTCAATATAAATTAAAATACTAATAAATAAACCGTTAACATGTGAATAAAAAAAATTGGAAAAATAACAGCTTTATTTTACGTGAAGTTAATGAGATTTATGTAAACTTTTACTTCATGAAACACCAAGAACTATGAATAAATATCAAAAGTAAATCATTTAGTTACGTAAAGAGTCTGACGATAAATTTAATGCATAATCCTGATCTTTAATCTGATCCTCATCTTCACTGTAAAAAATGACAATTTGCATTTATGTTATAATTAAATAATACATCACGTAGTACAAGTATACAAATTGTTACAATTTTACATTAAATAATATTCAAAGAATAATTTTATCATGATTAAGAATTGACTTATCGTTTTTTATGAATAGGGGCAGAGAAGGTAAAGTGGAATATCACGAAAAAATTAAAATCAACAAGTTAAGCATTATTTTAACAGATGTTAAGGATTTTTAATGCATTAATAAATTGAAAAATAGATATACAAAAAGTGCAATAGGCATTTTTAAATTTATTTGACTAAATTAGTACATTGTTCCGAGCGTTTCACTTTTACCCACCTTTCCCTTATTATTTTCGAAGTTATTAAAGGACATTTATCTCAAGAGTTACTTAATGTTTATGAGTAGTAAATACAGTACATATAATATGTTGGCAAGCAGATAACGATCGATTTATCAGATTATCATGGAATATTAAATTATATTGAATAATTCTAACACAACCACCTGATGCTCCTATATCTATAGATAAGAGATACATAACTCACAAGGACATGACTTGAAAGGAAATGTTGACAGTTAGATTTCACGGAACGCAGCCAACGAAAATGCGACCTGAGCTAAAGGGATTTAACCATCAGTATAATTCTATGAGCAAAATTTTAATGTGATGTCATGGGTTTAACAGGATTTTATGTTTCTTTAGATACAAATATGTGTAGAGAGATCTTTTTATTTTTATTTAGGAAGAGATCTTGATATGGAAAATATGTTCATATATACGCAAAGTACTTGTGATGAGTTTTTTTTAGTTCTCTTCTTTCCTACAGAGTATGAATAAAATTTTTTCAAAGAGCGATAGTGGCAGAAAGAACTGATCAACTTGTATCATGAAGGTTATACGAATGTTTTATATGCAAAATAAATGGTGAGTAAAAGTTTCCCCAAAAGTGCAGTAGCCATACAGAGAGATAGGAAGTGTGTTTCAGAATCTCCAACAAACTCTATTTTAAATATCGATTTTTGACGTATAAATTTATATTGTGTACAAAATTACATTTATTCTTCATCAAAGTTTAATAAAAAGCTTCATCGTTTTTTTAATTCAATAATTGACTATGTATGGTTTTATCAAAAGAGAAAATGAAAATCAGTTAGTGATAAATAACTATGAATTATTCGGAAGAATTTTCAGTAGTTTGATTGATGAAATTTTCAAAAAATGATTACAGTGGATGGTGAGGGAAAAAAGGAGATGTGAAAATAGGTAATGGAAAGTGAGGTACAAATTGAGGGTGAGCGGGTCATGTGTTGTCACCTTAGTCGTAACGTACACTTATTCGGCTTCATGAAACAGGTAACAAATTGCTTCTACACGTCGTGAAAATGTTTAAATTTAAAAGATATTTCTTTTCCAGTAAATATCATTCCTGGAAACATAACTAACGAGTAATGATAAGTCATTGTTGATTTATAAATCAAGTCACTCATGGTTTGTGAAAACAGCATTGTTTTTTTAAAAAAACAAAAAATATTGTGAATATTTAATATAATAAATAATTATGATGTATGTACATGATGGATGTATAAATCATATTTACATCCGGAAGTAAATGTACTATTACAGTACACAACCAAACCGCATTGGAAACCATGAATACGCGTTCTTTAGTACCGAGTTTGCAATTGCGATTAAATTCTCGTGTTCATTAACAAGTTTTATCGATAGACTATTGATTGCCTGTCAAACATGTTCCTACCCAGTTAATTTTACTTCACGGAAGAAAGTTAATTTTGTACTTAATTATTACAAATAATTCTTATTTGTGAAAATGAAACATCCAATATATAATTGGCAGCGCAAAAATATCAAATGATTTCTTAAATTAACTTTTTTTTTATAAAAATATTGCAATTATTTCTTCGTTATGTATGAAAAATATCGTACACCCAGTTGATGAGATTTGAAGAAATCATATTCAAAAATATGGATGGATGTTTCTTATTTTTTTTTCATTTCTGCAATAATTGTCAGGTGCGCAAAAGTAATTCAATCGTTGGTTGATTTTGTATGCTTCGTATCGCTTTGCAAATCGAATTTTCTTTAGTCTTATTTCCACGCAGTCACCTTTTTTGAATTTTTTTGCTCAAGAAGGGTAAAAAAAATTTTGTTCAAGGTTGTATTCAATATAAAAATAACATTATTATATAACAAATTACCAAGATAGAAAATATTTCTTTGATGTTACTTTATTTAATGAAATAATAATTACTCAAAAGTCAATTAAAATTATTTCATGATATTTATGTGTTGATTATATTTAAATACTTCCTCATTATCTGATTAATTCCCTTCACATATTTAAATTCGTCATGCAAAAAATAGTAATGAAAATAAAAGAATTTCAACTTGAAAGTTTAGTTCTGAGATATCTTTGTCTTGATATGACAACTGGGAATAAGTAAAAATGTACAAAAATGAATAGAAAGCTTTGATAAAAAATTCTCTGATGAATTCACATGCTGTGCTTTAAAGCTTTTACAAAGCATACATTCGTAATAATGAGTTGATATATGCATTCAGATGGAGACATTTAAATAATATAAATGTAGCTTTAATCTGTCTTGTTATATCCAATTATTTTGTCATTCAATATAACTAAATCGATAAAAATATTAGCAAGGTCGTTCATCATTCATCATCTTTATTCGATACAATATTCGCTAATTTAAGATAAAAAAAAAAATTATTTCTGTCCAAGTAAAAATATTTATTTTCTTTCAACAATAACTGTTGATTAAAATTCAAATTTATGTAGCGATTAAACAAATATTGTATTGATTTTGTTATTTTTGATTAATTTTGTTTGATGTTATGAGGGGTAGTGCGTGATTTTTCATTTGGAGCACAATCTCCTAGACTACCCTAATGTCTATTGTAATTTGAGAAGCCATAAACATTTTAAATAAATATTTGCTGATGTGAAGAGACAGTTATGCATAGTCTCTTGTAAACAATTCTATGGCGCCCCTTAGTTCGCGCATGCCACTGATACCGTATGTATTTAAGGGCTGATGGTACGCTTTCTCTACCACTGTATTGTCGTCTTCAGATCAAAGAACACCATACACTTCTATATATATATCGATACACTTATACTGGAACATACTTATTCAATCGTGTAATCATAAAATAAAATTTTTTTTGCAACGATATTTATCGTAATAAGATAAATAACTCACGTTAAGCATCAACCACTTGTTGGAAGTCAGCCGAAAATATATCTCAGCAGGTTAGTAAAAAAATGTGATTTCACTGATTGTTTCTTCTTTCACTGAATTCCCCTTTTTCTGATTTCTCAATTATTATAAATAAAAATTCTCCAAGTGAATCGTGGAAAGTAATTGTGGATAATTGAATAAAAAATGGTGTTGAATAATTTTGCAAGCAATTTATGACGTGCTGGTGAGAGGGGGTTCAGCAATTTCGTTTTAAGAAATTTAGTTTCTTTAGTCAGAAAGAATGCACTTATGTATTTACAAGAATTAGAACCGAATAATATTACAGAGTGCTCACAGTTACATTTGATGTAATTAGTTTTTGTAATTAATGTTTGCTAGACATTAGTTACCTTAGGTTGAAGAAGTACTAAGCGTACAGAAATTTAATACACTATGTTGGTAAATGAAGAACGAGTTTAAATACTCATACTTTATATGTAAAGTGAAAAAAATTGATTCATAAATTTATTAACTCATGATTATTTAAATTGTAGTACTTTATAACAAATCAGTAGACACTTATGTTAATTTTTTGATTAACCATTCAAATGACATTGTAGTTTTCATATTTATGATTTTTTGTCATGATACTGCAATATTTATTATTTGTAAACAAAAAGTATTTAGTATCAACAAAATTATTTGAATAATGACATACTTTTTATCGATGCAAAAAAAACTTATTACGTTTGAAGAATTCTAATGAGTTTGATCTAGTAATCAATAAAACATTTTTCAATATGAATATAATTAGAAATAATATTATTTTACATGTGCAAAAGAAAAGAAATATTAATTAGATGTTTTTTTGAACGTTTTAAAAATATTTTTGAAGTTGAATTGGTTCTTAGGTAATTTTTATCCTGAATATCTCACTTTGTCTACTTTCCTGGTTCCAATATCTCTTTCTCTTAATGTTCAACTGTTCTTGAAAAGATACAAAATGATTCAATTTAAATCTTGTTACATCGGCTGTCACTTACAAATTGCTTTGATTTATAATTCAATTATTTCATATACTTTTTGTTATTGTTTTTAATATAATTCAGCCTCTTTTTTAAACTTTAACTAAAATTTTTAAAAATGTTTCAACATTTCATTAACATTTGATAAGAAAATATGACTTAAAATAATGTAGAAAGTTTGATATTAGTGTAGTATTTTATAGATAAAAATTACATTCTTGTGATCCTTTCGTGTCTTTGATTGCTGTTTTTGTATTATTATTAATATTTCATAGAAAATGTGGGTGAAAATATCAAATTTTCTTTCCTATGAGTAAGAAAATAAATCGAGACAAATGAGCATATAATTTTGTTCGTGTTTTACCTGAATAAAGGGAAAAACTTCAAATAGTTTTCTTCAAGAATTTATTACAATCACATTTTTAAAAAAAAAATAAACTTTGAATATGATGATACGTTACATAAATCAAATTTATAAAAATAAGATAAAAGTAGTCATACTCATCTAATAAGCTTCTATTTTTTTTACTACAATCTTATCTGATAAAATTCTGCTTATATTTCCTATCACCATATTTCATGATAAATCCTTTGGGTACATATACGTGCAAATGTGGAAACTTGACCTTATAAAATGGAAAAAAATCCATGATATTGATATGCAATGCTTGACTTTTATGAATAGAAATTTATCTACGGATATCTTTTACCTATCAAAAGCTCAGTAGTTGTTGAAGTTTTGTATTTGCAAAAAAATTGTTGGATCAAAGTCATCATGGAATTTTTATGACAATAAAACTTATTACACCAAAATAAATAGTGAAATGTTGATTGAACCATAAAAGCTGATTGAAAGGGAATTGATGAACAATGTAAGAAATTTAAATGCTGAATAGAGACAAATCAGCTTCAAGAGTCAAGTAACTTGGTGTTTTAATGACTAGCATGTAGAGATGCAATTTAATTAATTGAATAAGACTTTGTTTACATAAGAAACAAAAGCAAAACATAGTTATATAAATAATTCAGAACTTAGAGATCTTTTGCTGTCTATTTAAGTTTCAATGGTATTTCTATGCAATGCAAAATTAATGCAAGAATTTAAAAAACAAATTTGTAATACAAAAATTTAGTTTCTGATATAATGAAATCTTACAGATGTTAAAATCGATAAATGTATGTATAATTATGTGGGAAACTTGAAAAATATATAGATATGTGTACTCAATTTATGAAGTTGGGGAAGTTGGTGAAAGGGAGGCAACAGGTTGCCCATTTTGGAGCGTGATTCAAGCCTATTACAAGCTCTGCTGATGCTACTGTTGCATTGATTCGTGAATGAGAGTATTTTTTTCATCCTTTTCAATAATTTGTAGTTAGAGATAATTTTTAGATCATTGATTTTATATTATGATTTAATAATTACTTATTTAATGATTTATATAATCGTTCAATCAATTAATGATTATTTTACGATTGTACTCCAAGCTATTTGAACTTATTCACTTGCAAAAATGATGCTAATGGTGAAAGGAGATAAAAAAGTTTTAAATAAAAAAATTGTTTCAAGTACTGTTGATAAAATATTTCTCTCATCTTGATAAAACTTTACTTTACAGTTATTTATAAGTCAAGGAAAATTATCTGTGAAGACTAGAGAATTTTTAATTAAGACTTTAAATTGGAAAGAGCACTTTCCCTTGTCTTGTGTTTTATTTGAAGATAATACTTGCTAGTTGTGAATAATAAACAAAGTAAATAAAACATTTTAGTAGAGAGAAAGAAATAATTTTTTATGGATGTCTAGTGGTTTCTACAGCTTTAATAATTCCTATGTCCGGTCGGAACTACCTTGATCTTCATGTTCTCTTCATTGACTTTCTGAATGAAATCCGGTAAAAGGATTGAATGTTAGAGGTTTTAAAGCTTGTCAGAGACATTAAAGTTCACTCAACTTTTTTTTCTTAGATTACGTTAAAAGGTTTTCTCATTAATCTTAGCATATTTAATCTTTTAAAGACAAATGAATTTTTTACAACCCAACTTCTTTATTCTTTGTCAAGGAAAAATAAGTTTCACTACCATTCTATCTTGTGTAAAAAAAAATTTTTAATTCCAAGATAATTTGCTAGACAAGAAACAATTTAATCTTTATAATAATAAAACTTTCGAGAGATTATTAAAAAAGTTTAGCATAAATGAGTTTATTATTTAACAAAAAATTCTTGAAGAACTTGATAAAATCATGAAATATTATTCATATTTATTTAATAAATGATATCAGTGGTATTATAAGTAATTTCTAATTGACATATTTATTGTTAGATAAACAAAAATCTTACTTGTTTACAAGCTAATAAAATAAAAGCAGATAAATTTGTTCAATTTGGTCGTAGTCAAAAGCCTTAGGGACAGAATAATGAAGAAGGGAAGAAATTAAGGAAAATAAGAAGAAATGGGGCCATAGTTCTAACTTAGCTTCATTGCCTATTAACAGTTTGAAGTAAATAGACAAAGCATGAGCCTCATACATCTTTTGTAGCTTTACTTGGGATGATTTCAATCTTGTGGTAGACTTCAACTACAAAGTGTCACAATTATGACATTTTGAACCATGTAATGTGCTACAAATTAAATTAATTGTCACACATACATACAACACTGTTATTAAGTGACCTGAAAATGATAACATTTAATATAATAGTTATTTAACTAAATCGGTGAGACTATGACTATGTTCTCATTTTTTTCATTAACTTGTTCTATTTTTAGATCATTATGATAAAAAGATGAACAATAATGTTTTTTTCTTTTTTATTAAAAACAAAAACGTGACTCGAAAAATAATAAAAAGAATCAATAAACATTTTTTTAGAAGTTATGATGACATTAACTACTTTAAAACATTTTTTAATGGATAATTATTTTTATTTTAGAAATGAAGTGTAGCTGGGCTTTGATTGTATCAACCATTCTTTTCATCATGTGCATGCATTCAAATGAGGTCTTGGGAATGCCACCAGCCCAGTGTAACCCTGGACTCTTAGATGAAGTCCCACCACGAATTCGGAAAGTTTGCATTACTCTATCGACCATATATGAGCTTGGTTCAGCCATGGAAAATTACATTAACGACAAAGGTAACAATACTACATGATTATAACATCGATATTATTCAGTAGAATGGCAGAGCATGACAGGATAAAGTTTGATATTACTAACTTTACTTTGATGACAAGCGAAAATCAGTGGTCTTTGAGTTCTATTAGTCAGACAAGTTTGTGCTACTATAGGGTTGAAATAATTAACACCAACTAGTTTAGAATAAATTTATTATAGTTATTACCAGTAGATTTCAGTAATTATTTTAGCCACATTAAGATCTATTGAGAGTTCAAGATCAACACTGTGGCCAAAGGGTTGTAGTGTAATTGAATCATGAGTTCATCATGAAGTTAAATTATCTGCATGATAAAATTTAATATTGAGGATGAATATAAACGATTGGATTGATTATAATGTTGTTAATTTTTCTTTGAATTAATTCTAATGAATTTATAATTGTTTTTCTATTTTATAGTTCCAATGTTACGCGAGACTAATCCACTTCCACTTAACATAAAGCGCCAAGATGCAGATCACGTATTTTTGCACTTTGGAAGGCGACGTTAAGATGACTCTTTAAGGATTTGCAATAGATTTTGCCAAGTTGTAAAAAGAAATTAAAAAAAAAAACATACTCATTTGAAATAATGGAATAAGAGAACTCATCAACTTCATTTTTTTTATTTTAATCCATTGCATTTTTGTTCTATGTTGAAAGTTAAATATTATCGTATTACTATTTATTGATTCTATGAAATCTCTTTTTACTCTTAAAAGTAAAAATAAAGAATAGAATCGAGTACCATTTTTTCTTCAGTATTATTAATAATATATTTAATGTCATGAATTGTTTTGTTTCATCAAATTGTTAGAATTTTAATAAGTTAATGAAAATGTAATTATATTTTATTAATATGGAATTTTTATGATAAAGTTTAAAAGAATGAGACGCTACAGATGTTACCTTAATCATATAAAAAAATACATATACTAATTCTACTTCATGTTAATTAAATTCAAAATTAAATTTAATCAATTAATCAAGAAAATAAAAATAAGTGCAAAAAATAATTATTAATCAGCTGTATTACTCGTAGAAATGGGAAAAGATAGCGCTTTTGTGCAGAAAATTTTTGTCTTAATAATAATAAATTATCCCCATAATGTCTGAATAATTAATGTAGTTTTTTAAAAAATCTATTTCCAAAGTGGATGTAAAATGATGTAACATCTTAGATATTTATTTTATGTTCTTACAAATAAATCTGTTAATCTATAGACTGATAATAATAATTTTGTTGTAATTATTATGAGTTTTATAATATTTAATTTATTTGAATAAAAACAAATTTTATGAATAATTAATTAATGACATGCTGATTATTATTTTAAACTACAAAAAAGTACCTTACATTATCAACATTGAAGAAATAACCAACAGCATAAATCTACATAAAATATATTCATATAAAAGATTATATATTTATTGTATTACATATGTATATAAATGAAGTCTCTGAAAAATGACTCTTTCATTACATTCCATGCCTTCAATTTCAACAATTACTAATTAAATTTTATCACCATCTCTATGAGGATTATTTATCATCATGAATTTACTGATATTTGTAATTTAATTCGTTGGAAGAGAATCATTTATGGGTCAATAAATAATAAATACATTTATTTATGAATTTCATACAAGAATTAACTTTAAAATAAATAGAATAGACCAGCTTTGAACTTACAAGCTTCCAAAGACAAAGTATGCCTACAGGCAGTATTATATTGAGACAACATTTAACATTTTGAGGCACGACTTTGTAACTGCTTTATTTATTATCATATCAAGAAATAATGAATTTTACGTTTTTTAATTCATTTTATACAACACAGATTCATTGCCTTGAGGAAGAATTAATAATTCAATATCTCACATCATAAAATATGAGCACTTTTTATAATTAATCTTCAGAAAGATGTGTATTGAAGAAGAGCTTCAATGATTGATAAAAGATGAAGTGATTTCCATTTTAGGATTGGAACATAAAAGCGACATTCATCACTCCATAGATATTAATGGTAATATATTTAATTTTGTTTAACTAGTATCGGAAGAGTTTATTTGAAAAGTTTTTGAGTTTAAATAAACAATATATATTCACCCTTTTGCATTTTTATCCATTTATTTATCCTTTTCATCAAAATTCTATTAGATTTTGTAAGCTATCTACTATTACTATCATTAATTAATGTTAGATTAAGATGATATACCACTGTTATCGCCTTTAATCGGATAAATTTATTGAATAAAATTCCTTTCATTAAAATTTATTATATGTATCTTTTTTATAGTTAGATAAATAAAAAAACATTTGTTGCTTTTGATTAAAGGATTATTAATAGAATATATGAATCCAAGTAATTTAGTTGTTTGTCCAGTTACTTGCCAGTGGTTTTACTTACTACTTCTACTTAAAATGCAGAGAAGTAACAGTGGGGTAGAAAAAAACAAACAAATGTGTCGCATGTGCCAGTAATAATTACCAGTATCGTCGGAAAAAAATCATTAATCCTCGGAAAGATTTTTTACGACTTATCATCACTTTAGATCGACTTAATTAATTATCGTTAATTTCTTTTTAAATGATTTCTGACCTTATTTTTGATGAATTTTAATTAACTTAATTGTTTTCTAATTTAATGAATCTTAAAAATTATTTTATATTACTACAATTTTTTTTTTACTAAATTCGATAGTAATAGTTAATCTATTTTGCGATTTTTATCGATTGGGATATTACACAATGCTGATCGATTAGCTTGCAAAAGTTTACTATTATGGTTTAGCTTTTACGCGTTCAACAAAAGGAATAAAGTAACAATAAAAATCATAGACCAGTAGCATGAGTTGTTACAGAATATTTGAGATGATATTTTGTTTTCTATCGTGAGTTAATGTTTGTATAATTTAATTCTAATGTATCAATTTCTAAAATATCTTATAATAATTTATTTTTTTCTTAAACGTAGAGAAATAATAAATAGTAAGTATTCAGTATTCTACTTTATAACAACTTCAGTACAAATTAACTAGCATTTAAACAAAGAACATCAATAAAATACTAGTAATTATTCTAGACTCTAAACCAGAATGTTTTATTCGAATTAACGATAATCTCCTGGAGCATCAACCGCTGTTTCTGCATCCCACAATAGAAAAGGGATTCATTTATCCTAAGGAAGTTGGTACAAATGTTGTGGTGATAAAATCCGGTGATTCAATCCGTTTAGCTTGTCCTGGAAGTCACATTTTATTGAACACAATAAAGCTTTATGAAAATGTGCTTTTTCAGTGTAGTGAAGATTATTTATTCTCTTTCATTGGAGAAAATATTAAAATGTCAATTTATCAAATCGTTTGTGATGAACATCCACGTCATGCTGCGAGAAAAACATCACGGTCATGTGAAATTGGAATAATTGGAGAGATTGGTTTTTTTATAACTAACAACAAGTTGATTTTCAATTTTATATTGCTTAACTATCTTGTTATATAACTGAATGATTTTATTAGATTACATTCAATTAAATGAATCAATTAATGAATATTTATTTCATTCAAACAGAAACGAGGAATTTTATAAAATAATTGATTTCTGTCATAATGAGCAGTGGAGTCACACAGTTTACGCCCACACTCAAATTCCAGCAGTAATTAATGCAGCTGCTAGGAATGTCCCTTATCCAGGATTTGTGAAAGGTGAATTTTTCCAAGGAATTGCTATTAGCAAAATTTATACTAAAAGAAATCAACGAGAAGTTCTTGGAGTGATTTTGAATAATAAAAGTCTGGCTCATCATTATATTCAGTCTACAGGTTCATTCTTTTTATTCATTAGCTTAATTTATCACTTTTGAACTATGTCATGAAGGTCAATATCCTGAACAATTATTTGTATAGTAAGACAAGTGCTGCTTAATGATATTTCAGGACTACTAGTAATGAAATATAATGGAATTAACATTTATTTTCATCATCGTAACTAAACAATTTTCAAAATGACATTAAGAAGTATTTTTCTCACGTTAATTATTATTTATTTGAATAAATATTTTAGCATCCATGTGGAACTTATTATTTCTTGCGTAATTATTGAAGATTTATTGCATTGAATTAAATATAAAGATAATTAACTGAATATCTGAATTTTAGGTAGTTATTATTTAGCAAGAGGACACTTGATAGCTAAAAGGGATTTAATTTATGCAGCTCAACAACGTGCGACATTTTATTACGTCAATGTGGTGCCAATGTGGCAGAGCATCAATAATGGAAATTGGAAGAAAATAGAAATAAGCATTCGAAATTATGCCAGTCATAAAAAGTGCAATCTTGAAGTATGGGCAGGTACTTTAGAGGTCTTACAGCTAGAAGATACTTATGGAAATCCTCAGAAAATTAATTTATTCCATCAAAACCATGAAGACCAGACAATACCTGTACCAAAGATATTATTCAAAGTTGTATATGATAAAATATCTCGGGCTGGTATAGTTTTCTTAACAGCAAATAATCCTTACTTGGAAAAATTCTTAGAAAATGATTATATCATTTGTGAAAATGTCTGTGAAAAGATTAATTATATTGCGTTAGATAAAAGATATGACAGAGGATATTCATATTGCTGCAGTATTAATGATTTCAGAAGGTCTTTCAAGTATCTACCATATTTTAGGACAGACAAATTATTAATTTAGTAGTTCTCATGGTAATATTCTCAACAGGTGCTTGGACAAAGTAAACAAAATATCAATTAAGTATCAATGAATTCATATATTTTAACATTTCAAATTATACAGTTTTAAAAAAAAAAATTTTACAAACGTATGAAATAAAATGATGCGAATATTTTTCATGCAAATTAATCATTGTTTTGTGCTATAAAAGTCATGGTAAAGAAAAAAGCCTACCGAGTTGGGGTCATTGCTTTCTTAATGATCTGTGTTGTTGAATAATCAATCAATTAATAAGGAAGTATGATAGAGTAGATAGTCTATGAATAAAACTAGGAAGTATTAATTAAAAATAGCTAGTAGGTGATGTATTGTTTGAAAATATTTTTTGTGTCTAGTAATTAGCATACATTGTTTAATGAACAAATACATTTTGTAACATGAAAATTTTTATTAATCATATAGAATGGAAAAAATATTTGTTAATTAATTGTTGGACGATTTAATGATTTATAAATATAAATATTAATAAAATTAATGAAACACTCCCAGATAAATATATTCTCTAATAGCTAATGATCAACAGAGAAGAGTACAAAATGATTTTGCATTAAGTATTTGCGCAAACATACTTGTCATGAAGCTTTCAGCTTTTATTATCTATTAATATATTAATATATACCTGAAAAATGTATCACTAAGTCTAATAATATAATAATGATTTATATTTTTTTATTCATAAATACTTATGGCACAACTTTAAGTACAAGAAAGTAATGAGAGCATCAAAAGTTGAAACTTCATTTACTATATTACATAGACATCTTATTGAATTTTAAGTTAATTTAATTCACTTTGTGAACTTGTCTTAATATTAATTATTTTATAATTGCATTTTCTACCTAAGTACTTATAAACTCGTCATTTAATGTCAGGCACGTAACTATTATCATTTTCATAATCAATAATAAGTATCAATGAAGTCAATAAGTTATTGTTTTTATTATTTTTATTTATAATTTGGTCATCAATTTTTATTTTCAATTCTCAAATTGATACTTGTGATTTCAAAAATGAAATCGATTGTTTTACAACTTCAACATATCTTCGAATCTTCATTAGATCATTGGACTTAGCTCAATTTATATCAAAATTTCTTAAAAAAACATGAATTTTTAAATTTATCTAGTAAGTCTATTAGTTCGAATAAGTATATTTTGCAGTCAACACTATTGTGCTTTGACTTTCTAATTAAATTAGCTCGTATTAGGGCCACAAAAGTAGCGTAATAAACATTATTGCACTAAAAGGATCACAGTTCACAAAGTATGAAACATATTGCTTCTATCAACCAATAAAGTTATCAATACATAATCATAATTATAAGAAACAGGTTAACTAATTCACATTGAAGAATCGTTGATTACGTTATAATTTAAAAAAATTATCATCATCAAAATTTTCTACACTTTTAACTCTAATATCTTATCATTTTATACCATAAAAAAATATTGGAAAACTTATTATTCGACCAATACAACGCACTCAATAGTATAATTTAATTTATCAGAAGATCTTTAGAACACAAATAATTTTTAAAAAAAATCAATATTAAAAAAAAAAAAATTATTTTAATAAATAAATATGTAAATATAAAAATTAAAAAGAAAATTATTTTTGATAAAAATAATAAAAATTTATGACTAGATAAACTTTAATGAATTTAAATACTATTAATTTGGTAACCAATAAGTAGATAGTTTGAATTATTATTTTTTTTTTTTTTTTTTTTTATATATGTATACCAATTTGTTTATTTTACAACCTAAACTATATTGTCATTCTCATTATATTTGTGACAGTATTTTATCAATAATTGTTCGTTCTAGAGACCTTCTTTTTATTTAAGTTTCCAGCGATAATTTATTATTCCAATACCTTTGTGAGTTTAAGTAAGTATATAGAGAGAAAGAGTAAAGTGAAACTCATCTATGATGATCGACAATAATACCTCGGTCATTCCAACTTATGGTGGAGCCGAGTATGGTGGGTTTTGTCAGCAATTCTGATTGTGTCTCTCGTCGCCAAAGTATGAAACTGATACCACATCGCCACCAACATTAATAAGACATTGACCCTGAAAATTTAACGATTGTAACGATTCAATTAAATGTTAATTAGACAATCAGATATGTTTTTTAATTGTCTTTAGCGCAGTCAAGTGTTCAATGAAGTATAAGAATTTTAAAAGAGCTATCACTAGAAAAATGTTAAAAAGGAAAATAATTCCATTGAGGGTTAATAATTAGAGGAATGAAATATGCAGTGGAATATTCTTTGAAAACGTGATCGTATTTATGACAGAAATAAACAAGCGATGTACAAAAGGCGATGTGTTAAATGATATGCATATATGACACGGAAAAATAATATTTCTTTTGCGCTCTTGAGTTTATTCAAAGGCAGACATGCGGAAAATTGGATTTAGTGTTCTTTGATGATCTTTTATTGCTATTTTATCGATATAAATAGTTTTTTATACTTTGAAAAAAATTACGAAGAAAAGTCCAGTAGTTATAATGATAAAAATTACACAAAGGAAAATTTATAATTAATTAATGATAGAATTTTATAATTACTTGATGCTTGAACGATCAAAGTTCAATGATTTTCACGAAAAGAAATAAACAAAGAAAATAATTATGAGTAACTGGTCTATCTTTTCCTGTTACGCACGAAAAAAATCCTGGACTTAATTAGTTGATTCAGGTTTTCAAATTAAGAGCAAAGGTGAAAGACTGACTAATGTGACAATTGATCAAGGAGACGGGAAATTGAGAAAAAGCTATTTACACGGCATACAACTGTTCTTTTAAATGAATATAAAGAGAATCATCTCTAAGCAAAAATGCAATTGTCACGAGACATTTTTATCCATGTCAGAATATAAAAAAGCTTTTTCCTCTAATAATAAATCGTCTAAGTTGATAGACAACAATGCCTTCTAATCTAATTTTTCTGTATGAATATTTATAAAAAAGTAGTTTTTTTTTAGTGTCTCTAAATCGTTTTAGAATTTTTAAAAAGATTGAACGATAAAAGTGATAAGTTTTGCTTTTTATCAAACAATTAACGACTGATTTTTATGTTGAAAAATTTATAACATTTTTTATAATAAACATTTTTAACTGTTAAGGGCAAGGGCTACTTGAATTACAAATGAGAGATAAAAAGAATAGAAAGAAATGATAGCAATAAGATCATGATTTCTGACTGTCATGTTTATCGTTTTCAAGTATGAGGAAGATCCTCTATTTCTTTTCTCAATTGGATTTCAAGGGTTCAAATGACTTAAACCAATAAAGATTCTTTGCATGAAGCGTGAAATTGAGCAAGGTTTGAATTTATGTAAAAAAATACGAACTCAAAAAATTCGATAAAAGCGTATTTTTATACAAAACAAAATGCAGTACCAAAAAGTCAAGGTCTTGCGGATAAAAACTTTATCATACTCCCGCTGTGGGGATTTATATTTAAATAAATTCGTACAAAAATTTGTTAAGCAAAAACCAACAATAAAGACTTTTCTCGAAAGTGTTCAGAAAGGTTTATATAAATTATTTCATCTGTTAATATAAGTTTCTATAAATACCTGATTTTTATGTGGGCTGTGAAGAAGAACGCATTGCGTCATAAAAAAGGCAACCATGGCATTTCCTCCCAATGCTGTTATATGAGCTCGAACAATAGCCAAAACTTCTGTTATAAAGCTGTGAGTGAAACCACTTAGTCCTCCATTCTATAAGAAAAGTTAATGAATAGTTACTCCGATATTTTATAGATATAGATGAACAGCAAACATCAAACACTAAACATTGTAAGTCAATAGAAAATTTTTTATGATATCAATATTACCTCTCTAATCGATGTACTTTCCCTGATAAAGAAGAAGTTCAAATTTCCTAAGTATCGTTCAATTCTTCCACCCGGAAGATAAGACAAAGGAGTTATATCAACACCATATCGTTCTTTCAGAGGAACCTTTAACAAGTAATAAAAAGTAATTAGAATATTACTTAAGTGTAGTTTAAGTTTAAGTCTTTATTAAAAATTTTCTACATTTTAAAGTTAAATGAAATATATTAAAACTCACATGTTTGTGCTTATGCTGCCCATGTGACTTTGTTTTGAATGGTGATCGGGGTCTTGACTTATGTGTTTGATTCGCAACTGGTGAAGAATTTGGTATGGATGTATGCGACTGATTTATTGTTTCCAATGCACTTGAATTTTCCGCTTGATCTTCATCCAAATTGAATATCAAATCATTATCGTCTGCATAAATACATAACAAGTTCTTATTAATACCAGACAATGAAATAATTCTATAAGAATTTCCTACATCATGAATTCAAACAATTAAGTTACCATTTTTCTTCAGTATATCTCTACTCGTAGAATTATTGATGCCCTTTCGTTTATATTTACTAATTTTTGAAGGCTCTCCTAATCCAAGTGCCATTCCAACAACTGATAATTGTATTTCATCTTGTTCAGGAAGTGCAACTTTAAATTGCATATCACAAAGAGCGCAAGGAATCATCCGTCTCAATTTAAAGAAAACAGTCTGAAATATAAATGTCTTCAATGTATTTCTAATGAACTTCAAAAATCCATTATTGTAATTGTTATTACTTACCTGAAGTAATCGAGCAAAATATTTAGAAGGCATTGAAGAATACTGTCCTGCAGGTATTTTCGTTCTTGATATTTGCGTAAACATTTGTAAATTTCTCACAATTTCCAGATCATCTAAACCAGGTATTGTTTGAGTATTAACAACATGGAAATCTTCAGGTGGTCTTTCATCCATTAGAAGATTTATACGATCAATGTCTTCAATATCGTCTACTTCAAGGATACATGCATCTTTTGTACCCAATCCTAAATCAAGATCAGGCAAATCATCATCTGATTCATCAGTATCTGATGTTGCAACATTACGGCCATTTTCAATTTCCTTAAAAAATGATTTAAACTTTTAATGTATAGATTTACAAAAATGATTATTTATACAGGACTATTGATTTTAGTAATAATACTTACAGTTATTGGCTTCAATCTATATAATTCTCGATTTTTTTTAACAGTTTCTATCAAAGCTTTTTGCATTTCAGCTAATTGATCTTCTTTATGCCAAGAATTTCCTGAAGCAATTTGTGGGATTGAAGGACTTGGTAATGCTGTTAAAAATACTGCAGTTCCAACAGCCATACCCACAATAAGTCTTTCTCCTATTGAAATTTGAACTTTCAAACCAAATATAGCATTCATTCCTTTAACTTTGAGCTTATTAAGCAATAAACTATGCAGTTCGTATTCTAAAAATGGTAGACAGTCTGAAATTTCTTTAGCATTCAATTCACCGCGTAAATCTCGTTTGCATTTACAAACTGTTGCTTGAATGAATACTCCTCTTCCTGTAATCGGAATATTATCAGGCAATTCGATAGTTGTAAATAAAACGTCAGGAACTTTAGCTCGTTTACAAATGGCACATTTTGATACGTCCACTTTAAACGGTACACTGGCTTCATTATATGGTAAATGACATAAATTGCATGCATTATTGAATGGAATATTTGGTATTTCGTGATCATTACTTTCAGAAATACGTTTAATTTTTCCGGTTAACATATTGGTTTGTCCTGATATTGGCACTTCATCTTTTTCATTGTTATTCTTATTATTTATTGATTTTTGTTGATTTTTATCTGCTTCTGTTGAGCTAATTATTGCTGCTTGCTGATTTTTATTGAGCAAAATATCTTGATCTTGATTTGAGTTGAGCAGATTTATTACAGCGGCAGTTCCAGAGGCATTGAGAACACATACATCATCACTAAATACAAGTTTTATAATAAATTAATTGAATCATCACATAAAATTTTGTCTTGTAATCCCAATAAAAATAAATCTCACCATATACTTATTTCTTCTTTGTAGCCTAAGACAACATTACAACCTAATGCTCGAGCATGAGATCTCACTTCCATTCTAATTTCAGTCCACCAGGCATCTCGACTTTCTGGCTCTTCTAGATTGCTTATCCTTTCTATTAATTTTACTGATCTAGCACTAACTAAACCTCCTGTATATCAAAAAATATATATTACTATTTAGTATAAGACCTATTTAATTATATTTTACATATTTAAAATAATTAAAATGATAATAGTACCTAAATTCAATACAAAGCCTGGTGGGTAGTGTTGAATAGTTATGAAAGGATATTCGAGCATTTCTAAAGCATCTTGATTCATCGTTCGTACAATTGCAGCTGATGGTTTCAAGTGTGTTCCCATTGATCTGTCACTTCCAGCTAATGAATTGCCTAAAGTTATAGAAAACAAAGAAAAAATTAATTATTTATGAATAGAATTCACATTTTTTTTTATAGAATCTAAAATATTTTTTCATTACAACGAATATAGTCAATACTGGTTGAAAAAAACTTAATCAACGTTAATTGACAATAATTAAGTTATAATAAATATATTAACTCGAATCAGTTTATTTCAATATTTTCAAATTCAAACAAATTTCACATATATTTTATTTATTGAAGCATCAACAGCACATACATTTTAGACATGTTGTTTTGTAAATAATACAATTTTGTTATTTTGAATAAATGAATATTCAATAGCATGCTAAAAACAACAAATAAAAATTAAAATTTATGGACGTGCAAATAACTGACTGAGATTTATTAGAGATGTTATAACGTAACGATTAATTATTTTATTGAAAGTTGATTGTGCATAAAAGTATTATAAATTAGACTGACAGTAATGTGAGATGATATCTGTAATAAACGAAGAATGAGAACTAACATTTAATAACGATGGAATTAAAAACAATACTACGGGGTTATGATATGTAAATATGATAACAGTAATTCACCCTACAAGTTCTGACAATTTTTCGAAAAATTATGTCTCAAAAATTGCCAATATTTTTATTACGAAAAAATTTTCAGTAATATGATTGGAGTTTTTTTGTGGCTAATTCCATTACCAATTATAATTTTTTATTTATTATAATATAACTATTTTTCAGGTCTTCTAGGGTCTAGATTCGATTAAGGACGACATTTCAATAGTGAAAATCACTTCCCTGGTGGTACTCACGTTTATGAAAGAATTTACAAAATCCTGGCAGGAGAATTAATGATAATGGAACAGAAAAAAAGATAATTTCCCGATATCGTTTGTAGATGAAAATGCAGTGATAAAAAATAATAAATTATATGGTACAGAGGTGATTGAGGCACAACACACGTGCATTTGATACAGAATTATCTAATTCTACAATTTTTTTTTTTTGAGTAATGAATAAAATAAAATAAATATATACAGCATGAATAAATGAAGTAACAAATAATTTTGATATGTTGATCAATTTTTGCCAGGAGTAGAAAATTTTGTTTCTTATTGTTCCTCTTTCTCCTCTATACATCATACTACATTCAATGGACACACTCTAGAAAAATTATATAATTCCTGCAAGGAGGGTCCAATACTTGTCACAGTAAAAATATCATTACATTGATGATAATAATAATAATAATAAATAACTAGAATCTTCAAAAATTTTGACACTCCAGAAGCGTTGAATTGCACTGAACTATTATTCAAGACTTTCATCCAATATATTATCAATAAAAAATTGTAAACTTTACCTTTCGGAGTGATGCTTAAATCAGAATCACTAGATCTTCTGTGTAAAGGAGCTTTAGAGGCTGGTGAGTTGTTAACTTTAGCCCCAACTGATGCAGGAAGAGCAGATGCTGGGTGTACTGGACTTGTGGGCTGATCATTTTGTTGTCTAGGGCAGAAAGGCGGGCAAGGCACACACGGGTCATTCAAATTAGCAATGTTAGTAGTTTTAGTTATTGGCAATTGATTTTTTAATTTACCTAAACTACCTTCACTATGACTTTTATGAACTGCAGGATCAATTTCAGTAGGATTTAGTAAATTTTCTGCATTAATTAATGGTTTTATAACATCCATTGCTATCGAATTATTATTAGCTTCATCTTTATTATTTATTTCTAAATTATTATTTACAGCTAGTTGTTTTATAGCAGTTGCTCGGTCTTTAGATTCATCTAAGTCTTCAATAATTGCTATAGGAATTATTTTGTCTTTTAAATTTGAAGGTTGAGGATCAGTGAAGCAGGTAGGATTGCTTTTAGGTACATTTTCTAGTGGGATATCACAAGAAGATGCATTCTTTTTCAAAGATAATGATGAAGAACTTGGTACTGGTGGAATTGATGCATGAGAGGAGGCATGATTAATATTTTGATGACTATGATGATGATGGTGATGGTGGTGATGATGGTGGTGCTTTTCTGGAGATTTTGATCTAGAATTTCTTCGGTGTAATCTAACTTTTCTAATAGAATCTGGAGATGGAGTCGTGCTGATAACTGATTTATCACGACGTCTTTTTTTACTTCTTGTCGAATCTTTTCTAAAGTGAGGGCTATGAACCATCAGCTTTGTATCAATTGTTTTCATTAAATCGAGCATACAATGCTGTCGAAATTTACGTTGAAATCGCTCACTAATTAATTGAGGATCCACAAAAACTTCTTGAGTTAGAGTATTTTCAATTGTAGGAGGTGGTGAACTACCTTTAGGATGTGGACTGTGGACTTTAATATCCTTTGTGTCAGCCATAGGGACTCGTAAATAACAATCTGGCTCTGCAGGAGGAGCTACAACAATCGCTGGCGCTGTCGATGAAGTGTTTGAAATTTTAGGTGTAGGTTGAATTGATTTTAAAAATTTATCATCTTCTTTATGGTCCATTAATTGGAGAGTATTCTGTTTTTTTAAAGGTCCTCTATAAATAACCGTTTCTGTTCTCGTAACTTTTTTCGATATTTTCTCTTTTTTCTCACTTGAACTTTTTGATGATTCCAATGACCCTGAATGGAATAAATATTTTTTATATGGGACAAAAGGTTCCTGAGTAGTCAATATCTCTGATTGAATTATACAATTATCTACTTTATTTGCTAATTGTTTTATGTGACTACTTTTTTCTTTTAGCACTTTAGCAGGTAGTGCTTGATCAATTTTAATTTTATCGGGTACTTCTTTGAATATATCAGTATTTATAGCTTTAGTATCAAGGTCTTCAGTATTTTCTAATTTTTTTCTATCCGGAATATTTGTATCAACTTGGTTTTCGACTTTGTCTTCATTTTGATTATTTGAAGTCATTCTTTCAGTTGGAAAATTTTCTTTATCATCTCTTTTTATTTTTTCATAATTAGTTAACTGGATATCTTGAAATTTCATTTCTTTTTCAAAATTAATACATGTTGTTTCTTGGACAAAAACATTATTTTTCAAATCACTTTCAGTTGTTTTATTATCTTTAAAATTAACAACCGAGAGTTCTTCATTAGGCATATTTTCTCTTAAGCTCTTTTCAGTTTTTTCATCAATTTTTGCTTCATTGGGAATTGGTATTTGATGTATAACAATGCTTTCAAGTTGATCACTTTCTTTATCAATGATTTTTGCTTCATTAATTAAAACGTTCGCTTTATCGATAAAATCTTCATTACTGGTTTCATTGGAAGTATCTTTTATTATTATTTCTCGAACTTCAACTCCCAAGATAGAATTTAATTGTTCAGGATCTGAATTAAAATCAATTAATGGTTTAAATAAAGGCTCCATGTAAGGCTCTGCTGAAGCAAAAAAATCAGGGACTGGTAGAATAGCTTCAAGTTCAGATTTTAATAATAAATCACATTGTTCATCAATTGGAGTACTCATTGCTGGAAATAAAAATTCATCAGACTGATCAATACTTTCTTGTTTGACTAAAAATTTCAATTTACAACTTGATGATGATTTTAAACGTGACTCTATAGGAGCATCAATTTCATCAGGCTTATCAGAATCATGAGATTTATTGATTTGATCATTAACATTAGAGAGCAACGAATATTCGATAGAAGTTTGTTCGTCTTCGGGACTAGAAGGTGCTGATGGAAGTAAAGGAGTAAAACTCTCATCAGGGCTTTCATCGGAATCTAAAATTAAATTTTCCGGTAATGATGTTTTTTGAAATCTCTTACTAAAGTTTTCAGATTTATTTATAAAATTATCTCCTTCGATATCCATTAAACTCAAGTTCAAGTGAATTTTCTCAGCTTCAGAAATTTTTTCTTCAATCTTTTCTATTCTTTCCTTTACTTCATCTAAGTTTTCCTTCAGAATAAAACTGGATAATATATTATTTTTCACATCCTCATTGTTATCGTCACCAGAATGATTGGTGATAAGAGAATCATGCAGGATATTGTAATTTGTGCTTGATTCAGAAGGATCGTCGTCTTCAGAAGATGAAGTATCCGTTTCCGATGAAGACATCATTGGAATATTTAGATTATTGTCAAACTTTATGCTCTCTAAACATTTCTTTTCTGTAGCAGTAAAAAGTTCATTTGTTATTTTTATTCTATCATTTTCTAGTTTTTCTTCTGCTTCTTCCATTTCTGGCTCTTCAGGGATTCTATTTTCTATTCCAATTATATTATCAACATCTTCGTCTAAATTAATTATAGTCTTATATTGACTATCGTTATTTATTGATTCATCATTTTTGAATAGCTTAGAAGAAGATTCATTTTCTCCGCGATTATTCAATAAATTAACAGGTGACGGAGTTGGTGTTTCTCGATCTTCGTGAACGCTGTCTAAAGGAAATCCTGCATGAACTGATCGAATCAATGAAGCGACTCCACTTTCTGTTGAATTTTTTTTATGAGTAAACTTTTTTCTTCGAATTTGCCGTAAATCTGAAACAGAAGATTTTGTGGAATCTGATCCTACAATTGACCAAGAACTTGAATAAGTGCTGTCTTGGTCGCTTTCATCATCAAAAGAATCAGAAAATTTGGATTTCATTTGGATAACTCGTTTTGGAAAATATTTAAGATTTTTTAAACTGCGTGTAAAAACTGAAGTTCGTTCTCCACGCATGTCTTCAAGGGCCAACATCATTTTCAAAGAAGATTCTGTTATTAAATCATCAGACAAAGATAAACTTGATGCCCCAGTTTTCTTAATATTAGATGGACTGTTTTGTAATGACATTTGCTTTTTCAAATTGCTTGTGTGATATTCTGTAACTCGGACAGAATTTGACCGTATAGGATGTCGTTCAGTTTTTGGAAAGCGATTTCCAATTTGAGTTTTATGAATGTTGGTTGGTGAATGAAGTATAGGACTATAATTAGGAGATTGGGAAAGAAGTGGCAGACTATCATCACTTTCTGAACACTCGAGCTGATGTTTAGAATGAAAAGAGTAACACGCGAGGCTGTTCCATGCAGGCAAAGATAAAAAATAGTTAAATTAATTCTTCTTTTACAAAAATTATTTTAAAATTACTTGTGTTTTTAATTCGACCGAATATTTTTTACTAGATCTGTACTGCTATACGTCATTTTTTACTCTTAATAGATAAAATTGTAAAATGTTGTATAACAAAATATTTTTTTAGCATAAAATATTACTCACTCTTCGATATTCGTGGTTTCTATTAGTGAAGTAGTCATATCTTGAAGCTTTATAAGCGTTACTGCAGTTCCTATTCCACGTGCAACTATGCCTGATTCACCTTCCAAGTCAAAATTCTGAACATATCTGAACAAAAATATTTAATTCATGTAAATTGGATATTCATTTCTTTAAATAAAAAAAAACAATAAATACCCAATAACAGCATTTCCTCCAAGATCCATAGCCTTCAAACCAATCTTTCTCTGAACTTCCCCGCTAATTTTAAAAAATAAGGTTTGTCGTGCTTCGTTTGATGCTCTTGGAGTTCTTATTTTATCAATCCATTTATACTCTGGATCATCGCTTACTATTAGCTCTTCTACGAAACCGTGTATGACTTGTGCATGATATCCATGTGGTACATTTGGAGCTGCATATAGACATAATTTTTATAACAAAAATAACATCTTACATTTTCTTTATACTTACAATAAAAAAACTGCACGCCACAAGATGACTGTCTAAATTTATTAAAGTCTGAAAACAATTCAACCTTAACTATTATATTCACTTCTCCTCGAATCCCATGCATTGTGTCATATACTGGAATCCATCCAGTCATAACTGAACCTAGAAAATATTTGAAGAATAATTTACGACATAACATTTTGTTGATAATATATGCTTGTATTTTTTAAATACCTCCTTGAGCACCGGTGCTAGAGTTCATGTTTGCTTCTAATGTCCAAATATTTTTAACAGTAAGAGGCAATCCAGGTAATAATAAAGGATTTAAATTAAGGTAAACTTTTCCAATGGCATCGTTTGCAGAATAAGTATCATGATCCATGAGTCTTATTTGCAATGGTTCATCTTGTAATTCAGCATCATCAACTTCGAATCTATACCATTCTGTGTTCCACTGGGGATTAAGAGTTTTTCTGCATACATCAGTCTTATATGTCGTAGTACCGAATTTTATTTCAACATAGGCATCCGTTGTATCTCCTGATCGATCCATTACTGGCAGGTTTCTACCTGCCAATATTTTGACCTTTATTTTTCCAGGCATCGCTTGCGATTGTCATTCAAATTCTGATACGTTATATATTCTAAAAAAAACAAAGAGTGATGTCAATCAAAAAATTTCATTTAACCATTTCTTTGATGATAATATTTAAAACATAATTAGTTAGAATATTCGGAATCGATTGCACTCATGCAATTAAAATAAATATGAGCCTTATATTTACTTTAGTTGCTTGATAAATATTTAAAGCAGTGATTTAGATGATATAAATATCTATTTTTGACTTTTAACTTTCAGTATTATTAACTATGTTAAATCTCAAGATATCCGTGACGTATAAATTCACATGGGCATATAAAAATATAAGAAGAAAATCTTTATATTAACGGCTTAAAAAGAATATAAATAACTTACTCTCTTCACTGATAATTTAATAGGTTAAGATGATCTATTATGAAAATTTTACTGACTTTCACTTCGATACTTGAAAATTAATTAAGGATTAGATAATATAATTAATAATTCGCTCAAATTCAATAAAATCATTATAAGTTAGCGGTTAAAATTATGATCTAAATATAAATTAAATTTTTCGGAGCACAATTCAATGTGTTGTGATTATTTTTGTGTACTAACTACTAAACTCAACCTACAATTTACCGACGTATTCATAAAAAAGTTATAGATGTCGCTAATGTCTAAATTCACTCGCCATAGATTGGCTTATGTTGGAAAGTTTTTAATCCACCGCCAGATAGCAACTCTTTAATATTTTTTACATAGGATGAACATTTCAAGCTTCATTCCGCTGTTGACCTCATATGTTTACTACGCACATTGTCCTCAATGGCGGAAAAATAAACAATAAAATCGCAAAATCTACTTCTTATAGTATTCAATCATAAAATAAATTGATTCAAATATATTATATGATGGAGCCTGATTCAGGTTTGTCAATTTTGATAATCAAATTAAGTTCTCCATTTTTCATATCGCCTAAGCAAAGAATTATTAACATAATGTCATGTAGTAGCTCTTTATGTTTTCATATTTATTCAAAATAACGATTAAATAGTTGTCATTATTTAATATTGCGTTTTAATAATTAATAAAAGATTCAATATACCTGATATTTTTTAGATCAACCGGTAGTTTCAACTCAAAAGAAATTACAAGCTTCACATGATCCAGGCTGGAATGATCCACCCAAATGGGCATACAGTCCGACTCCAAATGTTAGCAATACTCCGACAAAGAGACTATTAAACAAAAGGGTGGCATTTCCACTTAATTCTGCTTCATCTACTCCATCGTCAATACAATCCTCATCTTCACACAATTTACCACCACCTAATTTACCTCCTTTAGTGCAAACTACTAATTTAACATCAGCACCTCATGCACCTATGTTAGCACCTTCAAGTGTCTCACAAGAATTTTCAGCTTCAGAGCATTTAATTGATAAAGAGCAAGCATTAAATGATACTCTGACTAATTTGCAAAGTTTAATCGTTGATTTAAAACTTAAAGAGGACAATAAAAAAGAGGATATACAAAAGAGATTGGAGGTAATGAAAAATATGTGGGAGGAAAATAAATTGACCGATCCAATTCATGAAAGAATTTTGCAGTTATCTGAAGGTAAAATAATTAATTGAAAAATAAAGTATATATTTATTTCATATATATATTTATTTATTTCAGCTCTCAAAGAAAAAGACATTGAAAAAGCTGATAAAATTCATATGGATCTCATCATGAATTATGCTGCTGTCTGTAATAGTTGGATTCCTGCAATAAGACACATTATTTTAGAAATGAGAGAAAAGAGTAAAAGTAATAGCAGTGCAGATGGTAAATAGTTTATTGCCCAATTCAGGAGGGAAGAAAGAGATTTCAATTCGCTTGTAAAATTGCCTCTTCAACTACCAGAGGATAACGATCATGCGAATTAAAATGGCTAACTTCTTTTCTATTTAATGCATGATTTTTTGTCATATTTTCTCGCAAAGTGTCTTTTTCAAGGAATTCGACTTTTCCGTGAAAATATGGAAACAAACAATTTCAATCAGTACTTTGATTACTTCCTATAGACTTTACAATATGGAATATTTCTTTATACATTAGATGTTATTGTGTTGATCTGAAGTAATATTCATTGACATTTTTATGATTAAAGTGTTATTTATATACAATTTAGACTCTGAAAACAGTTCGATAATGATGAAAAAATTGTGATGAATTAAATAAGTTAAGATAAAAATTGAATTAATTAAAGGAACATCATTGGATGTGATAATTTTCATAGGTACAGGGATTGAAGATAATGAATTGACCGATATTCTCGATGGTTAAAGCATCGGTGCATATGGGCAGTCGGTCATAAATAGATAGTAAATTTAATTGCAAGTCGTAATTCATGTACGAGCATCAGATGCGTTCAATTAATTGCACAAGTTTACTCGTGTAATAATAATATAATCCAATCTTTTTTAATGTCGTTTCATTATAAAGTCGTAACTTTATTAAATCTTTATGTGATTTTTTATTCATAGAAGAACTTTGTTTAGCATTTAAAATTAATGGATCAAACTAATTTATTTTTATGGTCCTTTATAAAAATACATAATACGAAGTAATTACTAATAATTTACTAATAAAAAAGCTAAGATTTTCAAGCAATGTCTTTGTGATATTTGTTTTATTAGTAAAGAATAAATAATGAAGATAATTTATGTATAGTGCAAGATTAATCATAGAAGATTTATTAATAAGTGGTAAATGTACCAATTTGTTAAAAAAAAAACCGTCAGAAGTAAATTTAGATCTCATTATACGTGATCTTGAAGGAAAAGTTCACTTCCTGACCAACAGCAGCATTTATCAATTCTTTCATTTGAAATTTTCATTCTTCACGTAGTTTAAGCTTTTCCGCTTTTCCAGAAGTAGAACACTTTGTTGCACATAAATTCCGATTCCTCTCCTAGTGAATTATCCATTAGACTAGGTATTTTACTATTATGGTTTCGAAAAATCGTGATATCGTGAACGCCCATTACCTGAGAAGATATTTTATGATTCACCGCATGAACGTACTGAGAGTTCATATGGAAATAAAGTTCAAATAGTTTTTTATGAATATGGATTACATTAAAATATTCAGTTATCTTCATTTTTATTATTATTTCTTCATAGGTGATATTTATCATATGAGACAGTAATGTGTTATAAATTTTAACGAGGTCATTTCAGTCATCATTATTAAGCTTAAAAATATTTTGTCAGTGAAATATAATTATTTTAAAGTTTTTGCTTAATGCAAAATTGTCAGCTGAGTATATTATTGATATGCATAAATCAAAAAAATTTCATAATTTATGAAATATTATTATGTAGTAATTCTATTGAAGTACATAGAGTATGTCAGTGTTGACACACGCAGAGAAATGTATAGTAAAAATTGCCCTGAGTTTTATAGTAATTTGGTGACACTGCAGGGTGAGGGTAAAAATTACTATACACATTGTAAAAATTATTGTGCACATTCTACAAATTACCATACTGCATAGTAATTTTCACCCTCACCCTGCAGTGTCACCAAATTACTATAAAATTCAGGGGACTTTTTACTATACATTTCTCTGCGTGCAGCAATACTTATTTTATTTAGTACCCAATAAGTTTTTTTTACACACAAAAAAAAGAATTCACATCAGTACTAAAGAAGGTTTTAATTATTCTTGGGACAATGTTCATAATTTTTGAGATAATATTCAAAGTTGAAAAGTTATTTCTATTTATAATTAATCAATAACTGTAATTTCTATATGCATGGATAATTAGTGAGTCGATTGATTCACTCGTAGTGTATCAGTGTTTTTAGTATTCTATCAATAAGGTTTAGACCGAACGCGTATCCTTTCTGTCTATGAATAATCAATGAATATTGTTTATGCATATAAATAATGAAAGGCCGTTAATTTTTCAAAAGTAGAGCGTCAACTATTCATTATCGAGAGTTTAGATAGCAACAGATATCGTTGAATTCATCGAAAATTAACAGCAAACAAATGAGACCACTACAAATTTGCACCCCACGTGCAAAAACTTGTTGACTATCCTGTTGAATATGCTCGTAATAATTACAATTTCAACGACTGTGTAATAGACAATTAACATAAAATCTAGAGTTACGGTACTAAAAATAATATCATGCTAGAATATGATATCGAGTCATACATGTCAATCGTATGGTTGTCATTATTAAAATAACATGACATTTTGAAAGCGAGGAAAAAATCTCATCACTTGGGAATTGAACTGCGATTAATTTCAATAGCAAAGAGGGTCATCGCAATGTTGGGTTGACTGATCAGAGGTCATTGACACATATTTATATGAATATGGGTTATTGATATGATAGAAAATAAATGGAATTAGAAAGAAAAAAATTAGCCATCAACTTAGTTGTTGTATTAAGGGGGATGTTGAAGTACTAGGGAGGTGAGATCTTGATGAGAAACAGTAGAAATCGGTGTCACTTTGCTTGGTGGTCGCCATAGCGTGGTAAATGGTGCTCGGCTATACTCAGGCAACGAACGAGGGGTGAGTGAGTGAGATGTAGGTGAGAGAAGAAGCGTAGGTAAGAGTGAGAGAGATAGCGAGAAGAAGGGAAATTCGTCCCGCGGCACGCTGGGCACAATATTGATCTGTAGGTGGGGTGGTCTTCGGATAGGGTGGCAAGCAGGCTGGCAGGTCGAAATGGTGGGGGTTGCGTGGTGGTCCAGTCCGCAGCTTCACGCGAAATCGCAAGCGGCTCTGGTAGGAGGCGGCCCCCTTGACAGCGGGGCTTCTGGATCGTAGGTGCTGCTGCGAGTAGTGAGCTTACTGTACCATCTAGCTTCATCACACCAAGGTATCTCAGTTACGCAGCAGCTCTACGCGTGAGCGGAGCTTTTGGGTCGTGCTGAGTCCACTTTTGTCGCGCCTTATTCAAACGCGCACAAAATTAAGGACTCTCTTCAATTTTGTGCACGTCGAATGTCATTTCCATTTAAAATTAAACTCTATTTATGGTGAAGTGAAGTCTGCAAAAATTTATTTCGTACAGAAATTTTATTTTTTGCAACTAATAAAAATAAAACACATTTTTATTTCTATTGTGATACAATATACTGTGCTAAATTATTTTCCCAACTGGAATTTCATTGAATATCTTCAGAGACAACACGAAAAATTCATCATTAAAAGTGTTTTTTTTTTTTTTTGAATCCCTGGTTTGCAGTTTAGATAAACCGCGTGGTGTTGCTTGGGATTGCCGATTAATCTTGGACGCCGGCGCTACTTGTCGTCGCCTTTTCACTCGGGTTATTCTGGAGGACTTTGGCCTTTGGAGCGCAACTACAGGAGGTGTGTGCTTGCGCTCAAGAGAAAAGAAAATTGAGAAGAGAGACTGAAAAACACCTGTAAGCGAACGCCTGTAATACCCGGAGGATATACAAGAGGAAAAAAATGTCAAATTAAATTAAAAGCTCCGGGCAAGTCTGAATTTCCGGGCTTCCTTTAACCAAGTTTACCTTACGTTCTTGGACGATCTTAATTCTGATGACGAAGCGAGCTTAATTCTCGTGCTCTCACAGAAAAATTAATTGACTGGTAAGGTTTTCTATACGTGTGAAAATCATCAGAAGATTCCTCTTACATCAACAACAATCATTTTTTTCTACCATCATTATCTCATTTTTTGTTCATCATTCTATAATGCATTCTACCCTGAATGAGTGAGTAAAAATGTGATAGGTTCTTGGCAATGAGCTGAATGGAAACCCTGTTGCTACGTGTATCATCACATTATTTTTGTTTGAAAAAAAATCTCCTGGAATCGTTAAAGACATCATGAACTTTAACGAAAAAAAATTGGATCATTTATTCTAGAAAACAGTCGAGATTTTTTGCTAGTTAAATGTTGAATACTGTTTTTCTGCTAGAATTATAACAAAGATGTTGGAATTTTTTAAATTAAATTTAAATTGTTAACTTTGTGTCCTATAGTCGAATATGACAGAATTATTATTAAATGTAGAAATTGGACAAAAATGAGAAGTGTTAATAATGGTGAAGAAGATAATTTTTGGCTTTAATTAGATATTATAAAAAAGGATAATTTTTAGGTATTTTAAAACATCATATTTACAAAGTAAACTCCCAAGAGGTAAAATTAATTCAGACATAAATTATAGATATAGTAGTAAATACTGATAGCTTTAATAGGATGATTTTACATAGCAATGCGTCCTACTTTTTTACTCAGGGGGATATGTACGCGATTTTGTTCCATTTACTGATGGAACAATGAAGAACATCAGTATTTATTCATTTACTCTAGCTTTTTTAGAATAAAACTAGAATTGTGTATATCTTACATTTACTTAAGAGCCATTTTCTTTCTTAATTTTCTTGTTTAATTCTAAAAAAAAACCAATGGCGATATTGAAATATATTTAAAGCTTTTGAAACACCGATAATAGTATTAGTAAATAAATATTGATTTAATGGGTTTGTTACGGTTGGTAATCGTTTTGGAATGGAGATTCGCTGATTCGATTGTTGTTACGTGTAGCAAATAATTCGAGACTATTATCGTTTCATTATACAGGTTGCATACCAACCAGAAATATATATGAATAATAAGTACCAATAGGTTTTGAAGTTTTATACAGTGTAACTTCATTTTATGTTTTGTTGAGTTGGTTGAATTTAACAACAGAAGGAAACGGAAGAAGTAACAATAACTGTCGAGTAATGAAGGGAAGTTTGTGAATATTTTTGTTGTTGTGATCGTTCATAGTAATATGGTAATTATCAGGATGGCATTTTATGATTTTGGCCATTTTTGGGTCAAAATAAAATATCCAATACCATTGGTAGTTAGATGATGGCTTAATAGTATGTAAAAGCTCGATGAAAAATATTTATAAAGATTTAAATATTGGGGAGAAATATGTACGAATGACAAAAAATTGATATTTAGAAATGTTTTTTAACGTCACTTCAATATTTTTGCTATTGAAAAAAAGTTTTTTAGATAGCATATAGTTGATGGATTATTAATAAAAACATCAGAAAAAATTACGAAGGCCAGTCATAAAATATGGAGGTATTTTATCAACAATATTGTGCATAGTTCGACTTGTGGCATATTGGAGGGCTGTTGGAATAGGGCAAAAACGACGTGTTATCTGACTTCCGGTTCGCAAATCACCGTCATTAATAAATGAGCGCAAAAGTGGGATGGAGAGATAGTCTCATATTTTTTTTGACTGGTCACAGGACATACTAGAGAGGAAAAGACAAAGAACAGATACATCATGAGGGAAGAAGTTTTATCATTTTTTCCCTCCCTTATTTGTTTTATTTGAATTAATCAATTATCTTTAAAAGTATGTGTTTCTAGTCTGAATTAATTTTTGCCTTCTGGGGGTAAATCAATCAAATAAAAAAGCACAGGAAAAGTCAAGATAAAAGATACAGAGAAAAGTAGACTGAAAAAATAAGAGGAATCTTCTGTGTTAAAGCTCCGTTTGATGAGGAAAAACTTGAATGTCCACTGATCTACAGATTTTTTTTGGTGTGGACGAAAAAATTCTAAGAAGATAGAAGGAAAAATAGTGCCAAGGATTAAGGGGAAAAGAGATAAAAAGCATGAAAGACGAATGTGTGATGTATTGGGGGCGAAAATAATCGCTCATTTTTCCAAGTTCATGTCCATCACTCAGTGAAGATTTCCAGAAGACGAGTAGAAAGGAAGGAAGATTTAGCCGGGTATGACGGCCAAGTCGGGAGGTCGGCGGGAGTTTATGAAGACTTCGCGTGTGTAGTTAGAGGCCAAGGTGTCCACAGTCACGTTCAAGTTGACAAAGTGGATCAAAAATAGTTTTTATAGAAAAAGAAGGATGAAAATCATAAGTCACGAGTAATTATACTTGGTAAACTCCTTCCTTGGAGTAACATGCGGCAGTAGTGTAGTGCGTTAAAGTGCTTAGTGAAATTTGGACATCTAAAAAATTGCAATTGGAGCTAATAAGATACGAAAAAAGAAAATAGAAGACGTATTTTGAAAGCGTAAAAGACCAAGATGATGTGTTGGATGTTGGAAAAGAGAATGAGGATCACCAGCATGAAGACGAAAAGCAGAGAAATAAGGACAAAAAACGTCTTCGTACTCAGCCGCCTCGGGTTACAGTCTCCGATGTTGAGCCTAGGCTTTATCCTCATGCTGCTTGCAACCGTGCCGCAAGGTGAGTACTTGCATTTTTCCATTTGTGAATCCGCATGTATACTCTACACCAGCAGATAACCCGTAGGCTTTTTTATCCCCATGTACTCGAGAGTGATAGAAATCCTCCGGAAGAGGGGTCGACATGCTTTAGGGGAGTTTTTCAAAGACTAGGGCTAGGGCTGCTTTGTTTCCCAGCAACTCCTCAGAAGTGTGCTGTAGAGAAAATAGAACAACGTGATGTATCAGATTATTTTTAATCAAAAAATCCGTAAATTGATGTGCGTATAAAATTCTTTATTTTCTCATTAATTATTTTATTATTAATCTTATAATTCTTATTTATTAAATAATTTTATAATATTTCATAAACTTGCATATTAATATGATAACATTAATTCTACAAAGGAGTATAATTATACACTCAAGTAATTTTAAACATATGTTATGGTAAGCAGAGTGATTAAACTTGAAAGTGATAATGATATCACGAGATTTATACAAATGTTGAGAGTTTGTACTGTCAAGTAGCATTTGGTTACTCATGTGGTTTGAACCTGATTAGGTTGCATGGAAGAGCACAAAGGCCTTGCCAAGTATTTCCGGATTTCTCGGATAAAGTACTCTCGATGGTTTGCAAATCTACACTCGGTTCGAACTTTGGAGATTTCTCGACCACATTGTGATTGATTCTCTCTAGATATTCATCTTGACCAATTAGCTGTATCAATTTACAACCCAGTTTTTCGTTTTATTCATCATAACCAGAATGTCATCATCAAAATAGATAATACAAAATTGCAATCAATATTTAAAATTAGATGCTTACCTAAATCTAAATCTATTGAAATAAGAAAATGGAGTAGATATTATTTTTTATAGCTGAAAACAATTGCATAAAGTTTGTACGACTTTATGTTATCGAATTGAGTGCTTATGTTGTTGTCTTAAGAGCTTCAAACCTGTTACACAGGTCCATTGAAGCAGAAATCCAAATAAAATACAAGAACAAACACGAAATTCGACTGTTTCTCGTTTATTTGGGAGTGCTAGAAAAGATTTTGGCGTACCGCCAACTTTGATTCCTGTAATAAGAATCATGTAGTTATATTGGCTCTTTCTCGTTTTACTGGTTTTGATAGCTATTCCAGATTCATGGAAAGTTTTATTTGTTTAACGATGCGCTTCTCATCTAGATGAATTGCACTAGGAAATTACCAGGCAGTGGAGTATCCCAAGTGTTTCGAGAGCATGAGCTTTCTATAGGCAAGCAAAGCTTTTATTCCCAGTATGTGTAACTAGATCTACTGTATCAGCTTCAGTAGTTAATCTTGTTACATTTTTTTCAAAGTTTTCTAACAGAATAATAACTTTTTTTTATCATTTTTAGTGATCCATGGGAAATTTTAAATTGAATATTTCTTTTTGTTTATAAAAGTTAATGATACTTTTCAAAAATTGATTATCAACTTTCTTGGTAAGGGTTTTTCATTATATCATTATATGTATTAGACATCTAGGAATCTATGTTGCCCCAAGAATCCACCTTGCCCCAGGTTCCCCTATTTATTTCTAGCTCGTGTGTGTTGATTTGTATCTTTTTCATTATTTAAAGTATATATGCTTCAGTGCATATAAAATACGGAAATGATACATTTGAGAAATGATCGCGAGAATTTGAATAAAAAATATCTATTGAAAGCTTCTTGATCACGTGGAAAGTATAAAATCCATTCATCGAGATTTTATGAAAAGAAAAATTGAAATGCTTTCTTTGAGATTTTATACTGTCGAAAGTTCAATAGTATTTTTTGTAAAAAAAAAGGGATAAAAAATTATTGGAAATAAGGAAATTCTTTAAATCGATTTTACAATCATTTTGTATCTTCTTATTTAAGAAGGCATATAATCTTTTGAATATTTAATTCCATTCTATTACTTTTCTAACATTTTAAAATTAAATTCTATTACACCTACATAAAATTAATAATTTTTCTATATTTTTCAATACAGTTTTAACTTCAATATTTTTTTTTCTTTTCAACATGAAGTAGTATTGAGTGAAAGTTATTCTATTTAAAATTTTTTTGTATCATCATTAATGAATTCATTTAAAAATTTTGAAAAGTACAACATTGAAAGGCTTTTTTTTCAAACTAAAGTTGATGTAAAATATTTAATTATTTAATTCTGATGAATGGCTCGAAAGTAAGAAGAGGTGTTTTGCATTCATTCAATTTTAAAGTACTTCGGCGGTAAACCTAGTGGTGAGTACTGTAGCCGGAAGTGCATTTACTCATTAGACAAGTAAATTTTCGGCTTCGTAAAATTGAACATGATCCGGTAGAAAGACAAGTTAACTTTAGGTTCAAGTTTTCTTTGTACTCAATCCGCAACTCGAAAGTTCTACAACGTAATTAATTAATCTACTTTAGTGATGTACAATAACAACTCATTAATAGTAAACAATGAACAGTAATTGATTGAACACTTGACAATAAACAATTTTAGTTAAATTATGCTTTCATTGTACGATGTAACATACTGTCAATATTTAATCACTTAAAAGCTCTAATGTTACTTAATAAAGAACATTATTAATTTAATCATTACATCACTTATTATTAATTTACAATTTATTCACGACAGGATTAGAGTAATTAAATTTTATCTTGGCTTAGTTTGAAAGTACAATTATTGGTTGTCATTTATTTCATACATTTAGGTTGAATTTTGATAATAATATTAATAATAAATAGAATTAATAATATTAATATCAAGCTGGAGAATTATTCCCTACTATAGATAAAATGATTAATTATTTGAATATTAGCTAACGAAATCAAAAGATAACTATGAGCTAATGTATTTTCAATCTATCGTTCAAACAGTTGGTCGTAAAGCTGATCTGATTAATTTTGAAGACGAAAATGCTTAGAGTAAAGCTACAAAGAGGAAGTCTTTAGAGGCATAAATTCTTCAGTGATTCCATAAGAGATTGGAGATCCATTTAGCATAGAAGCATTAGGTACGTAATATCGATGTCTGTGGTAACACATGTTGGCGTACTGCTTAAGCATTACAATGAACGTAAAGCCGTTAGCTCTTTGGCACGTCCGATGATCGTTTACGACATGAGCGAACATTGAGAGCGGATGGAAGATAGAGTGTCTGCAACGGGTGTGTGCTTTGTCGTTCTCAGTCGTTAGATATTTTTTCGTGTCGAGCAAAGCTCCCTGGCTTTGAGTATTGCCAAAGATACACTACACAGCTTTCTCTTCACAGTCCTATTTTATAGCAACCGCCGGCAGTTTTTCAATTACTACGATCCTGCTGCAAGACCTATATTGCTGGATTTTTGTCTCAAAGTATTGAGTTTATCTTCCTTTTCCTCGTTCTCTTCATCTGCTTTTCTTCTTCTTCTCTCTTACTATTATTTCAGTTGCTTCTTCATTTTTTATTTTATCCCTTTGCTTTTGTTGTATCTGTACCACTATACTTTTTCTTCATTCGCTCGTTCACGCTTGAGCTTTTTCTCTTCAAGTGTGATAGAGAGCAGCCAAGATCTCACTCGGGGGTTAACGAGCGTAAACCACAATGGAATATAGTGTTATGCTATAGACGTGACCTCATCTGCTTTAATTCTTAATTCAACTCCAAGATATATATCTTTAAATTTGGGATTGTTAATGCAAGGAGATTAAAGATATCAGACGTATGCTTGATAGATGATGGTACTTGCTCGAGATATTTCTAGGAAATATTCGGGTTAATTAAGACACAGAAACGTATATAGTACTGTAGTTTAAGTCATTCTTTTCATCATATACAAAGGAATCCTCAGAAAATATTTACTTCATTGAATGTAATTGTCTTCTGTACTGGAATTTATTATATTTTGACATGTCATAAAAGACTTATGTGCTCGTTAAATTTACATTTCATCAAAATGAAATTGATTTTATTCAAATTCATCATTTTATCAATAACTTCATCAAGTTTTCGTCTTTGAATTCTCAAGCCATGTCTGACGTCTTTTATGATAAATTTCACTTTAATAGCCTCCTCTTATTGCACTCCAGTATTTTTGTTGTAAACTTTTTTTTTCTATAGTATCAGAATATTTTCATCGAGTTCTAATAAATAATATTACATTAAAGTCTTTTCAGTAATTAAACAGTGGCTAAAAAAAACTTCATTTGTGAATTTTTAATAAAGTTCTTGATGTATTCTCTACAGAGTTCTGAACAGAATGTAATAAATCGATACCTCCATTCTAACACGAGCTTTAAGATATTAGCATTGGAGTAGTGAAGTTTATTATGGAATATTCAACATCGATTATTCCTAAAAGATTTATACAAGTAAAGTAGATGAGGCAAAAGTGAATTTGGGCAGAAAAGCAGAGTGCTTTTTAACTCTTCATGACTCTTGCAGGACTTCTAGTGAGATACTTATGCTTTTCACTGCATTCTAAATCCAATCGTATTTCATAGAGACACGAGAGTGCAGCGAGACCACAGGTGAGAAATCGTGGGTTCAGGTGCAATACTTAATCTTCCTATATCTCTTCTTCTCTAGAAATCGCATGAAGCCATAAGGAAAGCAAGAGGTTTAGCTTCAGTAAGAACAAGTTGTTACATTGAAAGATTGCTTTCACTATGGGTTTAAATAATTTATGCTACATTTACACGGCTTCATTAAGTCTATTCGATAAATAGCTAGCTGTAGTCGAGGATCCTTTTAGGTAATTAGCCCGCGATGTCACAGGGCCTCACCACAAAATTCTGTTCTCGTTTGACCTGCAACAGGTGCTGATGATAATAATCGTAACTATTAAACTGTACGATATCTAATTTTTTTCCACATTAATTTGTTAGTAATGACCTCTGGATTATTTTAACTAAAAAATTATTTTTTTATTAGTGTAATATTTTTTATCATTGATTTTAATTCAATTAAAATGTATAATTATTTCAACTAGAATTGTTTCAACTGAATATATTATTAATTATATTAACT